AGTGAAGAGAAGACCTTCAGCGCTGATACAATGCGAGGGGCGGTGCAGCTAGCCTCAAGTTTCGGCGTGACGGTGGAAGATGGTGTCTGGAAACCTCGTTGATCAATCTTTAATCTTTGGCGAGGGGATTTCGGATCCAACTACGCGGTCAGTTGGCAGGGGGGTCAAGGGGGGAAGCCGTCCCCTTGCAGGGTTCAGGGCATCACCTTGAAACCTAAATCAGGGGGTTGATTCTGCATGCTCTCCCAATGGAGGACCTCGAAGTTCTCGTGGCAAAACGGGCAGCTGCAGGAATCGTCGCGCGTGAGGGGCAATGGGCAGACGTGCGGCGGGGGAGAGTCACACGCGTGTCGGCCGAGGTCACGTGGCTGCGTCGGTTGCCGACGACCTGAAAGCAGGCCCTCACGACGAGTCAACACTCGTCGTCTACCGCCGGGGGCAGACAACAAAGCGCCAGATGGTGGACGGTGCGATCAGCGGCGAGACAAACTGGATGTTCGCTCTCGAACGGTGGATCACAGGTGGATGGAAGGGGGGATCGTACGCTCGTGATGGGCGGACGGGCGCCGGAGGGTCGCCTCTCAGCGGCAGCAGCGGCGGCGGTTCCGATGGCGGCGGCGACGGCGGAGGGTGAGAGGAAATCTTAGGGTAAATTCTGAAAATGATGTCTAAATCTCCAAAATTCGCCACCGAAACCGTCCATTACAGCGCTAATTCTATTTATAGGGTCAAGAATTCGTTAAAGGAAGCTAAATGAAAGGAAAACCGTAATAATAAATAAAATTTGGATCTTGGATCCTAGGTTGATGATGTCGACGTGTCATGATTCCAGTGCTGGCCTTCCTCTCCTGTAGTGGCGCTGTCCCCTCAAATGGTGGGGCTGGGATGTTTGCCCCGCCAAATTCCCCTGGGGTCAGAAGAACTTGACTCCGACGAGTTGGCGTGAGGGTGTTCGAGCGGGGTCAACAAGTCTGGTCGTAGTCGTGCCAAGTCTTCTTCTGTGATCCACGCATCATCTAAAGAAGGTTTTCCCTGCCAGCGAACAAGAAACTTCTGCACCATTCCATCTCAGTGAAAATGATTACCTCATCCAGTATTTCCTTGATGTTTTCATGCCAATCGAAAGATAAAACAGGGGGAGTGGACGAGACAAACTCGTTTCCCAGCAAGGCCATAGGCAGGGTTGAGTCAGGAGGTGAATGAAGTGGAGCTTTATAGGATACCAAGTCCGAGACGTTGAAAGTGGAACTTATTCTCCATGTAGAAGGTATATCAACGATATAGAGATTTTCCCCTACTCGTTTGAGAATTGGGAATGGCCGGGCGCTACGAGCATGAAGCTTAGTAGCCCACTCAGGAGAAAATCTCTCTGGCCATACTCTCACCATCACCAAATCATCTTCATTAAATTCTCGAAAATGACGATACGAGTCTGCAGCTTGTTTATACGATGGATTGCTACTCATGATGCGTTGATGAATTTCCTCATGTACATTCCTCATTTGTTTTGTAAATGACTCACCATCATCTAAAACCCTAGCATGTGGGGACATTGGAATCAAATCAATAGGTTTACAAGGAGTGTGACCATGCATAGTTTTAAATGGACTCATGTCGGTGGTATGGTTGATAGATGCCTTGTAGGCAAATTCAGCGCATGGAATGATATTGTCCCAAGATTTGAGGTTATCCCCAACCAAAGACCACAACATGTTTCCTAGAATTCTATTGACAACCTCAGTTTGGCCATTGGTTTGAGGATGAAAAGCAGCAGAAAATTTAAGCTTAGTTCCTAAAAGATGCTTGAGAGTTTTTTAAAAATAACTAGTAAAACGAATGTCTCTATCTGATACAATACTTTTTGGTAGACCATGGAGACGAACTACTTTGTTAAAATAAAGATGAGAGACATGAGAAGTATCAGAAGCTTTAGAGCATGGAATAAAATGGGCCATTTTGGAAAAACGATCTGCAAAAACCATAATAGAATCATGACATCTAAGAGTACAGGGAAGTCCCAAAACAAAATCAATACTCACATCATCCCAAGGTCTATGAGGAATAAGAAGAGGGGTATAAAGTCTAGTACTTTGCTTTACCTGTTTGGCCAATGCACAAACTCTACATTGAGACACAATAGTGGTTACATCCTGTTTCAAAGTAAGCCAAAAGAATTGATACTCAACTGATGTGATAGTCTTATCTTGATCAAAATGACCACTTAGGCCTCCAACATGTGTCTCCCAAACAAGAAAATTCTTAAGTGAAGTGAGTGAGCATCAATCATAAAAGAGGAAGCCATCTTCAAGAAGATAATCTTTTGTTTTTAATGGGGGACCCTTCTCTAAGGATTGAATGATAGGTGAGAAATCAGGACAATCCAAATAAGATTCTTTCAACTGTTCAAACCCAATGACCTCAACGTATATGACTCAAGGCATTAGTGACTCGATTCTCTATTCCTTTCTTATACTTCATAAAAAAGGTATAGGACTATATGTACTCAATCCAACGATCATGTCTAGGATTTAACTTTTGCTGTGAGTGAAGATATTTCAATGCCTCATGATTGGAATGAAAAATGAATTCTTTGGAGAGTAGATAATGTTGTCAATGATAGAGAGATTGAATGATAGCATAGTTTTTTTTATCATGGGATACTTGAGTTCAACATCATTCAACTTTTCACTAAAATAAGTAATGGGATGATTTTCCTGACTTAACCTCAAAGATTTTATTAAAATCTGGTAATCATAAGATGGGTTGCATAAGTCATTTTTATCTTGGTCTCTACAAATGATTTATCAGCTAGTGTTGTCCACTGAAAATAGTTGTTCAAATAATTGGTCATAGGAGTCATAATGGTGCTGAAATTTGGAGTGAAATGATGATAGAAGGTAGCTAATCCATGGAAGCTGCAAATGTCATGAAAATTTCTAGGTGTGGGCCACTTGATGATAGCATCTATCTTGATAGGATCCATAGAAATGCCTTGTGATGACAAAATGAATCCAAAGAAAGATATATCATCAACTAAAAATGAAAACTTTTTATGATGAGTACATTGTTAGGCCTTTAAAACTTTGCATACCTTTCGAAGATGAAGAATATGATCATTCCTAGTCTTTGATGCAGGACAGGGCGAGAACCCCTTGTACTTGATCAATGAAACTCGAGTCCTAAGATAGGGCAGCAGTACAGGCAGGCGTACTAATATGCACGATCAACCTAGGACAACCTGGGGAAACACTCAATGATGGTAAGTGTGAGGCCCTCTCGGTCCATGTCCGGACAGACGGTGGAACAGTCATCGTGAGGTAGCCTAGGGCTGCAGCTCGCGAACGGTGGCGAATCTGGTGCAGCGTTGGAAGTCACGATCTGATAACCGTCCTATCCTGTCTACGTTCTCCTGATGGCGGAGGAGACGAGCCAAGAAAACCCTTTAAGAGATAATTAAACTTAAGAGGAAGGGGTACGGAGCTAACCTTCAGGGCTGCATAGCCTGGCGGGTCATGATGGAGCAGAGATCCGACAAAGGCAGGGACATCCGGTGAAGAGCAATGCTCAACATTGACGGTCAGTCCTGGTCGAGAGTCACCGTAGTCGTCATCGTAAGGCGTGACACAGTTGGTGTGGGCGTGGGCCCACTGGTGGGCCGAAGGGCACGCTAGCGAGCGTGGGTCCGCTGGTGGGCCGAAGGGCACACTAGTGGGCGCGGGAGGCAAGCCACGCGGAGTCTTAGGGCACGCAGGAGCTGGCGTGTGGGGCGAGCGCGGCGGCAGCGCTTCGGCGGGAAGGCTGAGCATCTGCAGTGCTTCGGCAGGAATGCTGAGCGTCAGCGGCGCTTCGGCAGGAAGGCCGAGCGTCGGCGGCGCTTTGGTGGAAAGGCTGAGTGTCGGCGGTTGGGGCGGAAACCCAACCGTTGCCAGAAGGATCGGCCTCTCTGGTAGTGCCGGGAAGCGGAGCAGAGCGGAGGCGATCTGGCCGACGATACCAGGGAGGATTGAGCTCTCCTAGTCTAAGCGGCACCGGAAACGGCGCGACGGCGGTGGAGCGTCGGGAAACTCCGGCGGGGGCCTGCGAGGAGGACTGGTTCTGGCTTGTCAGCACGGCTGTAGGGTCTCTCTTGATGTCGGCGGCAGGTAGGCGTTCGTCGGTGAACGGCCAGCGACTGGGTGGAGCGGCGGAGGGCGGCTCCAGCGAGTTTACGGTGGAGTTCCGGAGGAAGAAGTGGGAGATGAACCAGGAGTCGAGAGACTCCGGCGGAGTGCTCGGCGACGGCTTGTAGCGAGGTGAAGCAAGCCCCTTTCGCCACAACAGGCGTGACGGGGTTCCAGCAGAGGCAGTGGCGGCTGCAGCGGCAACCACGACCGTTTCGTCCGGTGACGGTGGCGAGCTCCCTGGCGGCAATGAGATGGCTGGCGGCAGCAGTGGTCTCAAGCGGCAGCGAGACTTCTCAGGCAGCAGCGTCACAGAGGAAAGAAGTCCTCGAAGGGGGTATCAACAGCCCTCCTCTTCCTCCCCTCCCTATCCTAGATCACGAAGAAGGTACTCACAAAACGATAATTTCTCTCAAAAATACGACGCTCTTTTGAGGGGGGGTCCTACCTCTCCTTATATGGGGGCCCACAAGTGGGGTAAGGAGAGGTGGGCCCACTTGAGGCCCTCAAGCCCATAAGCCACAAAGGCTACAAGAGGGGCTTATTGGGCCTCTTAAAGAGAGACCCAATAAGCTCCCCTAAAAGTAGGAAGAGAAGGGCCCTCTTACGGTACTTAAGTGGGCCTCAAATGAAGACCCAAATAAGTCCCAAAAGAGGCCCCAAATGAAAGACACATAGGTCCCTCCCCCTTAGGGTTTTAATTGGGCCTCAAAAGAGAGAATTGGGCCCGCTAACACACAAATGAGAGGCCAAACAAGTCAACATGAAAGTACAAAGAAAGATATGGGTGAGCTCGAGCTCATTGTCATCGCAGAGGTGGAATGTCATCATCCCAAAGGACTAGGCTGTGTAGTGAAAGTCAGGCTCCTTTGTCTTCGCACGTTGATCGGGCTGAACTTGGACTGCCGGTGTCTCTCTTGAGCTGATGGAGATGGGTCCCACTCGTCATCAGTCTTGCTATAAATCAAGATGCCATCAAAATGGACCATAACAAAATCTCTGATAAAAGGTCTAAAGACATGATTCATCAACCTCTGAAAAGTGTTAGGAGCATTGGATAGTCTAAAAGGCATGACCTTCAATTTATATGATGCATCCTTAATTTTAAAAGTCATCTTCCATTCATCTCTAGGATGGATTTGTACTTGATGATAACCACTTTCAAGATCAATTTTCGAAAAAATCGTTGATCCAGCCATCATATCAAACATGTCATCACTTTGAAGAATAGAAAATCTGTACTTTACAGTGATCTTATTGATGACTCCACTATCAATACACATATGCCAACTCCCATCCTTTTTAGGGGTCAAAAGTGTAGAAACTTCTCATGGGCTAAGACTCTCTTGAATAAATTCTTTATCTAATAATTCTTGAACCTGTTGGTGAAGCTCCTTGTACTAAATGGGATCCATTTGATAATGAGGAAGATTTGGTAAGGATGATCTAGGAATTAAATCAATGGCGTGTTAGATATCTCGCATAGGTGGGAGGGCATTGGATAGTTCTTCAGGGAAATACTCTCAAACTCATTCAACAATTCAAACATCTCTAGAGGTGGTAGAATGGGAACATCGCTTGAATGATCAAGAATTATGGCAAGGCAAATCAACGACTCACTATCCAACTCTCTTTGGAGTTGACACCCATCAAGGGGGTATAAACCTAAAGATGTAGACTTCAGTTTAAGATTTTTATGGGGAAGTGTGTACAGATGCCACGTCATCTTCTTGCCCTTGTACATGAAAGAACGTGTTATACCTACCAAAAGAGATGTACATCATTATCATAAAACCATGGACAACCCAAAATAATACTTCCAACTTTCAAAGGCAACACATTGCATAAAACCTTTTCATCATAGGATTGTAGTTTGAGCAAAATGAGACATTGGGTTTTCACAAGAATAGATGTGGCATCGATCCATGAAACATGATAGGGGTGAGGATGCTCAATCAAGGATAATCTCAAATGAGAGACCATCACATCGGAAACTGCATTAATAGAACTCCCACTGTCAATAATTATCTTATACATCTTGTCTCCAATCTTAACATAGGTATAAAATATGAAAGTCCTCAAGGTGATGTCATCGGTGGAAGGCTGGGTAAGAGTATGACAAATTATTCCTCTAGCTGAAGTAGATGGGGTGTTCCTAGGTGGTGAGGGAGAAGGATTTGTGATGCCAATAAACCCTACTATGTCATCCTCTTCAACACATTCATCCATAAGATAGTTTTCAACATTATAATCTTCTTCATCAACATCCTTATCATCAATATCATGCTCAAGATCACAATCATCATTCCCAATATATAATGCTCTAGATGAACATTGGGAGTCTTGATGCCCACGGCCTTGGCATTTAAAGTAACTCATCCCAGGCTGATTGACCTGAGAAGGGGACGGCTGGACAGGTGTTTGAGCAGTGGAATCAAGGGATGATGAGGTGCGACTGGTGGAAGGGGATGGAGGACTAGGGAATCGGAGTAGATGTACACATATTGGTAGAGGTGCGAGTGAAAGTATGTGCAGGGAGAGGTGAGGGTAGGGTGCATGTGGGGGTATGGGTAAGGTAAGATGAATACACATGCTCACTAAGAACAGGTCAACCATTGAGGGTGGAGGTGCTAGACGACCTAATCTAACAAAACTCTAGGTCTTCTACAATTTGGTAGGCCTATTCAAAGTGGCAGCCTTCCGAACCAGCAACTCAGTTTCAAGATAAGGATAAAGACTAGTCCGAAATGAGAGATGATGACATGAGGGTTCTTGGCTACCTTACATCTCATGTAGAACTCTTCACACTGTGTGATATATTCAGTCATTGGATGTTTGCCTTGCTGTAATTTATGCCACTGGTCTAGAAGATTATCTAAATACGCGATGGGTACATTTTTCTCTCAAAGTTTATCCTTCATTTGCATCCAAGTCTTTATGGGAGCATCTTGCCAGTTATAAATCAAAAATTCATGGTTCTCCCAATTTTTTTTGACCTGTCCTCCCGACCTCATCTTGACGAATTGAACTTTTTACCACTCAAGCATATCATACCATTTGAAATTACTATTCAGTTTACAACCACTACAATAAGTAAACCTCCAAATTCAAAATCCCAGATGGTTAACCACGAGAAGACACAAATATATTACATTAAATCTGATGGCAGTGGAAAAACACACAAGAAAATACTGGATGGAATAATATGAGTCACCAAACAGTGGAGAGAAGATCTTCAGCACTGATACAATGTGAGGGGCAGTGCAGCAAGCCTTGAGTTGTGGCGAGATAGTGGAAGATGGTGACTAAAAACCTTGCTGATCAATCTTCAATTTTGAACCAGGCTCTTTGGTGAGGGGATTGTGGACTCAATTATGTGGCTAGTTGACAAGGGGGGGGTCAAGGGGGGAAGCCATCCCCTTGTGGGGTTCGGGGCAGCACCCCAAAATCTAAACTAGAGGGTTGAGTCTGTGTGCTCTCCTAAGTCGATCATAGGGATGTAATATAACATTAGGTAATTTTTTAAAATTTTTCTTAAAGAATATGATGTTTCATGAATTTTATACTAATAAATAGAAAGAAAGTATATGATGCAGGACGGGGCGAGAACCCTTGTACATAATCAATGAAACTCAAGACCCTAGATGGAGCAATTGGATCAATTTGATAAGAATGTATGGGCCCTAGACTCTAGGTCTGACCACCTAACCTAAGTACAAGTAGACGTACCAATATACATTATCAACCCAGGACAACTCGGGGAAACACTTGACAATGATAAGTGTGAGACCCTCTTGGTCCATGTCTAGACAGACGACAAAACGATCGTCGTGAAGTAGCCTAGGGCTGTAGCTCGCAAATAGTGATGAATCTGACACAGCGTTAGAAGTCACAATCCTATAACCCATCATATCCTATCTACGTTCTCTTGATGACAGTAGAAATGAGCTGAGAAAACCCTTTGAAAGATAATTAAACTTAAGTAAGAAGGGGTACGGAGCTAACCTTCAAGGCTGCGTAGCCCGGTAGGTCGTGATGGAACGGAGACTTGACATAAGCAGACACATCTGGTGAAGAGCAATGCTCAACATTGACAGTCAGTCCTGGTCAAGAGTTGCAGTAGTCGTCGTCGTAAGGCGTGGCATGGTCGGCAGGGGTGTGGGCCTGCTAGTGGGCTGAAGGGCACACTAGCGGGCGTGTGCGGCAAGCTGTGTGGTATGCCTTGGGGCATGTAGGCGGTGGCACTGAGTGGGCATGCGGGCCGCAAGAGCTGGCGCGTGGGGCGCGCGCGGCAGTGACGCTTTGGTGGGAATGCCAAGTGTTGGCGGTTTGGCAGAAGCCCAACTGTCGCTGGAAGGATCGGTCTTCTCTAGTGGCATCGGGAAGTGGAGTAGAGGAAGGAGATGATCCAGCTGACGATACTAGGGATGGTTGAGTCCTCTTGGTCTAGGCGGCACTAAAAACGACGCGACGGCGGCAGATCATCGGGAAACTCTAGCAGGGGCCTGTGAGGAGCTTGGACTGGACTAGCTTGTTGGCACGGCTGCAAGGTCTCTCCCAATGTCGGCGGTAGGTAAGCATTCGTCAGTGAATGACCAACGACTGGGCGGAGTGGCAGATGACAGCTTTGACAAATTTATGGTGGAGTTCTGAAGGAAGAGGTGGTGGTCAAACTGGGAGTCAAGAGACTCTGGCATAGTACTTAGTGACGGCTCGTAGGGAGGCAAAGCAAGCCCCTTTCATCACGACAGTGTGATGGGGTTCCAGTAGAGGCGGCAGCGGTTGCAGCAGCAACCACGGCCATTTCGTTTGGTGATGGTAGTGATCTCACGCAGCAATGATGATGTCCGGCGGCGATAGTGGTCTCAAGCAGCAGCAGAACTTCTCAGGCAATAGCATCACGAAGAACGAAGTCCTCAAAGGACATCGACGGCCTTCCTCTCCCTCCCCTCCCTATCCTAGGTCACAAAGAAGGTAACTCACAAACGATAATCTCTCACAAAATTTGGCACTTTTTTTTGAGGGGGGGTCCTACCTCCCCTTATATAGGGCCCACAAGTGGGCTAAGGGGAGGTGGGCCCACTTGAGGCCCTCAAGCCCATAAGCCACAAAAAGGCTACAAAAGGGGCTTATTAAGCCTCTAAAAGAGTGACCCAATAAGCTCTCTTAAAAGGAGAAAGAGGAGAGCCCTCGTATGGTGCTTAAGTGGGCCTCAAATGAAGACCCAAATCAGCCCCAAAAGAGGCCCAAAAGGAAAGAAACATAGGTCCCCTCCCTTAGGGTTTTAATTGAGCGTCAAGAGAGAGACCCAATAAAATCCTAAAGAAAGGGAGACACAAACAACAACACACACATAGAATTGAGCCCGCTAACACACAAATGCGAGGCCCAACAAGTCAACATGAAAGTACAAAGAAAGATAAGGGTGAGCTCGAGCTCGTCGCCATCACGGAGGTAGAATGTCGTCATCCCGAAGGGTTAGGCTGTGTAGCGAAAGCCAGACTCCTTCGTCTTCGCGTGTTGATCAAGCTGAACTTGGACTGCCAGTGTCTCCTAAGTTGATGGAGACCAGTCCTACTTGCCATCAATATATTTAAAAATCACAAAAAAGAAAAATAAGAGTGCGGATGTCAAGATGACGTTAGCACCCAATGAATGTAAATCAGGTGGAAATAGAGTTTTGTCCGATGATTCTTATGTAAGTGATTATAGAAAATTTAATTGATCAAATTAAGATTTATAAAAACCAAAAGAATCATAATTAAATAAAAAATAGCTTGGTAAATTTAAATCACACAAATTATCATTAAATAAAGTGAAAATTAAGTTGAAAGTAGGAAAGGTAAAGTTCTAGCCTCGCATCAACAATTGTCGAAATTTTGTGTTCAGGAGGGTCATCAAATGATGTCCATGGCCTCAAAGGCTCTCCTTGGACATGGACGACTTGGGCATTTACTGGATCTCTTTTTGAAGTCTAGAAAATGATGGTTGGTAAGTCTTCATCATCATGAGTTAATAATTAGTAAATAATATAATTTTAGTCTTAACTCATGATAAATAGACTTATATTTGTGTTAAATTATTAAAGTGATTTTTAGTTAATTAATGTGAATTTTTGGCTAATTATGTGGTTTTCTATGAATTTATATGATTTTTATAGTCCTTTTTTTGAGATAAATGAAGATTTTTTTTAAAAAATAAAAATATAGTAAAAGGGGGGGACCCCCTAGCTAGCTGGGGCAACAAGTGGGTTAGAAGTGTAGTCGGGGGGAGCCACCAACAAGAGCTCGAGTGACTAAGATTGATGGGGGCACGTGTGTACCACTCCTCTTCCATGTCACTAGTGGCCAACTAGTTGTAGGGCAAAGAGTGGTCGTACATGTGAGAGAAAAGGACTCATTACTTACAAATGTGATATTACTATATATTTACCCAAAACTTTGACGCATAAGTGATGTGGGACTAAACCCGTATCACACCTTCTCCCAAAAGGCTTTGAAAATTTTAATACTTAAACTACTCTTTCATTATAACAAAAATATACTATAATGACGTCACTTGATAAAGGCATTAGAGTATTTATTTAATCTCTCTCATGTAGGTGGACAACTAGCACGGGTTCAAATCCTCCTAGAGCCAAAACTTGTATTTTTATTTGATTATTACAACTTTCTTGTAGATCACTAGTGAAGGATTAAGTTGCTAGAATCATTAGATCATCGGCAAAAATATTGTCAACATAATTTGTAGAGTATTATTATTAAAATTGTTAAAAAATTATCGATAAAAAGATTATAAATCTATCGAGTAAATCATCTCTAAGTGATCGATGAACAAGCTGTCATCAGGAAGAAGATAATCTATCAAGAGATGAGTCGCTACCTCCTAAGAACATACTAGATATGATGAAGAGCCTCTTCTTGCTGTGCGAACTTGAGGATAAAACTCCCTAACTTGTGTCCCACATCTATTCAGCTCCTCTTTATCGAGTGATAGCTACTGGAGAGTAGCCAAGTCACCGTTTGTCTACTCCATTAGGTGACAGTTGCCGAAGACAATTCAACAACTTATTTTGTTGATCTCTAGACTTCGCAAGGAGATCTAGAGATTGCCCATATCATCCTTGTCCAAGCAAAGCCTTTGAGGCTGTGGACATTATATGAAGATTCTCCCGAACACTCAAGATTTTAGTGCATCACCGACGCATTGCCACTGTGATGCTGAAACTTTGTTTTTCATACTTTCAACTTATTTTTTATTTTATTTAGTGATAATTTGTGTGATTTAAATTTATCAAGGTATACTTCATTCAATTATGATTCTTTTAGATTTTACAAATATTAATTTAATTAATTAAATCATTTATAATCACTAAGAATCACTAAGCAGAACTTTGTTTTCACCTGATTGACATTCATCAGGCGCTAACGTCATCTTGATGTCTACACCTTTATTTCTCTTTTTTGTGAATTTAAAATATATTTTATTTTTATTTTTTAGTATAAAATTCATAAAAACTCATATTCTTTGAAGAAAATTTTGAAAAATTGTCCAATACTATATTACATCCTTGTGATTGACTTGAAAAAATATCACTATTTTTGAAAGTTTTACTGAATTATAATTGATATATTTTTTCAGAAATACTTCTAAATATCTAAAAATTAGTATTTTCTAGTTTTATAAATTTTAAATTTGCATGATTTACTATACAATGACTAAATCACGACAAATTTTGATGCCATTATCAGGGATGTATGACATAATATTAAATATTTTTATTTTTCTCTTAAAGTACATAAAAAAATTAACTCATGTTTTATTTTCTTCTTGTTGAAATATTTTTCTTAAGAAAAGAACAAAGAGAAGCAAGGCAAGGACTAGAGCATATTGAAAGATGGTAACAATTATTAAAAATTTTCCTCAAATTTATTGATTTTTAGGTATGGTAGAAGATCCTTGCATCCAAAGCTCAAAAATCTTTTTATTATTTCATTCAAAACAAAAAATTTGAAAGAAAAATTAATTTTGATGGATTTTGAAGAAAGTACAAGTCAAATTGAGAACAATTCTACGACCATAAAAAATCATTATATCTGTGATTCATTTCAAAGAGCATCTAATATTAGAGTTATATTAGCACCCACTGTTAAATTTGAAATAAATTCAAGAATTTTTCAGATACTCTCTAATTTTCATGGATTGCCTTTAGAGGAACCTCATCAATATTTAGAAAAATTTCATATGATCTGTGATTTAGTTTAGCTCTCTCAAGTTACACTAGAAATTATTAAGATGAAATTATTTTCTCATACACTTAGGGACAAAGCTAGTCATTGGATATCCACATTAGATAGATAATTAATTAGTTGAAAAGATATAGAATAGACTTTTCTTCAAAAATTTTATCCCTTAAGAAAAATTTAAAATATGAGAGAATATATATAAAATTTTTCTCAAAGATTATGAGAAACTTTGCATGAGACATGAGAAAAATTCAAAGATTTACTTAAAAAATATACTCATCATACTATATTCAAGTGACAGCTCAATAAATTTTTTTATGATGAATTATTAGAACAACATAGAAATATAATTGATTCTATATGTGGAGGAGCTTTTATGGAGAAAACTATTGATGAGATTTATAGTCTTTATGAGAATTTAAGTGAAAATTATAGAGATCAAACCTCTTTTGTATCATATGATAGAGATAAGAAGAGAGAAGTTTATGAATTACATTATCAAAATGATTCTAATTTATAAAATAAGGTTAATCAAATTAATCAAAGATTATAACAACTTGATTTACTTATTAAGAATATTAGAAAGCCTCTTAACTCTCAATTTAATTCAAATAGTAGTCCTATATATGGTGAAAATGATTATAATGAATTTCAATCCTATAATTTAGATCAATCATTTCACCCTATGCAAGAACAAGTACAAGTAGTTCACAGTTTAAATAGAAATAGGGAGTCTTTTTTAGATTCTTATAATCTTAATTGGAAGAATAAATTTTCTTGGAGAGACTTAAATAATATTCAAAATCTAAAAGCACTTAAACCTAATTTAAAATTTGAATTTCGTCCAAAATAGAAAAACAAATTTCAGAAAAATTAGCCCTCTCAAATCTAATCTAATGCTATGGAAATAATACAGAAAATGAGCCAAATGATGTAACAAACTATGAATCAAATGATGTTGCAGCAGGAATAAATTATAGAGGCTCTTAAGACTAAGAGAGAAGAGGGATAACTACTTAGTCAACCTATAGAAAATCTAAGGAACTGCCCAACAATAAGATTTTAGCAAGGAGAGTCTAGTAGCATGAATTTAGAAAAAAACCCACGAAATGAAAATATAAGGATAGTGAATGCATTAAGGAGTGAGAAGATTTTACTTGATCCTTATCCCCCAACATTAGAAGAAAAAGAAAATGTGAACAACCTAGAACAAAATCAAATAAGAGTAGAAGAGGACTTTATAGATTCTACCAAGGAAATTCTGAAAGAGAGGATAACTATTCCATTTCCTAAAGCTCTAGAGCCTAGACAAAGAAAGAAAAGGAACACAATCAAGAAATAATTTTTTTTTACAAGATGTGTAAATTATTCTTCTTTTACTCACTGCCATTGAACATATTCCTAAATATGCTAGAGTTTTGAAAAAAATAGGTACACCAAAAAAACATCTAGAGTAGAGAAATTATCTGTGCACACTAATGCTTTATTATTAAATCAATTACCATATAAATTGAGAGATACTGGTGCCTCTTTAATTTTGTATGATATTGGTGGATCTATTTTTCAAACTATATTACTTGACAGTAGTGTTAGTATTAATTTATTACATACAAGTATTTGTGATAAATTTAATATTGCTGATCTTAAACCTTCTATTGTTACCTTACAATTTGTTGATAGATCTATAAAACATCCTAAAGGTATTTTAGAAAATGTGATAGTGATAGTTAAAAGGTGTAAATTTCTAGTTGATTTTGTAGTACTGAAAATTAATTTCAATGGACAATTTTATGATACACCAATTATTCTAGGGAGACTATTTTTGTATATAATAAAAATGAATATTGATTTTCTCATAGGTATTGTAAAAATTTTATGTGGAGATCAATCAATAGAACTTAAAATTTTTGAGGTATCAAATAATCTTAAGAAATCCGAAGTATATGATTGTCATACCATAGATCTTCTAGATAATTTTGATGATCTAGATGTTATTGATGATTGTGTCTTGAAAGAATTAGAGGAAATAGAGAATATAAATTTGGGAGAAAAGAAAGAGGAAGATTATTTAAATTTAGAGTTGAAACCTCTTCTCTCTAGTTTAAAAAATATATATTTTTAGAGGAAAATAATTCGGTTCCTATTATTATTGTAGTTGATTTGAGTGATGAACAAGCAGAAAAATTATTAGATATACTTCAAAAAAATAAGAAGGCTATTGGCTGAAAAATGAATGATCTTGGGGCATTGATATGAGTGTATGCATACATAGTATACATCTAGAGGAGGGGGTTAGAACTAGTAGAGAACCACAATGAAGATTAAATCTTAACATGATGGAAATTGTAAAAAAAGAAATTTTAAAGTGTCTAGCTGCTGATATTATTTATTCTATTTTAGATAGCAAATAGGTTAGTCCTACACAAGTGGTGCCAAAAATATCAGGGATCACGGTTATAAAAAACAAAAATAGGATGAAATACAAACAAGATTAACTACTAGTTGGAGGGTTCACATTGATTATAGAAAATTAAATTCAGTTACTAGAAAAGATCATTTTCCCCTATCATTTATTGATCAAATTCTAAAAAAATAGTTGGAATCTTTTTTTTATTTTCTAGATGGATACTCTAGTTATAATCAAATTTATATAAACCCTTTAGATCAAGAAAAAACAACTTTCACTTGTCCATTTGGTACTTTTGCTTTTAAACGTATGACTTTTGGTATGTATAATGCTCCAACCACATTTCAAAGATGTATATTGTCTATTTTTTTTGATATGACTGGAAAATGTATAGAAACTTTTATGGACGAGTTTTCTATTTTTGGTAAATCATTTGATGAATGCTTAAATCATTTACAGCATGTACTTGAGAAATGTATAGAGAAAAAAATAGTTTTGAGTTGGGAGAAATCACATTTTATAGTTAGAGAGGGAGTTGTGTTGGATCATATTAGGAGTGAAAAGGGATTAGAGGTGGATAGAGTAAAAATTGATATTATATCTAAAACTAAACCTCCAAATTTAGTAAAATAGATTAGATCTTTCTTGAGTCATACTGGTTATTATAGAAAATTTATTCAAGATTTTTTCAAAAATTTCTAAACTTTTCACCATGTTATTATCTAAAGATGTGATTTTTAATTTTGATGAGAAATGTTTTGAGTCTTTTTTTGAAATAAAAAGATTACTTATTGAAGTACCTATTTTACAAGCTCCTGATTGGTACCTACTCTTTGAAATAGTGTGTGATGCATCAAATTATGTAGTGGGAGCCATTCTAGGACAAAGAAAAGAGTCAAAACCCATAGTAATTTCATACACTAGTAAAAATATATCTGATGCTCAATTAAATTATATCACGACTGATAAAGAGTTGTTAGCTATGGTATTTTCATTTGAAATATTTAGATCATATATTTTAAAAACTAAAATTATTATTTATACTAATCATACAACATTAAAATATTTGTTAAATAAGAAAGATGCAAAGCCATGTTTATTAAGATGGGTTTTATTGTTGCAGAATTTTGACTTAGAAATAAAAGATAAAAAAGGTTTCAAGAATGTTGTTGCTCACCATGTTTCTAGATTGAGTGATATATGAATAAATGCAACACCTTTACAAGATGTATTCCTAGATGAACAATTGATGGCAGCTCAACATCAACCATCACCATGGTATGCACATATTGTTAATTTTCTAATTTTTGGAAAAATTTGAGAATAGTGAGATAAGAACAAAAAACATCATTTCTTTTCTAAGATTAGAAATTATTTTTAGCATGATCTTGATTTATATTAGTTGGGCAATAATCAAATTTTAAGGAGATTGTTCCTAAAGAAGAATATCATAGCATTCTTAACATGTGCCATTCATCTAACTATGGAGGATATTTTTTGCAAATAACTAATTTTTTTTTTCAATGTGGCTTTGTTGGTCTACAATCATTAAAGATTCTGTAGAATTTAGTAGAACATGTATTTCATGCCAATCTATAGGTAACATGAATAAAAAAAATGAAATGCCCATGAGTAACATGTTAGTAGTCAAAATGTTTAATGTATGGGGAATAGATTTCATGTGTCTTTTTCCGTCAATTAAATAATATGAATATATTTTGCTTGTTGTTGATTATGTGTGTAAGTGGGTGAAAGCTATTCTTACTAGAACTAATGATCATAAAATCGTGATGAAATTTATACAGAAAAATATTTTTTCAAGATTTGGATGTCCTTGAATGATTATTAATGATGGAGGAACACATTTTACAAATAAACATTTCAGGGAACTATTGAAAAAGAATGGAGTATATCATAGAGTAGCCACTCCATATCATCCCCAAACAAATGAGCAAGCTGATGTAGTAAATAAGAAAATTCAAAGAATTTTGAGAAAAATAGTTAGATCAGATAGGAAAAATTGGCCCACAAAATTACAAGATGCATTATGGGCTTAAAGAATAGCTTCTAAAAATCCCATAGGTATGTCCTCATTTTGTTTCATATTTAGAAAGCCATGTCATCTTCTTGTGGAAATAGAGCATAAAGCATTATGGGCTATAAAAAATTTATGTATGGATGAAAAATTAGCTGGTGGGCAAAGAATTTTTCAACTACATGAACTAGAGGAGTTGAGGAATGAAGCTTATGAAAATCATAGAATATATAAAAAAAAACTAAAACCTTTCATGATAAATATATTAGCAGAAAAAAATTTGATGTTGGACAAAAAATGTGGTTATATGATTCTAAGCTGAAATTATTCTCAGGAAAATTAAAATCAAAATGGACAAGGCCTTATGTGGTGGAAGAGATGATCATGGGGCTATAATAATTAAAGATCCTAAAAGTGATCATAACTTTAAGATAAATGGATAGTGGCTTAAACATTGCATAGAACATAAACACCTTGTAGAAAAAGAAATTTTTTTGATTAAAAGAAATTCAAGAGTAAAATTAATGTGTCCAACTAGAGACATTAAATTCAGTGTTGTATGGGAGGTAACCCATCGTTTTTATTTTATTCTATTTTTTTTAAGGTCTATTTTTCTTAGAATTTTGTAGTACTTGTTTCTATATTTATTATTATTCCAAAAAGTGTAGGAGGAAGAGTGTAAGATGAAGTGGAAAATTAAAAATAAGGTTGAGGTGATTTCTTTCTGAGCTTTATCATTTATGACAACATTTTTAGTGCTTAAATTTGCATATATGCATGCTTCACTTGAAAATTATATTTTCTGCATATTTCGTTCCAATTTTTCTATGTCATTGAGAACAATGTTATTTTTAAGTTGGGGGTGAAGTATTAATTCTTAATTATGTTGTAGGATGATTAAGAACATGTGTTTGTATTTTTTTCATGCTCACTTAGAATAAGAACTAAAAAAAATTTCAGAAAAACTACAACATCTATTTTCTAGTTTTCCATTAAGAACAATAGACTATTAAAAATAGCAGAGAAAAAACAACTCAAAATTTGAAATTCTAGAGAGCCTTTTCTCACATTTCAATCCCCTATATATATATTGCTGAAATTAGAAATTACAATTATAAAAAGGATAGTTTTGATTTATTTTTAACAAATTTATTATTGCTAAAAAAAACTGAAAATAGAAAATAGAAAATAGAATTATGAGAACTATCTAATTTACAAATTTCTTACATCATATTGCATGCATGAAAAATTAAATCAATTAGATTAATTAATACCAAAAGATACTAGAAAGATTATTATTGAGTCAAAAGAATGATCTACTAGTATGAAATTTTGGAATACTCATTAGATATATGATAGATAACATGGATTTGATTTTATAGATTTTGACTTCATGATCTTGATGAATAGTATTTACTTGATGTGAAAATTTGATTGATCATTTGAGTTTAATAGAGATTTTTGTACCTTGATCTATAGGACTCGTGAGGAGAAATCACTTATTTCAAAAAAAAGAAAAAAGAGAGAGCAATATGAAAAATCTAGAAATGAAGAGTACACATGGTGGGTGTGAGACATTATTCTCATTGTCCAAAATTGTGCATAGAAAAAAACTTACTATAAAATAAGTAAATAAAGTGAAAGCCTTGAAAATGAAGAGTACACATGGAGGGTGTGAGACATCATTCTTATTGTCAAAATTTGTCTAGAGGAAAAGCTACTTATTCAATATATATATATATAAAGAAATATAGTGCAAAATTAAAAAATCAAACCATAGAAAAGAGAAATATAAGATCAATATTATTTTTAGATGAGTATTGATAATTAGAACATCTTGTAAAAATATCTACGAGTGAAGAAGTGATAAAGATGTGAATAGAATAAGTGAAGTCTAGATTGTTATTCTAAGGAGTGTTTAAACATTTAAGTGCTTGACATCATTCTTAAATACTTAATATAAGAATCCAAGGTGTCTAAAGGTGCATCATCTATAATTATACTTTTTTTTTATGTATTGAAATATGATGTTCGAGATTTGTGAATTTTTATTTTCGTAATTTCATTACTAAGGGACTAGCAATGATTTAAGTTAGGGGGTGTGATAAGTCTTCATTATCATGAGTTAATAATTAGTAAATAATATAGTTTTAGCCTTAAATCATGATAAATAGACTTATATTTGTGTTAAATTATAAAAAATGATTTTTAATTAATTAACATGAATTTTTGGCTAATTATGTAATTTTTTATAAATTTATTTAATTTTATAGTCTTATTTTTGAGATAAATGAAGAAAAAGAAATGAAAATAAAATATAACAAAAAAGGAAGACTTGCTAGCTAGCTAGGCTTGCAAGCGGGTCAAAAACATAGTCAAAGAGAGTTGTTAGTAGAGGATCGAGTGCTAGGACTGATGGAAGCATGCACGCATCACTCCCCTTCGATGTCACTGGTGGCCAGCTGATTGTAGGGCAAGGAGTGGTCATACACGCGGGAGAAAGCGACTTATTGCTTGCAAATATGATATTACTATATATTCGCCCAAAACTTCAGCACACAAGTGATGTGGGACTAAACCTGTGTCACACCTTCCCTTGAAAGGCTTCGAAGGTAAGCAATTAGTGGGGGTTTAGATCCTCCTAGAGTCAAAACTCATATTTTTATTTGATTATCACGACTTTTTTGTAGAGCACTAGTGAAGGATTAAGCCACTAGAATCACTAGATCATTGGCGAAAATCTTGTCAACATGATTTGCAGAGCATTGTTACTAAAATTACTGAAAAATTTATGATAAAAAGATTATGAATTCATCAAATAAATTATCTCTGATTGATTGACGAACAAGTTGTCGTCGGGAAGAGGACGATCTACTAGGAGATGAGTCACCACCTCTTGAGAGAATACCAGATACGATGAAGAGTCTTCTCTTACTACATAGACTTGAGGATGAAACTCCCTAACATACGCCCCACCTCCATCTAGCTCCTCTTTGTTGAGTGATAGCTACTAGAGAACTACAAAGTCACCATTTTTCTACTCCACTAGATGACAGCCACTAGAGATGATTCGACAACTTATTTCATTGATCTCTAGACTTTGTAAGGAGATCTAGAGATTGTTCACATCGTCCTTATCCAAGTAGAGTCTTCAAGGCTGTGGACACTACATGACGATCCTTCCGAATGCTCAAGATTCTAGTGCATCACTAACATATTGTTGTTGCGATACCGAAACTTTATTTTTCATGCTTTCAACTTAATTTTTACTTTATTTAGTGATAATTTTGTGATTAAAGTATACCAAGTTATATTTCATTCAACTATGATTCTTCTAGCTTTTATAGATCTTAATTTGATCAATTAAATCGTCTAGAATCACTTACATAAGAATCATTGAGCAGAACTCTATTTTTCTCTAATTAACCTTCGTTAGTTGCTGACATCATCCCAACATCTACACCCTTATTTTCCTTTTTTGTGAATTTTAAATATAATTTTATTTTATTTTTTAGTATAAAATTTATAAAAACTTGTATTCTTTGAAGACAATTTTAAAAAATTACCCAATATTATATTACATCTCTATGATCGACCTGAAAAATTATCATTATTTTTGGAAATTTTATTAAATTATAATTGATATATTTATTCAAAAATACTTTTAAATATCTAAAAATTAGTATTTTCTAATTTTATAAATTTTAAATTTGCGTGATTTACTATACAACAACTAAGTTATGTCAAGGGGCAATGGGCAAACGTGTGGTAAGGGAGAGCCATGTGTGTATCGACCAAGGGCGCATGAGTGCATTGGCTATTGACGACCTAAAAGTATGGTCTCATGATGAGTCAACACTAGTCATCATGAACATTGTCATCTACCGTTGGTGGTAGACAACAATGCACTAGATGGTGGAGAGTGTGATCAATGGTGAGAGAAATTAGATGTTTTGCTCTCTAATGGTGGATCACAAGTGGATTGAAGGGGGAGTTGTGCGTGAAAGAAATCAAGAACAGAGGAATATAATAGAGCAAGGAGAGAAAGAGGAAAAGAAGAAGACAAAAAGGAAAGGAACTTCTATTGATAGTGAAAAAACATGATTAGTTACAACTTCTATGATCATCTGTTTATATTGTTAGTGATTTACAAGTAGTCGTTGTGTATTATTTAGTAACTGCTCTTCGAAAGGATGTAAGTTCATCGAGCAGTTACTCTTCTTGTCGATTAATACTGATGTGTCTTCTTTTTTTCCTTCGTTTGATTAAGTTCATTCTCATTGATTGATATGTTGTCTATCATAGCTCTATTGTTGTCCACATGTCCACTGATTTGATTAAGTTGAATCCTATTAGTTGATGTTGGTTTGCATTTGCTTTGTTTCAAAGGAGACTCAATCGGCACCTTGTTGATCATTTGTGCCTACTTTTTGAGTGACAATGTTGCTTCAATACCCCCCAGCAATCTCATCGTAGGGAGCACATTGAGATTGTGCTTGATTGCAGCAAGTCGATGCTTTGGAATTGGCTTCGTAAGAATGTCAGCTAGCTGGTCCTTTGTGGAGAGAGATACGATTTTAAGCTTCTTCGAGTTGCCATATTCCAAAACAAAGTGATAGGCAATTTTGATGTGTTTCATTCTTGCATGAAACACAAGATTCGTTGCAAGATATGTTGCTCCAATATTATCACACCAGAGAACTGGTATTTCAGAGATTGTAATTTTCAATCTTTGAGGAGTGATTGAATCCAGATAAGTTTTGATGTTGTGTCTGCTAAAGCTCAGTATTCTGCTTCGGTACTTGATCTGGCCACAGTAGGCTATTTCTTGGAACTCCAGCTAACTAAATTGGTCTTGAGAAACACCAAAAATCCTCCTATAGATCTTCTATCAATAGGTGACCCTACCCAATCTGCATCAGAGTATATAGAGAGGGAGGTTGTCGACTGTTGATACATTTCAAGCCCTTCAAGAATAGTCCCTTTTAGTTACTATAGGATATGCTTGACAATTACCCAATCTTGATTTGTTAGTGAATGCATGGCTTAACACACTTGATTGACTGCAAATGAAATGTCTTGATGTGTGAATGTAATGTATTGAAGTCTCCAACAATACTTTGATAGGTATGTGGATTCATAATATCAGATGGAAGAGACATAGTTTGAGTAGATGTAGTGCAAGGAGTTGCAGTAGGTTTACAATTGTCCATATTTGCTTTCTTTAAAATAGAATGAATGTATTTTGATTGAGATAAGATAAAGCCCAATTAATTAGGAACAAGTTCAATTCCTAAGAAATAATGAGCATTACCTAGATCTTTCAAAGAAAATTTAGTATGTAAAGAGGATATGATTCAAGAAATACCTTGAGAATTTGGACTAATGAGAAGAATGTCATCAACATAAATTAACATAAAGTATGGAATATTTTTATCATATTTAAAATATAATGATGTGTCAGTTTTCGAGCCTTGAAATCTTAAGGAGGTAAGAAAATTAGTTAATTTTTGGAACCATTCTCTAGGTGCCTATTTAAGACCATAAAGAGATTTATGTAAACTAAACGAGATGAGTAATTAGAATGTTGAAAATTGGGTGGTTGTTTCATATAAACTATTTCTTGAAGATCTCTATATAAGAAAACATTTGATATATCTAATTGTCGAATGTGCCACTATTGACTGACAGCAATAGAGATGAGTAATTTGATGGTGACAAGTTTAACTACTAGACTAAATGTTTCATTATAATCAAGTCCTTCTAGTTGTGTGTATCCTTTGGCAACTAAACGAGCTTTATGCCTTTCAATAGTGACATCAGGATTATATTTTGTTTTATAAATCCACCTACATCCTACTAGTTTAAAGTGAGATGGTCTTGGCACCAGAGTTCATGTTTTGTTTCGAATTAGAGCATTGAATTCTTCATTTATTGCTCAAACCCATTTCAGATCCTTTGAGGCCTTAGAGTAACAGGTAGGGTCATCAGAAGAATGTTTGTGAACATTGAAACATTCTGGAAAGGGATGAAGGGTAGTTGGTTTAGTAAAGGGATTTTTTTGAGAATAAATATCACTTAGTAGTTGGGTTTTGAGAGGAGTTGAGTTCGGAGAAAGACTAGATGTATTTTCACTTTGTGACTTCTCTAAAATGGAGTTGTAGGAGTGGTATTTGTGGAATCTGAAGTGATGGATATATTTTCTGAGAGTACTATTTCATCTTTGGATGAGAATGTAAGAGGAAGATTGTTTGACAAATTTGAAGAGTTCAGATTTTCAATGTTAGAAGAGACTTGATTGATTGTTGACTGCTGAGAAGGGATATGAGAATTCGTCTGAGCAGGTAGTACAATTACTGATAGAGGTGGTCCTAAGAGACTTGGACGTTCAGTATAATTAGGTTGATCTAAGATAGATATTTAGGAGTTTAAAAATGGAAAGGTGGCTTCATCAAAGAAAACATCCCTAGAGATGAATATTTTTCTATTTTGGAGTGAGAGACATCTATAACCATTGTGAGATGAACTATACCCTAAAAATACACATCGTTCAGACCTAGTATCGAGTTTATTGGGCATATATGGTCTAAGATTTGGGTAGCATAAACACTCAGAAGTTTTTAGAAATGAGTAATCTAGCTTGAGGTGAAAGAGGATTTCATAAGGAGATTTATGATTAAGATTTGGAGAAGGCATTCTATTAATGAGATAGGCAACAGTAGTTACTACTTCATCCCAGTAGTTGGTCAAGGCTTGAAATTCTCCTCCCCAATCTGATTATAGAGACACAAGTTTTGTGGAGAACGAGTTCTCTATCTTAAGATGAAATTCAGTAAAAATTGAGAGAACATCACTTTTTTTTTTCATAGGAAATAGCCATATATACTTTCTGAAATCATCAAAAAAAATCACATAGTAAAGATAGCCAAAATGAGAAAGAATAGGGGCAGGCCCGCAAATATCAGAATGTATCAATTCAAGAGGTTTGGTGGTTTTATGTAATGAAAGTGTAAAAGGGAGTTTATGTGATTTTGCCAATCCACATGCATCACAAATAAAATTCTGAGTTCTATGAGTGATTGGCAAACCATATTTGTCCATAACTTGTTTTAAAATTCGGAAATGAGGATGTCCTAATCTATTATGCCATATCTGAGGAGATGATTTTTCTCCAAAGAATGCAACTGGAGCTTGTATCAATTGTAGACAATAGAGTCCGTCGTTATTGGTTCCCTGAGGAGGATTCGTTTCATTTCCTGGTTCTTCACAACACAAAAATCAGCATGAAATTCAAAAAATATATTGTTGTCTCAAGCAAATTTTTGAACTGATAAAGGATACTTTTTAATTTGTGGTGCATGTAATATATCCTTACACTGTAATGGACGATATTTAGTGTTAATAGTTGATCCTTGAGAATGGATGGGCAAACCTCGTCCATTACCTATATAAAACTGATCTGACCCATTGTAGACAGTTGAGTTTTGAATGTTTTCCTGATTTGCAGTGACATGGTGAGATGCACCGTTGTCTGGATACCAGCTGTTAGTTGAATTACCATTTTCTCCTGTATGGGCTGTAAACGCTTGAAGTTGATTTGAATTTCATGTCTGATTGTTATTTTGCCGTGGAGGAGACTGAAAGTTTCTATTGAATCTTTCTCTACAGTCTAATGCTCTATGCCCGAATTTAAAGCAGACTTGGCATTTTGGAGTATATTTGTAGCCTTGCCGATTTATTTTTCCACGGTTTTGAAAATTTCCAGAGTTTTTCTGTCCTTGATATTGTTTCCTGGCTGCAATTGCAAGATTTGTTGTTGGTGGGAAATCTCCAATGGACTTTTCTTCTATTTGTTTAGGAATATGCAGATCATATGATTTCTAATTGGAGATTACGTCATCAAGCTCCAGACTGTCCAACTGTGGATTGATACATGCATATAATGAATTGTACTGAGGTCCCAATCCATTTAGAAAGGCATATGCCAGATCTTGATCTTCAATTTTATACATGCAGGCCTACAATTCATCACCAATACTCTGAATGTTCTTAATATAGGTGTCAATAGGAAGATTACCTTCCTTGAAATTGTGGAGTTTTGCTTGCAGTTCATTGATACAAGATCTTGATTTACTTGCATGATTTTCTTGAGTGCTTCCTAGACTTCTTTCGATGTCTCTTTATTGATGACATCATGTAATACTGATTCAGATAAAGAGTTAGTAATCAGGGTTAGAACTGCTTGATCCTTTTTGTACCATATTTTATATTCCAGATTTGGAATACGCTTCCCATGTCCATCGATCTTGGATATGAGCGGTGGATAATCTTCAAGAACATCTATGAGATCATGTGTTTGCAAGAGTGGAAGTAGTTGTGTCTTCCATAGCAGAAAATTCTCCCTTGTTAACTTGAGAGAGAGCAATAATGCTGAAATCCCTTGTTGAATCACAGAGTGCTGTGTGGGATGATTTGAGCATTAGAAGCACCTTCGGTTTCATCACCTGTGCTTTCTCGTGGAAGACTCATTGTCAAGTCTTTGAGCATCGTTAGGCTATGGCTTTGATGCCGTGAAAGAAATCAAGAACAAAGGGATAGAATAGAGCAAGAAGGAGAGAAAGAAAAGAAGATAGAAAGAAAAGGAACTTCTATTGATCATGAAAGAAAACTTGATTAGTTCCAACTTCTATGTTCGTCTACTTATACTATTAGTGATTTAAAAATAGTCGTTGTGTATTATTTAGTAATTGCTCTTCGGAAGGATGTAATTTCATTGAACAGTTACTCTTCTTGTTGGTTAATGCTGATGTGTGTCTTCTTTTCTTCCTTTATTTGATTAAGTCCGTTCTCATTGGTTGATCTGTTGTTTTTCGTAGATTTTCTGTTGTCCACATGTCCGCTGATTCGATTATGTCAAATCCTATTAGTTGATGTCGGTTCGCATTTGCTATGTTCTGAAGGAGACTCAGCAGGCACCCTATTGATCATTGGTGCCTGTTGTTTGAGTGATAATGTTGCTTCAATAGTGCGCTCGTGATGGGCTGATGGGCGCCGGAGGGTTGCGTCTCAGCGGCGGCGGCTGCGGCAGCAGTTACGATGGCGGTGGCGGCAGTGGCTGAGAGGAAACCTTATTTATAGCACCAAAATTCTGAAAATGATGTCCAAATGTCCAAAATTCACCACCAAAACCATCCATTACAGCTAATCCTATTTATAGGGTCAAGAATTCGTTAAAGGAAACTAAATAAAAGGAAAATCCTAATAATAAATAAAATTCGGATCTTGGATCCTAGGTTGATGATGTCGACGTGGCATGATTTCTGTGCTGACCTTCCCATCCTGTGGTGGCACCGTCCCTTCAAATGGTGGGGCTGGGACGTTAGGCCCACCACTTCCTCTTCTCTGCCGCCGGCGGAGGGGTGCTCCAGGGCGTACCACCGAGGCCATGCTGTGCACCCTGGTGGCGGCCCGGAAGATGGTGCTGGAACGCGCCGACCACGAGGGCACCGACAAGCTCATGGTCTACGCCTCCGACCAGACCCAATCCACCTTCGCCCAATGCCTGCTAGATCATCGGCATCGCACCCACCAACTTCCAGATCATACCCATGCGGAGGGAAGATGAGTTCTCCCTTCGATTCGACTCGCTGTTGGCCGCCATGAAGACTGACGCGGCGGCCGGCCTACTCCCCGCCTACGTGTGCACCACGGTCGGCACCACCTCCTCCACTGCCGTCGACCCAGAGGCGCAGCTGGCAGAGGTGGGGAGTCGGTTCGGCGCCTGGATGCACGTCGACGCGGCGTACACGGGCGCGCCTGCGTCTGGCCCGAGTTTCGCCGCCATCTGGACGGGATCGACCGGGTCAACTCCATCAACACGAGCCCCCACAAGTGGCTGCTCACGGGGCTCGACTGCTGCTGCCTCTGGGTGCGGGACCGCGCCCGGCTCACCACTTCGCTCTCCACCGATCCTGAGTACCTCAAGAACTGCGCCACCGAGTCCGGGCTGGTGGTCGGCTACAAGGACTGGAAGGTATAATCTACTATAATGCCTCTGCAACGAAAATTCAGATGTCCATGCAAATTTCAGACTATATCTCAAATAATTCCGCCATATTCACTTTGAGCAATCGGAAAAAAAATATTTTTTCCTTTCGCAGATCGGCGTGGGCCGGCAGTTCAGAGCGCCGAAGCTGTTCACGGTGATGAGGTGCTACGGCACAGCGAACCTGCAGAGGAACATCCGCAGCGAAGTCCGGATGACCCAGGGTTTCGAGGACATGGTGAGGGCAGACAGCCGGTTCGAGGTGGTCGTCCCCCGCCGGTTCGCTCTCGTCTGCTTCCGCATGCGACTGTTAGAAACTCGCCGGAGAGACGACGGCAGTTAAGACGTCGCCGGCGAGATCACCTCACGAGTCACAGGAAAAACAGCAGGAGGAACAAGGAAAACTTTCTCGCTATTGAAAAACTCTTACAGCCCTCTTTAAATAAGAAAACAAAGGGGGAAAGGAATAACCGTAAGAAATAACTAGCTGGCCAAAACTGGCCAGTATCGTGCGTTATGCAGGAAATCCCGCATTACCAAATTCCGCATTACCTCACAATAGGGGAATGGGGAAGTCACGTGCAAGGCTCCCGTTCACAACAATCTCCTCCTGAGCCTTGCTGTACTTACCACGAACATCAACGAGCCCAATCTTGGCGCGAACCTCATGGAACTTGACTTTTCCGAGTGGCTTCGTCAGAACGTCTCCTAACTGTTCTTCACTCCTGATGAACTCCACGTTGATCTGACCCTTTTCTGCGGATTCTCGGACAAGATGATACTTCACTTCAATGTGTTTGCTATGTCCATGGAGAACTGAGTTCTTGATCAACGCTATGGCAGACTTGTTGTCCACCTTCAGCATCGGCACGCTTGGTGCTGAGCCATGCACCTCTGCTAACACCCGAGCGAGCCACACACCCTGGCAGGCAGCATTGGCGGCTGCAATATACTCTGCCTCGCAGCTAGACTGAGCCACCACCTTCTGTTTCATTGACTGCCAAGTAATTGGGCTGTTGGCCAAGAAGAAAATAACTCCAGTCGTGCTCTTCCGAGCATCAACATCACCAGCGAAGTCACTATCGCTGAACCCTGTCAGCTGGACTTGCTTCTCCTTTTTCCTTTCATACCTGAGACCCCAACTCTTGGTTCCCGCCACATAGCGGAGAATTTGCTTCACAGCAGCCAAGTGATCCTTTCGTGGCTCCTCTAGAAAACGACTCACATAGCCAACCGCAAATGCCAAATCTGGACGAGTATTGACTAAGTACCTGAGACTCCCCACGATGCTTCTGTATGCTGTCGCATCCACCAGCGGCTCCGTGCTCATCTTGCTCAGTTTCAGACGTGTTGCCATTGGTACTTGACAAGGATTGCACCCTGCCATCCCGCTCCTCTCCAGAATCTTGGCGGCATAGGCTCCTTGGCTGATCAAGGTGCCCCTCGCACTCTGCCTGACTTCAATGCCAAGATAGTAGCGAAGCAGGCCGAGGTCGCTCATCTTGAATGCGTCAGCCATCTCTTTTTTGAAATGCTTGATGTCGTCGCAGCTGGCGCCGATGATCACCAGGTCATCGACGTACACCCCGACCACTAGCTGCGCCTCCCCATTCCACCTGGTGTAGATGGCATGTTCCGAGGGACTCCTCCTGAATCTGAACGACAGCAACGTTTCGTCCAACTTCGCGTTCCAGGCCCTAGGCGCCTGATGTAAGCCGTAGAGTGCCTTCTTCAGCTTAAATACCTTGTGCTCGTTGCCCGTGCTGATGAAACCGGCCGGCTGCTCCACGTACACCTCTTCCTTGAGATCGCCATTCAAGAACGCCGACTTGACATCCATGTGGTGCACCTCCCACCCCTCGTGCGCCTCGTGCGCTCTGCAGCGCCGTGCCGCCGGAAATGTGGCCGGTGATCGCGAACAAGGAGACGGCCAAGGAGGCCTGGGAGGCTATCGCCACCATGCGGATCGGCGATGACCGCGTAAAGAAGACGTCGGCTCAGAACTTGCGGTGGCAGTTCGACTCGGCGACGTTCAAGGAGGGAGAGTCTGTTGAGGACTACGCGCTGCGTCTCAACAGCATGGCGTCGACTCTCAACACCCTCGGCGACAAGGTCGAAGAGACGCAGGTAGTGGAGAAGATAATCCGCAGTGTTCCCCAGCGTTTCAGGTAGATCGTGGTCGCGATCACGATGCTGCTCGACGTGTCGACGCTCACTGTCGCGGATTTGACGGGTCGGCTCAAGGCGGCGGAGGATGCCTTCGAGGAACTGCCGTCAGCTATGCACCACGACGGCAAGCTGCACCTGACTGAGGAAGAGTGGGATGCACGGCGGAGGAAGCGCGATAATGAGAAAACTGGTGGTGGAGGTAGCAGCAGCGTGACGCACCGTGTCAAACATGGGCGCGGGCACGGGCGCGGCCGTGGCAGCGAAAAGGGCTCGTCATCAGGCGGCCTGACGGGCAACTCAGGCCGGCCCAAAGGTGATGAGTGCAGGAGATGCGGGAAGCTGGGCCACTGAGCCCGCGAGTGCCGCTCCAAGCCCAAGAAAGAACAGGCCCACATCGTCCAGAATGAGGAGGAGGCCTCGCTCCTTCTCGTGAAGTCAACAACGGCCAGATCGACGGCGCCGCCACCAACCTCCACTCCACCACGTTTTGCTGCGACTCCGCAGGCAGAGGATCGGCTCCGGCGTGCAAGCCCACCGCCGCCAGGAGAAAAAGGGGTCCCCGTCAATGGAGGGGCCGCCAAAGAAGAGCGGAAGCCAGGCGCCCAGACCTAGATCCACCTGCGGGAAGAGAAGGTGTTCGCCCACCTTGAAGAGGAGGAGCTGCGTGATGAGGAGGCGTGGGTCGTGGACACGGGCGCCACGAACCACATGTCGGGTTCCCGTACAGCTTTCACCGAGCTGGACACGAAGGTACTTGGGACGGTGCGGTTCGGCGACGACTCAGTGGCGCGAATCGAAGGCCGGGGGGCAATCGTGTTCCTGTGCAAGAACGGCGAGCACCGGTCCTTCGCGGGGGTGTATTACATTCCCCGACTGACGACGAACATCGTCAGCGTCGGCCAACTCGATGAGGCCGGGTACCATATCGACATCGAGAACGGGGCGATGAAGATCCATGAGCCAGGCGGACGGCTCCTAGCAAAGGTCATGCGCGGAGAGAACAGGCTGTACATTCTCCACGCCAAGCTGGTTCGGCAGGTGTGCCTGGAGGCGCGGGCAGTCGAAGAAGCTTGGAAATGGCACGCGCGCCTCAGCCATGTCAACATGACCGCGCTGCGGAAGATGGCTCGGGAGGAGCTGGTGCGCGGGTTGCCGGCGGTTGGTCCGGTGGACCAGCTATGTGAGGCGTGTCTCGCCGGCAAGCAAAAGCGGTCGCCGTTCCCCCAGCAGGGAGAGTACCGGGCGCGGCGTGTTCTGGAGCTGGTGCACAGCGACCTCTGTGGTCCGATTGCGCCGGAAACGCCAAATGGCAGCAAGTATTTCCTGCTGCTCGTGGATGATCGAAGCCGGTACATGTGGGTGGCCATGCTGCCTTCAAAGGACCGTGCTGCGGTGGCCATCAAGGAGATCAAGGCTCGCGCAGAAGGCGAGTCAGGACTGAAGCTGGGAGCGCTCCGTACTGATCGGGGCGGCGAATTCACCTCACATGAGTTCGCGGAGTACTGCGCGGGAGAAGGTATTCATCGTGAACACACGGCGCCATACAGCCCGCAGTAGAATGGCATCGTCGAGCGCAGGAATGGCACGGTGGTAGCAACCGCGAGGAGCATGCTCAAGGCAAAGGGGCTGCCGGGCTGGTTTTGGGGTGAGGCAGTGGCAACTGCTGTATACATCCTGAACCGGTGTCCCACGAAGAGCGTGGACGGCATGACGCCTTTCGAGGTATGGCACGGGAAGAAGCTGGCGGTGCACCATCTGAAGGTGTTCGGATGCATCGCCTACGTCCTGAACACGACACCGCATCTCAAGAAGCTGGAGGACCGCGGCCGCAAGATGATCTTCATCGGCTACGAGTACGGATCAAAGGCCTACCGAGCCTACGATCCCACCACGAGGCGTGTCCATGTGACACGGGACGTGGTGTTCGACGAGAATGCCCAGTGGGACTGGGGCAGCGGCGCGAAGCAAGGGGATGCGGGCAGCCACGACGATATGTTCACATTGGAGTATGCCGTCGGGAACCAGGTACCTCCAGAGCTCGATGGCGCCATCGAGGTACTTGATGATGATGCGCCGGGACCGGAGCCGATGTCGCCACCGTCTGTGCACTACAGTGGGGGAGCAGCGCCGATTGAAGATGGAGGAGAGGAGGTGGAGTTCGCCTCTCCACCGAGTGTCCACATTGACCACCTGGACGCTAATCACGATGATGCGCCACTCCGGTTCCACAAGATCGACAACATCGTTGGGCTGACCTTGCCACGTGGTCTCGCGTCGCGGGCGTTAATTGCAAAGGAGCTGCACGCTGTAAGTTCTGATGAGCCGGTCTCTTTTGTTGAAGCAGAAGGCCACCCGAGCTGGAGGAAGGCTATGGAGGAGGAGATGGCGTCAATCGAGGAAAACCGCACCTGGTCCCTGGTAGACCTCCCACATGGTTGCCGGGCGATCGGGTTAAAGTGGGTGTACAAGGTGAAGCGGGATGAAAACGGAGCCGTGGCGAAGTACAAGGCGCGCCTGGTGGTGAAGGGCTATGCGCAACGCCAAGGGATCGACTACGACGAGGTGTTCGCACCTGTGGCGCGGCTGGACACGGTGCGCCTTCTCATTCCACCTGGTGTAGATGGCATGTTCCGAGGGACTCGTGAGGTGAGCGCCGGGACAGGGTGATTCGTGAGGTGAGCGCCGGGACAGGGTTCCCAATGCTCACCAGGACCAACTACTCCGACTGGGCACTGCTCATGAAGGTCAAGCTCAGAGCCCGGTTGCTCTGGACCGCCATTGAGAAAGGGGGCGTCGAGCGCCTGCATGTCTTCGTGGGGTTCGACGCCCCCTTTCTCAATGGCGGTCCAGAGCAACCGGGCTCTGAGCTTGACCTTCATGAGCAGTGCCCAGTCGGAGTAGTTGGTCTTGGTGAGCATTGGGAACCCTGTCCCGGCGCTCACCTCACGAATCACCCTCTGGACCACTCCGTCCTTCCCTCCTGCCATAGCGCGTCTCGATTGCGCGTTCTCGATTCCAATGGCTGTACCTTGCCGCGATCGAGTCCCGGCCCGCAACCTGGGAGCTCTGATACCACTTGTTAGAAACTCGCCGGAGAGACGACGACAGTTAAGACGTCGCCGGCGAGATCACCTCACGAGTCACAGGAAAAACAGCAGGAGGAACAAGGAAAACTTTCTCGCTATTGAAAAACTCTTACAGCCCTCTTTAAATAAGAAAACAAAGGGGGAAAGGAATAACCGTAAGAAATAACTAGCTGGCCAAAACTGGCCAGTATCGTGCGTTATGCAGGAAATCCCGCATTACCAAATTTCGCATTACCAAATTCCGCATTACCTCACAATAGGGGAATGGGGAAGCCACATGCAAGGCTCCCGTTCACAACAGCGACCGCGCCGCGGCGGCGCGGAGGATGAGGCGGAGGCGGACGCTGCGAACCGGAGACTGCTGGAGGAGGTGAAAAAGGGCGGCGGGATCTACGCGACCCACACGGTGATGGGGGGGTTTACGTCATCCGATTTGCGGTGGGCACAACACACACTGATGGAGGAAACGCACGTGCACGCCGCTTGGGAGCTCTTCTGGGCCGGGCCGACGCCGCGTGGGAAGGTCATCGGTGACTTGAGCACGTGTCATTTTGCCTTCAACGGGTTGCGATGCATTATTTTTTTCCCAGTTGATCGATGTAATAAGGCTCACACGGTGGCAACGTTAATGTGCTAATGTCGTCTTTACAATGATGAGGAAATCATGGTGTCTTTGTGAGAGGAGGTAGATAAGCTCTACACTGAATAGATCGTTCTAGACAATCGGTCCCCACTGTGAGGTCCCTTCTCCCTGCGGCGGGTTATGTAATAACAATCGACCCATGTTTGAAGAAAGGGTATTAAAGTTCCGTTGCTCACCATGGATGGTTGTTTGACATTACACTATTACCACTCAGTGGATGGAATCAAAGATTCATCTCTATTAAATATTTGTAGTGATATAAATATGATACTTAATATTCATTTGATCATAAGTGGCCTCCTATAGTTATGAAGCTAGAAGAAACTTTATAAGTTTCAAGAGAGTTGAGCTTGGTAGTCAACAATATATGACTAAATGATCATGTTAGTGGAACTGAAGAACAAGATTCAATCCACTCAATGGTTAGATACCAAAATATTTAATACAGTCTTGACATGTAAATTTAGAAAGAAAATTTGGGATGTACTATAGATTATTCATCAAGTAAACACTGAAGTGAAAGAACCCAAATTTACCAACTGGTTTGTTAATATGGGATGCTTACCATGAGTGAGAATGAGCCCATTTTAGAAATGCTCAATAGATTTACTAACATTATAAATGGTCTAACTAGCTCAGGAAGAGCCTATCTTGTAAAAAATGTAAATAAGAAAATTTTGATGTCCTTATCCTTTTGTCGGACATCTTAAGTCATAATAATTTAGGAGGTTAAAGATTCGAAAAACTTGTCTTTAGATAATGTTTTAGAAACTCTCTTAACCTATGAAAAGGGTATAAGAACAAACAAAGTCAGGATGGAAAAATCTTGTAAGATAATTGTTGCCTTGAAATGATCTAAAATTATAGATAATTATGAATATTTATGACATGAAAGGTGTAAGAATTATTTTATAAAAGAGCTTAAATCTTATAATATAGCATGTTATCATATTAAAAATAAACATTTATTATTTCTTTGCATATTTCATGAATTTTAATATTTTAGAGAATTTTTTGAAAATTTTCTCTTAGTTTTACAGTCATAATTGATTTTTTATTAATGTGAGAGAATTTGAGGGATTTTTGATTTCTTTTTATAATTTTTCGGATGTCAATATATGCTTCAGTGGATGAGATGTGATCAGTGGAGATGAGGCGATGGAATCAAGGACTAAGGCATTGATATGCGGCATCATCAAATGAGGAGATCGGAAGCTATCAAGAACGACCATGCAATCAATGACAGATGGAGCATACTTACTAGGGGTGCAGTAGATCTCAACATTTAAGAAGATCCGACATCTACGAAAAAACTTTTAAATCCAATGCTTCAGATCAACTTGAGAAGAAACTATCTCTCACCTGATTTTATTGCAGCCAAAAAGATAGAAATGCCCTCATTTAATCATAGCCCTGCACATGAATTTCCGTCCTCTCGTGTAAACCCTTAAACATTTAAGCTGCCGTTTAAGGGTAGAAGAATGTAACTTCAAATGTCCCCACATTTCTGTCCTCTCGTGTTCGAGTTGATTCAAGCTTGGTTTTGCGGCTAAGATTGTCAGAGAAGCATACTCGAAGAAGAAACTTCTTAGCCTTGGCGAAATATAGAGGCCCAAGATAAGTTTCTCTAGGTCTAATACATTCCAAGTGTAAACAACAACCTAGCTTCTGTAGGTTTGAACAGATAGAAATACGATGTTAACTTCGTCTCGTGAATTATTTGTGAGTGTTTTCCCCATTTTTAATCATCTTCTACATCGCTGAACCATCGTTTCCCCCTTCTCCAATGGTGAAAATTCTTCTTATTTGCCATCACCTCTCTTTTGAACTTGCTTGATTTAGATAGCAACTAAGTAATGCCTAATTCTCATTTCAAGTGATCGACCTCGAGCTTACCACCGTACTTACCTACTTTTGTATTTTATTTAGTAAATTCATGAGTAATATTGAGTGATAAAGATAATTATTCATCAGAAAATGAAGAAAAAGCTAAATATAATTTATGCTTTGTTGCTCATGAGCTTGAGGTAAATGATTTATGTGACGAAGAAATTTAAAGAAAAGAAATTTTAAAATCACATGCTGAACTTCAAAATGCTCTTAGAAATAGTGATATTCATAAAAAATCTAGAAAAAAATCATATAGTTGAAAGAATAGGTAAAAATAATGTCTGAATAATTAGACACCAATACAAATATGAATATTCAGAACCATTCAATAAAAACATTCAATTGAAGTCAAAACTAGAAAAGCTTAAGATAGATACATGTGTTGAAAAGCCTAACAATAGAGAGAAACAAGTAGAGAAGGGAAAAAAAAATTAGGAGATGAGTTTCTGCAATTTAGAGTTAGTTAAAGTTGAAAAATTCAGACTGCTGATGGATAAAAAATAGTAGAGAAATACCAAGAAAAACTATTTTAAAAAATTCAATGAGAGTTAGCAAAAGTCAGATGAATTGATAGAAACCTAACATAGTCATATGAATAAACAAGGAGTAAGATGAGATGGATAAATAGGAGGAACAAGAGAATAGAAAGCCAGAAAATTATATTGCATCAGAAGTGCCAAGATATTGAGGAAGGTTTTTTTTCTCTGATTCCTACCTGCTGCGGCCACGTTGTCCCTGGCATAAAGGCGGCAGCGACAACAAACATAGCAAAAGGGGAAAGGAAGGATAAAATAAGGAAAAAATAGAGTTTATAGATAACTTACCACTTAAAACTAGGATCAAAATCATGAACAACATTCGAACTATGGGAAAAACAAACCAAATGCGAAACTGAAATCAAAGCTGTCCATGTCTCTCCCCCAAGGACAAAATTGACTGGAAAAATAATTAGTGGATAAATAGTCAAACCCAGCCACATGCCTGTCAGTCACACAGCTGGACCAGTGAAAATAACAAAAATAAAATGCAACTAGGATGAAATAAACTTAGTTCATGGGTCCCCTTTCTCCACTGTGCCCTTGTCTCTATCTAATTCCTAGGAGGGAAAGCTTGAAGACTGGTAGGGAAGGCTCTGCCGCCATTGTGCTCAGCCCATCGTGGTCGTTGCTGTGCTCACCTCCATTTGTCACCCAGAGGAAATATCATCTATCGCTGCCACCATGCCCACCTGCATCTGTCACCTGGAGGGAAAGTTGTCCATCATCGCTACTGTCATCTGTTTGCTGCTGCTGTGCCCTTCTATGTTCTAGGCCCTATCAAGTCACTCTTCCTTCTCTCTCTCTCTCTCTCTCTCTCTCTCTCTCTCTCTCTCTCTCTCTCTCTCTCTCTCCCTCTCTCTCTCTCTCCCACTCTCTCTCTCTCTCTCTTTCTCTCTCTTTCTCTCTTCTCCCTTAACCCCCTATGATGGGCTAGACTATTGGGCCCAATATAATCATCCCATTAGCAGGCTGTGTCCTTTATATAAATTCAAATAAAGCTAGGAAAAATTATATTTTTCCAACTTCTGTCTTTTTTGTTATTTATTTTCAATAATAATAAAGAAATCAATATTTCTCAAGGCTGTATGCCTTGGACTGTCATGTTAGTATTTGAGTTCAATCATCAAATGGACATTTCTCAAAAATAATTGTAAGTTTATACAAAAATTCATTAAATTTTTTGTAAAATCCATTTATTGTTTTAAATTTAATTTTAATATATTTGAGCTTAGTTAATGCAATATTTACTATCATTTTTCTTCAATTATTACGCAAAAATTAAACACTAATAGGTAGCATGAAGAGGTATGTAATTCTAATTGATTCACAACTTGAAAATTGAAACTATTTTTTGTCCAAAAATGAGTTCAAAACAAATTAAAATTCTTATATATTTATGGTTTTTGGGATTAAAGTTATATAATGATCAATGATTTGTGTTGGTGATGCCTTGAAAAATTATTTTTGAAACATATATATGTCTGAAATATTAAGTTGTTATAAATTATTAAGTTGATTCAAAACATAAATATGTTTCAAATTTTTTTAAAACAAATTTCTATTTTGAAGAATATTTTTAAAATTATTAAGTTGTTATAAAATTGAAATATGAAACTATTTATACTGATAAATTAGTCCAAAATAAAATCTTGTTATTTATGACTATTTTTTGGACTTAAATTGTGTGATGAAAGATGTTTTGTACTAATGGTTGAATGATGACTTAGGTTTGAATCACATGATGTGTGATAAACTTAAGTAGACAATCAAAAAGTAGTACATGAATCAAGACGAAATTTAGGACCCACTTATGAAACATTGTTAGCCAATGACTGATGAATTATTGTATAAATTATGAGTCTTGATAACATAATAGGAAACTGACGAGTGATTAAATTATGCTCAAATATTGATATAAAAATTCTAATGATTTTCACCTTCTATGTGTAGGAAAATGATATAATCGATTATGATTACTATTCTTATATTCTCATATCTTCTAGATAAATTATAGTCACAAGACAAATAATATTGAAAACAAGAGAAACCAAGTACTTGTTAGAAAGATATAAGTGATAGTTTAAAATGGAACTTAGAAAACCTCAGTTTGAGTTCATGCTTGGTAATGATTAGAAAATACATGCCAATTATCAATGAAATGAAGATTTATAAGTTCAATATTTCAGCCCACATTTTATTTTAACGTGATCTGAATTTCTCTAGGTTATTCAATCCATGCTATCATTGATTCAATTTATTTTAAAGCTAGATTGGTAAAGGGAGTGGTCCAAACTAATGTTGACCAAATTTTAACCATAATTATATTTTTAGAAATTTTGATCCAAACTAATCAAATTTTAAAAATCAAACTAAATGTTGATTTTTAGGAATCTTCACTATCCTTGTAATTAGATCTGAACTATATAATCTATGACAAATAAATTGACTTTCGTTTATAAATTTAATTTCAGTCTTTGAAAATATTAATTATATCATCTTTTGTAACTCTAAGTCTTGTCCTGAAGTTCTTTCCAAAGTATAGTTGTGAAATTTCAAAAACATAGTTCTATTTTTTTTAACAAAAACGTTGATCAATTAAGATTCTATTATGCTATGAGTTACAGGAATTTTCTTCTTAATTCTTTGTTTTCTGAACTAATCCCTTACAGAATCATGAGCAGCTTTTTAAATTCTAAATGTTCTCATATGTCATTCTTCCAAAAATTTGAATAGCCAATTTTGATTCTTCAAAATAAGCCAACAAACCATGCCTTAAAACATTACTATTTTTTATTATGACAAAGAAAATCATCTTGAAGAACATCGTAACAATTATAATTTAATCAATCTTTCATTTGCACCCCCTAACTTTACTGATAACAAACTTAAAATTGATGCCATAGATTTCACACAACTTCAAGCATATTATTTTGTGAATCAGGATTGAGAATTAGAAAAAATAGTCTATAAATCTATCCACATCAAAATTTGTAATTTCAAGTGACTCCATATCATTGCAACTCAATGCCAAATCTATCTCATACGGGTAAATAGATTATATTGTGATAAGTCTTCATTATCATGAGTTAATAATTAGTAAATAATATAGTTTTAGCCTTAACTCATGATAAATAGACTTATATTTGTGTTAAAGCATGAAAAGTGGTTTTCAGTTGATTAACGTGAATTTTTGGGTAATTATGTGATTTTATACGATTTTTACGGTCTTAGTTTTGAGATAAATGAAGAACAAGAAATAAAAATAAAAATATTGCAAAATGGGGGGACCCGCCGGCCAGCCGGGCCCGCAAGCGGGTCGGAATCGCGGTCAGGGAGTAGCCGCGAGCAGGGGCTCGAGCAGCTTGCTTGGATCGATAGGGGCACGTGTGCGCCACTCTCCTTCCACGTCACCGATGTTCAGCTGGCTGTGGGGCAAGGAGTGGTCGTACACGCGAGAGGATTTTGCCTAGAAAGCTAACTTTACTATATATTCGCCCGAATAATCTGCGCACAACCGATGTGGGACTAAACCCGCGTCACACCTTGTTCAGGGACGGGCGACCGCCGCAGGTTCGAATCCTCCCAGAGTCAAAATTCATATATTTTTAACTGATTATCGCGACTTTCCTGCAGATCGCCGGTGAAGGATTAAGCAACCAAAATTGCTGGATCATCGGCGAAAATCTCGTCAACGCGATTCGCGGAGCATTGCTACTAAAATTTCTGAACGATTCGCGATAAAAGGATCGCAATCCATCGAGTAAATCATCTCCGATTGATCGACGAACAAGCCGTCGTCGGGAAGAGGACGATCCGCCAGGAGACCAGTCGCCACCTCCTGAGAGCGTACCAGATGCGATGAAGAGCCTCCTCTTACTGCGCGGACCTGAGGATGAAGCTCCCTAACACGCGCCCCACCTCCATCCAGCTCCTCTCCGTCGGGTGACAGCTGCCGGAGAGCCGCAAAGTCGCTGTTTTTCCGCTCCGCCGGGTGACAGCCGCCGGAGACGATTCGACGACCCACTTCATTGATCTCTAGACTTCGTGAGAAGATCTAGAGATTGCCCACGTCGTCTTTGTCCAAGGAGAGCCTTCGAGGCCGTGGACACTGCATGACGACCTTCCCGAACGCTCAGGATTCCGGTGCATCGCCGACGCGTCGCCGTCGCGACGCCGGAACTCTGTTTTCCTGCTTTCAATTTAATTTACTCTTTATTTAGTGATACTTTGTGTGATTTTTAATTTACCAAACTATACTTCGTTAAATTACGATTCTTCCGGCTTTTACAGATCTTAATTTGATTAATTAAGTCATCTGTAATCGCTTACGTAAGAATCGCCGGGCGGAACTCTGTTTCCGCCTGATTCGCGTTCACCTGGCGCTGACGTCATCCTGACGCCCGCACCCTTATTTCCTTTTTTTTCGTGAATTTTAAATATATTTCCTTTTTATTTCCTAGTATAAAATTCGTAAGAAAATCGTATTCATTGAGAAAAATTCTGAATAATTACCAGATATTATATTACATCCCTGTGATCGACCTGGAAAATTACCGCTATTTTTGGATTTTATTGAATTATAATTGATATATTTATTTAGAAATACTTCTAAATATCCGAAAATTCGTATTTTCTAGTTTTATAAATTTTATATTTGCGTGATTTAATATACAACGACTGAGTCACGTCATATTGCAACTTCTATATATCTAATGACACCTTCACAACTGATTTGAGAGTAAACTCCAACACTACTACCATAATAACTATAAACTTAGAAGTTCTAAAAGATGGGTTCTACTATACTCATAGATTAGGTGAAAAACTCATGAATATTGTTCTACCTAATTCACATGCATGGACCTGCCATGTTCACTCAAGACTTGACACAAATGTTTTTCAACTCTATTTAAAAATTCTTCTTCCTCACATAGATGCAGAAACTCATTCAACTATTGCTAATCAAATTCTGATTTATCACTTTTCTTGATGTCAAATCATACATTAGGTTGATATGATTCCTCTCCTAATGGAATAATCCCTATTCAACCTAGAACCCTCTATTCCTCAAAAAATGGCAGCAATAGATATCCTCTAGTACTTTCAATTTGATCTATTGAAAGATAATTTTACTTGGAAAAAATTTCTTCATAGAAAATTTTAAACACTTCTAACCAGAATACTATAATCTGACCAGTCTTTCACTTATTTCTCCACCATTTTCATCCCTATTAGCATATCTATTTTAAACCTAATTATTTGTATAATACTAAAGCATAATTCTCAAGGGAGTTTCAAATGTTTTATGTACTTTTTTGATGATGACAGAAAGGGAGAGTAAAAGTAAAAGTTTTGAAATGAAGAAGTTCCATAACTTAGGGGGAGAAATTAAAAGTCATTATGTTAAAAGAGAGACTGAAGAAAGGTGAGCAAGAAAAAGAGTATGGAGAAAAAGGGAGCAATAAGAAAAGGAGAGAAAAAATAAGTATATTGTAACAATTCTATTATTCATATTTGAATGACGTTTGAATTCCATGCTTTATTCAAATTTTGAATGGTAAAAATATATCAATTAAACTTTTATTGCTAATAACACATCATTGATATATATTATACACTTTGTACAAATATTCTCATAAATACTATAATTCACATATTAAAAAATTAAAAATGTTAAAAATAAACTGAATTGATCTTTATATGTATAGTTTCATCATCACCATAAAGGGAGATATTGTTGGAGCATTAAATACATGATGGGTTTTTATGATGAAAAATATTCATAAGATAAGTTAAAATATTGAACTATGCCTATTGTTGAATATATTTAATATTAGCTTGAACATGAAAGTGATCATACATATTCAATATAATAATATTAAATGTTCATTCATTGAAATATGCCACAATGATGAAGTTATTATTATGACTAGTAATTTTAAACTTATAGATTTGATTGATTTCATCATATAAAGTTATTATATTACATATTAATGTAGTAGAAAGTAAAAGTATTTAGAAAATATGCCATAATGATGAGATAATAATTAGCACAGTTGAATCATTAAGGTTTAGTGAAGTAAAAAAGTGTAGGAAAATATAGTTAGTCTATTTTGTACTAGTGATATCAGATAACTAATTTTGAATACTTTTGATATTAAATTAATCAATTCAATTCATACCACTTATTTTACTACATATGTTTTAGTTATTGAGAAATATACTTTTTAAAATTGTTTTAAATATCTTAAATTATCAAAAACATGATTATAAATATTCAGTTCATGATTAAAAATATTTATTTTATGTTCATATATTTTTTTTATTTGAATAAGAGTTTCTTACTAAATTACCATCTTATTAGAACATATATTGTTAGTCTAGTAACAATATCAAATCCTTATTAGTCTTAATCATTATCCTCTTAATTAAAATTTAAAATGCACTCTAAATCAACTTCATCTTTCAAAAATCTACACATGGTGATACCTTTTATATATGTTGTAGGATAAACTTGTGATTTAAAGATTATATGATACCTAGTAGAACCTATATCTCTGAATAGTTGTTGGCCTCTTAAAGCCATGAATGTAGAAGAGAATTTTGAGGTGAAACTTCAAGAAAGTTAAGCCCAATAATCAGTGGTGTGTGATCAAATGATCATAGTTAATGGAACCTAAGAACAAAGTTGTTCTTTGAGAGTATACATAGGTAGTGAGCCAAACCATTATAAAATCTCAAAGTCTTATATTCATTAAGTTAAGAATATTATGTCAATTTGAAATATAAGGAGAAGATTGATGCATCTTCTTAGATTTTGTTCAAAAGAATTTTAGAAATAGATCAATTCAACCCCCCCCCTCCTACATGTTGATCCTAGTGTAGGCTAAAATCCAAAAAGTTCTACTTCCTCTTCATTATAATTTTTTGATGCATTTCAAATTAACATTAATGAATAATTTTGTGTCATGACTCAAAGTAGAGATCTTCTAGGTGAAAGGCATCTTAAAAGACCTCAAAATGAAATGATAGAGTTTCATTAAATTATATTATTACAAAAATCTGCTTTAAGTATTATATAGAACTCAATGTAATATTATAAAATCACGTATATCAAAATTGATCAGTACTTCATAAAGAAAAAAACTGATAGTGACATCATTTGCACATTTCAACTGATTGGCAAGTAAAAAATATTCTCACCAACTGATTAAGTAGATAAACCTTCTAGAGCTTGACAAGTCTTCATTATCATGAGTTAATAATTAGTACATAATATAGTTTTAGCCTTAACTAATGATAAATAAATATATATTTGTGTTAAAGTTTGAAAAGTGGTTTTTAGTTAATTAATATGAATTTTTGGCTAATTATGTGATTTTACACGAACCTATATGATTTTTACAATTTTGCTTTTGAGATAAATGAAGAAAGAGAAATAAAAAATAAAAATAAGACAAAACAAGGGGGACTCGCCAGCTAGCTGGGTCCACAAGTAGGTCGAAAGCTTAGTCAAGGAGTAGCTGTGAGTAGGGACTCGAGCGACATAGACTGATAGGGGCACGTGTGCACCACTCTCCTTCCATATCACTGATGGCCAGCCAACTGTGGGGCAAGGAGTAATCATACACGCGAGAAAAGGGACTTGCTTAGAAATCTAACATTACTATATATTCATCTGAAAAATCAGCGCACAATCGATGTAGGACTAAATCTGTATCACGCCTTCCTTAGAAGGGGCGGGCAACTGGCATAAGTTTGAATCCTCCTAGAGTTAAAAGTCACATATTTTTATCTGAGTATCACGACTTTCTGTAGATCACTCGTGAAGGATTAAGCAACGAGAATCGCTAGATCATTGCCAAAAATCTCGTCAACATGATTCGCAGAGCATTGCTACTAAAATTGTTGAACAATTCACGATAAAAGGATCGTGAATCCATCGAGTAAATCATCTTCAATTGATCGACGAAGAAGCCGTCGTCAGGAAGAGGATAATCCATCGAGAGACGAGTCACCACCTCTTGAGGGCATACCAGATGCGATGAAGAGCCTCCTCTTACTGTGCAAACCTGAGGACTAAGCTCCCTGATATGTGCCCCACCCCCATCTAGATCCTCTCTATCGAGTAATAGCCGTCGGAGAGTCGTAAAGTTGCTGTTTTTCCACTCCGTTAGGTGATAGCCACCGAGGATGATTCGATGACCTATTTCATTAATCTCTAGATTTCGCAAGGAGATCTAGAGATTGCTCACATCGTCTTTGTCTAAGGAGAGCCTTCGAGGCCATAGACACTACACGACGATCCTCTTGAATGCTCAAGATTCTAGTGCATCGCTGACACATCGTCATCACAATATTGGAACTATGTTTTCCTACTTTTAACTTAATATACGCTTCATTTAGTGATACTTTGTGTGATTTTAATTTACTAAAATATACCTCTTTCAATTACGATTCTTCTAGGTTTTACAGATTTTAATTTGATTAATTAAATTGTCTGTAATCACTTACATAAAAATCACTAGGTGCAACTCTATTTTTGCCTGATTCACGTTTGTCAAGTGCTGACATCATCTTGACATTCACACCATTATTTTCTTTTGTTCGTGAATTTTAAATATATTTCCTTTTCATTTCCTAGTATAAAATTCATAGAAAATCATATTCTTTGAGAAAAATTTTGAATTACTAGATATTATACTGCATCCTTGTGATTGACCTAGAAAATTACTATTATTTTTTAGAAGTTTTATTAAATTATAATTGATATATTTGTTCAAAAATACTTCTAAATATCTAAAAACTCATATTTTCTAGTTTTATAAATTTTAGATTTATGTGATTTAATATACAATGGCTGAGTCATGTCAAAGTTCATATCTGAATTGGGATTTATTGACATCCACTCACCAATTTGAAGTGAATTGTTGAAGGATGAGGTATTATACTCATACTATAGTTATCTTTTAATTATATTAAAGTTGAAAAAGCCTCACTTTGAAATTATTTCTTGATTTGTATGAAAACAACTTTAAACCAAATTTTGATTTAATAACTCAAAGAAATTCATTTTTGCAATTAGTGTTAGGTTTCCAATAAATAGTAATGTAGAATGGAATTGTTAAGTGAAGTTTAATGGGAGTTCAACCTAGTAAACATCAATTATGTACAAAAAAATTAATTTAGTAGAACCCAATAACTAAATGTTCAAATAGAGTGAACATAGAGAGGGAATCAGGCCAATTTAGAAACTTTGGAGTACTTTAGATTTAGACCAAGGATATTTAAGAAAATTTATGTGTAGAAATTTTAGAAATAGTAGGATTAAAAAATATATGGCTAAACTCAAATTAAGATCCAATCAACTAGACCCCTCCCCCTTCCTTGATCTAGGCACAGCCTAAAACAAAAAAAGTGGTATTAGATCCAACATATATGGTGTGCACTTGTTATTGTGTTTAAATGCACACTATCTAATAATATTTATAACTAAAACTTAATAAACTATTAGTAAAGAAGTAAGTGCCAAGTCAAACATAGGGAGATTGATTAATCTATCGTGAAAACTAATGAAATTTATATATAAAGTAATTTTAATATTTTATTAATGTTTAATGAAAATAATAAAATAGAATGGTGAGGTGAGAAGAATAAAGGAGGAAAAGAGAGAGAGCTCTCATGAGAGAGAGAAGGGATGAGATCTCTTGTGAAAGGGAGAGAGTTCTCACGAGAGAGAGAGGGGATGGGATCTCTTGCAAAAGGAAGAGAAAAAGAGAGGAGGAGAGATAGAGATCAATTGAGAAAGAGAAAGAGAAGGAGATTGATTGAGAGAAAGGGAGAGATCTCATGAGAGATGGAGAGAGAAGAGAGGTCTCACGAGAGAGGGAGAGAGAGAAATAAGACAAAGATGAAGAAAGAGAGAAATATAGTCAACCTATTTTCTTAGACGAATGTGTGCTTGAGGATTCACACACATGACATGAGGTCAGCCATAAATGTCTCCAGCTTGTTTTAATTGTTGAATGCTTAATAATCAGCCTTTGATCTTGGTGATGTCACATTCGAAAAAAGAAAAATACTCATTATTTGTAGAATATGAGAACATGAATATGTCAAGATTCGACTATGAAAATTAATAGAAAACAAGTTAAAAATGATCTTAGCTTAATCTCAAACAAGTTTCAGAGGATTCAAAAGAAGAACGAAGATCATTTATCAAGTTTTGAATTAGTTTTACTCATTTCAATCAAAACGTGCATGAAACAAAAAGAACTTGTCGTAAAATGTAAATAAATGATTGACGTGACTTAGTTGTTGTATAGTAAATCATGCAAATTTAAATTTATAAAACTAGAAAATATGAATTTTTGGATATTTAGAAGTATTTCTGAAAAATTATATCAATTATAATTTAATAAAAATTTCAAAAATAGTAGTAATTTTTTATGTCAATCATAGGGATGTAATATAATATCAAGTAATTATTTAAAATTTTTCTCAAAGAATACTATTTTCTATGAATTTTATACTTGGAAATAAAAAATAAATATATTTAAAATTTACAAAAATATAAATAACGGTGCGGACGTCAAGATGACATTAGCACCTCACAAATGCAAATCAGACAAAAATAAAGTTCTATTCGATGATTCTTACATAAGCAATTATGGACAATTTAATTGATCAAATTAAGATCTATAAAAGTCAAAAGAATCGTAATTGAATGAAGTATATCTTGGTAAATTTAAAATCTAAAAATTATCACTAAATGAAGTAAGAATTAAGTTGAAAGCTGAAAATTAGTCTTCCAACGTTACGATGGTGATGCATCAGAATCTTGAGCATTCGAGAGGATTGTTGTGTAGTGTCCATGGCCTTGAAGACTTTCTTTGGACAAGGATGGCGTGGGCAATCTTTAGATCTCCTTGCGAAGTGTAGAGATCAATGAAATGGGTCATCAAATTGTCTTTGGCGGCTGTTGATAAGTCTTCATTATCATGAGTTAATAATTAGTAAATAATATAGTTTTAGCCTTAACTCATGATAAATAGACTTATATTTGTGTTAAAGCATGAAAAGTGGTTTTCAGTTGATTAACGTGAATTTTTGGGTAATTATGTGATTTTATACGATTTTTACAGTCTTAGTTTTGAGATAAAACGAAGAACAAGAAATAAAAATAAAAATATTGCAAAATGGGGGGATCCGCCGGCCAGCCGGGCCCGCAAGCGGGTCGGAAGCGCAGTCGGGGAGTAACCGCGAGTAGGGGCTGGAGCGGCTTGCTTGGATCGACAGGGGCACGTGTGCGCCACTCCCCTTCCACGTCACCAGTGGTCAGCCGGTTGTGGGGCAAGGAGTGGTCGTACACGCGAGAGGACTTTGCCTACAAAGCTAACTTTACTATATAATCGCCCAAATAATCCGCGCACAACCGATGTGGGACTAAATCCACCTTCTTCAAGGGCGGGCGACCGCCGCGGGTTCGAATCCTCCCAGAGTCAAAATTCATATATTTTTAATTGATTATCGCGACTTTCCTACAGATCGCCGGTGAAGGATTAAGCAACTGGAATCGCTGGATCATCGGCGAAAATCTCGTCAACGCGATTCGCGGAGCATTGCTACTAAAATTTCTGAACGATTCGCGATAAAAGGATCGTAATCCATCGAGTAAATCATCTCCGATTGATCGACGAACAAGCCGTCGTCGGGAAGAGGACGATCCGCCGGGAGACCAGTCGCCACCTCCTGAGAGCGTACCAGATGCGATGAAGAGCCTCCTCTTGCTGCGCGGACCTGAGGATGAAGCTCCCTAACACGCGCCTCACCTCCATCCAGCCCCTCTCCGTCGAGTGACAGCCGCCGGAGAGCCGCAAAGTCGCCGTTTTTCCGCTCCGCCAGGTGACAGCCGCCGGAGACGATTCGACGACCCACTTCATTGGTCTCTAGACTTCGCGAGAAGATCTAGAGATTGCCCACGTCGACTTAAATCATTGCTAGTCCCTTAGCAATGGAATTACGAAAATAAAAATTTACAAATCTCAAAGATCATATTCAATACAGAAAAGAAATACAATTAGAAATGATGCACCTTAAAACACTTTGGATTCTTATATCAAGTATTTAAGAATGATGTCAAGCACTTAAATGTTTAAACACTCCTTGGAATAACAATCTAGACTTCACTTCTTCTATTCACATCTTTATCACTTCTTCACTCATAGATGTATTTACAAGATGTTCCAATTATCAATACTCATCCAAGAATAATATTGATCTTACATTTCCCTTTTTCTATGACTTGATTTTTTGAATTTTGCACTATATTTCTTCCTTCTTTTTTTTTTTATATATATATAGTGGATAAGTAGCTTTTCCTGTAGACAAATTTCGACAATAAGAATGATGTCTCACACCCTCCATGTGTACTCTTCATTTTCAGGGCTTTCACTTTATCCACTTATTTTTCAGCAAGTGTTTTTCTATGCACGATTTTCGACAATGAGAATGATGTCTCACACCCTCCATGTGTACTCTTCGTTTCTAGATTTTTCACATTACTCTCTCTTTTTTTTTTTTGAAATAAGTGATTTCTCCTCACAAGTCCTATAGATCAGGGTGCAAAAATCTCCATTAAACTCAAATGATCAATCAAATTTTCACATCAAGTAAATATTATCCATCAAGATCATGAAGTGAAAATCTGTAAAATCAAATCCATGTTATCTATCATGTATCCAAGGAGTATTCCAACATTTCATGCTACTAGATCATTCTTTTGACTCAATAATAATCTTCCTAGTATCTTTTGGTATCAATCAATCTAATTGATTTAATTTTTCATGCATGCAATATGATGTAAGGAATTTGTAAATTAGATAGTTCTGACAGTTCTGTTTTCTGTTTTCAGTTCTATTTTAGCAGCAATAAATTTGTCAAAAATAAATCAAAACTATCTTCTTTATAGCTGTAATTTCGAATTTCAGTAATATATATCTAGGGGATTGAAATGTGAGAAAAGGGTCTTCTAGAATTTCAAATTTCGGGCTGTTTTTTGTCTGCTGTTTTTGACAGTCTGTTGTTTCTGACAGAAAACCAGAAAATAGATGTTGCAATTTTTCCGAGTTTTATTTTATTTTTATTTTTTTAGTTGCTGTTCTAAGTTGAATAAAATGCAAACACATGTTCTTAATCGTCCTACAGCATAAATTAATAATGAATACTTCACCCCCCAACTTAAAAATGACATTGTCCTCAATGACACAGAAAACTCGAAACAGAATATGTAGAAAATATAATTTTCAAGTGAAGCATGCATATCTGCAAAGTTAAGCATTAAAAATATTTTCATAAATGATGAAGCTCAGAAAGACATCACCTCAACCTCGTTTTTAATTTTCCACTTCATCTTACACTCCTGCACTTTTTCGAAAGAAAAACAAATACAGAAACAAGTACTGCGAAATTCTAAGAAAAACAGAGCTTAAAAAAAAATCAAACAGAATGAAATAAAAACCATGGGTTGCCTCCCATGCAGCGCTGAATTTAATGTCTCCAGCTGGACTCCTTGATCTTACTCTTGAATTTCTTTTAATAATAAAATTTCTTTTTCTGCAAGGCATTCATGTTCTATGTAATGTTTAAGCCGCTGTCCATTTACCTTAAAGTTATGATCACTTTTAGGATCTTTAATCATTACAGCCCCATGATCATATGTCTCTTCCACCACATAAGGCCCTTTCCATTTTGATTTTAATTTTCCTGGGAATAATTTCAGCCTAGAATCATATAACCACACTTTTTGTCCAACATCAAATTTTTTTCTGCTAATGTATTTATCATGAAAAGTTTTAGTTTTTTCTTTATATATTCTATGATTTTCATAAGCTTCATTCCTCAACTCCTCTAGTTCATGTAACTGAAAAATTCTATGCCCACCAGCTGATTTTTCATCCATACATAAATTTTTTATAGCCCATAATGCTTTATGCTCTATTTCCACAGGAAGATGACATGGCTTTCCAAAAATGAGACGAAATGGGGACATACCTATGGGATTTTTATAAGCTGTTCTATAAGCCCATAATGCATCTTGTAATTTCGTGGGCCAATCTTTCCTATCTGGTCTAACTATTTTTCTCAAAATTCTCTGAATTTCCCTATTTGCTACTTCAGCTTGCCCATTTGTTTGGGGATGATATGGAGTGGCTACTCTATGGTGTACTCCATTCTTTTTCAACAGTTCTCTGAAATTTTTATTTGTAAAATGTGTTCCTCCATCACTAATAATCACTCTAGGACATCCAAATCTCGAAAAAATATTTTCCTGCACAAATTTCATCACGATTTTATGATCATTAGTTCTAGTAGGAATAGCTTCCACCCACTTCGACACATAATCAACAGCAAGCAAAATATATTCATATTTTTCAGCTGATGGGAAGGGACCCATGAAATCTATTCCCCATACATCAAAAATTTCGACTACTAACATATTACTCATGGGCATTTCATCTTTTTTACTCATGTTACTTATAGATTGGCATGAAATACATGTTCTACTAAATTCTATAGAATCTCTAATGATTGTAGGCCAATAAAAACCACACTGGAAAATTTTTGCAGCTGTTTTTCGTCCAGAGAAATGTCCTCCACAGTTAGATGAATGACACATGTTAATAATGCTATGATATTCTTCTTCAGGAACACATCTCCTTAAAATTTGATCATTGCCCAAGTAATATAAATCAGGATCATGCCAAAAATAATTTCTAATCTTAGAAAAGAAATGATTTTTTCTGTTCTTATCCCACTGTTCTGGAGTTTTTCCAGAAACCAGAAAATTAACAATATGTGCATACCATGGTGATGGTTGATGTTGAGCTGCCATCAATTGTTCATCTGGAAATGCGTCTTGTAAAGGTGCTGCATTTATTCCTGTATCACTTAATCTAGAAAGATGGTCAGCAACAACATTCTCGAAACCCTTTTTATCTTTTATTTCTAAGTCAAATTCTTGCAACAATAAAATCCATCTTAATAAACGTGGCTTTGCATCTTTCTTATTTAACAGATATTTTAATGCTGCATGATCAGTATAAATAATAATTTTAGCTCCCAAAATATATGATCTAAACCTTTCTAACGAAAATACTACAGCTAAAAATTCTTTTTCAGTCGTGGTATAATTTAATTGAGCATCAGATATAGTTTTACTAGCATATGAAATTACTATGGGTTTTGACTCTTTGTTTGTCCTAGAACGGCCCCCACTGCATAATTCGATGCATCACACATTATTTCAAATGGAAGGGACCAATCAGGAGCTTGTAAAATGGGTGCCTCAGTAAGTAATCTTTTTATTTCGGAAAAAGACTCAAAACATTTCTCATCAAAATTAAAAGGCACATCTTTAGATAATAGCATGGTGAGAGGTTTAGAAATTTTTGAAAAATCTTGAATAAATTTTCTGTAATAACCTGCATGACCCAAGAAAGATCTAATCTGTTTTACTGAATTCGGAGGTTTCATTTTAGATATAATATCGATTTTTGCTCTATCCACCTCTAAACCCTTTTCACTCACAATATGACCCAACACAACTCCCTCTTTAACCATAAAATGTGATTTCTCCCAACTCAAAACTAATTTTTTCTCTATGCATTTCTCAAGTACATGCTGTAAATGATTTAAGAATTCATCAAATGATTCACCAAAAACAGAAAAATCGTCCATAAAAATTTCCATGCATTTTCCAATCATATCAGAAAAAATAGACAGCATACATCTTTGAAATGTGGCTGGAGCATTACACAGACCAAAAGGCATGCGTTTAAAAGCAAAAGTACCAAATGGACAAGTGAAAGTTGTTTTTTCTTGATCTAAAGGGTTTATATAAATTTGATTATAACCAGAGTATCCATCCAAAAAACAAAAAAAGTTTTTTCCAGCTAATTTTTCTAAAATTTGATCAGTAAATGGAAGGGGAAAATGATCTTTTCTAGTAACTGAATTTAATTTTCTATAATCAATGCAAACTCTCCAACCGGTAGTTAGTCTTGTTTGTATTTCCTCCCCATTTTCGTTTTTTATAACCGTGATCCCTGATTTTTTTGACACTACTTGTGTAGGACTAACCCATTTGCTATCTGAAATAGGGTAAATAATATCAGCAGCCAGCCACTTTAAAATTTCTTTTTTTACAATTTCCATCATGTTAGGATTTAATCTTCGTTGTGGTTTCCTACTAGTTCTAGCCCCCTCCTCTAGATATATACTATGCATGCATACTCTCATATCAATGCCCCTTAGATCGTCCATTTTCCAGCCCATAGCCTTCTTATTTTTTCGAAGTACATCTAATAATTCTTCTTCTTGTTCATTACTCAAATCAGCTGCAATAATAACAGGAAATGAATTATTTTCCTCCAAAAACATATATTTTAAACTAGAGGGGAGAGGTTTCAACTCTAAATTCAGATGATCTTCCTCTTTCTTTTCTTCTAAATTTATATTCTCTATTTCCTCTAATTCTTCCAGAACACAGTCATCAATAACGTCTGGATCATCAAGATCATCTAGAAGATCTATGGTATGACAATCATATACTTGGGATTTCTTAAGATCATTTGATACCTCAAAAATTTTAATTTCTACTGATTGATCTCCACCTGAAATTTTCGCAATACCTGTGGGAAAATCAATATTCATCTTTGCTGTATGCAAAAATGGTCTCCCTAGGATGATTGGTGTATCATAAAACTGTCCATTAAAATCCATTTCTAGCACTACAAAATCAGCTGGAAATTTACACCCTTTAACTGTCACTATCACATTTTCTAAGATACCTTTAGGATGTTTTATGGATCTATCAGCAAATTGTAAGGTAACAGTAGAAGGTTTAAGATCAGAAATATTAAATTTATCACAAATACTTGCAGGTAATAAATTAATACTAGCACCGGTGTCAAGTAATGCATTCTGAAAAATGAATCCACCAATATCACACGAAATTAAAGGAGCACCTGTATCTCTCAATTTAAATGGTAATTGATTTAATAATAACGCACTAGCATGCATAGATAATTTTTCTACTCTAGGTGCCCTTTTTGGTGTACACATTTCTTTCAAAACTCTAGCATATTCAAGAATATGTTCAATGGCAGTGAGTAAAGGAAGACTAATTTGCACATCTTGTAAAATTTTCTTTATTTCTTCATTGTGTTCCTTTTTCTTTCTTTGTCTAGGCTCTAGAGCTTTAGGAAATGGAATGGTTGTCCTCTCTTTCGAAATTTCTTTGGTAGAATCTATAAAATCCTCTTCTACTCCTATTTGATTTTGTTTTGGGTTGTCCACATTTTCTTTTTCTTCTAATGTTTGGGGATAAGGATCAGGTAAGATCTTACCACTCCTTAATGCATTCACTGTCCTAACATTTTCATTTCGTGGGTTTTTTCCTAGATTCATGCTACTAGACTCCCCTTGCTGAAATCCTATTGTTGGGCGGTTCCCTGGATTTTCTATGGGCTGACTAGGTAGCTGTCCCTCTTCTCTCTTATTCCCAAGAGCCTCTATAATTTGTTTCTGGTGCAGCATCATTTGGTTCATAGTTTGTTGCATCATTTGGCTCATTTGCTGCATCATTTCCATAGCATCAGGTTGGATTTGAGAGGACTGATTTTTCTGAAATCTGTTTTCTTGTTTTGGACGAAATTCAGAGTTTGAATTGGGTCTAAGTGCTTCTGGATTTTGAATATTATTTTGGTCTCTCCATGAAAAACTATTCCTCCAATTAGGATTATAAGAATTTGAAAAAGGTTCCCTGTTTCTATTAAAACCGTGAGCTACTTGCACTTGTTCTTGCATAGGGTGAAATGATTGATCTAAATTATAACATTGAAATTCAGAATAATCGTTTTCACCATACATAGGACATGTACTATTCGAATTAAGTTGAGGGTTAAAAGGCTTTCTAATATTGTCAATAAGTAAATCAATTTTTTCTAATCTTTGATTAATCTGATTAACCTCATTTCTAAGTTTAGAATCATCATCATGATGCAATTCATAAATTCCTCTCTTCTTATCCCTGTCATATAATTCAAAAGAGGCTTGATCTCTAGAATTTTCACTTAAATTCTCATAAAGACTGTAAATCTCATCAGGAGTTTTCTCCATAAAAGCTCCTCCACATATAGAATCAACCATATTTCTATGTTGTTCTAATAATCCATCATAAAAAATTCTATTGAGCTGCCACTTGGGTATAGCATGATGAGGACACTTTCTAAGTAAATCTTTGAATTTTTCCCATGTCTCATGCAAAGTTTCTCCTGGTCTTTGAGAAAAACTCCATATATGTTTTCTCATATTTTGAGTTTTTCCTAAGGGATAAAATTTTCGAAGAAAGGCCTGTTCTATATCTTTCCAGCTAGTTAATTCTCTATCTAATGTGGATAGCCAATGACTAGCTTTGTCCCTAAGTGTATGAGGGAATAATTTCATCTTAATAATTTCCGGTGTAACTTGAGGGAGATTAACTAAATCATAGACCATATGAAATTTTTCTAAGTGCTGATGAGGTTCCTCTAAAGGCAATCCATGAAAATTAGGGAGCATTTGAAAAATTCTTGGATTTATTTCGAATTTAATAGTGGGTGCTAATGGGACTCTAATATTAGATGCTCTTTGAAATGAATCAGGGATATAATGATTTTTCATGGCCATAGGATTGTTCTCAGTTTGACCTGTACTTCCTTCAGGATCCATCAAAATTAATTTTTCTTTCGGATTTTTATTTTTGAATGAAATAATGAAAGGATTTTCTAGCCTTGGATGCAAGGATCTTCTACCATGCATAAAAATCAATAAATTCCAGGGAAAAAGTTAGTAACTGTTACCCTCCTTCAGGATGCTCCAGTCCTTGCCGTGCTTCTTTTCATTCCCTTTTTCTAATAAAAATCGGCAAAAAGAAAATAAAACAAGAGTAAAGTTTTTTTTGTGTACTCTAAGAGAAAAACAGAAAAATACTAAATATTATGCAATACATCCCCGGCAACGGCGCCAAAATTTGCGTGATTTAACATACAACGACTGAGTCACGTTAGCTGTCACTTGACATAGCAGAAAAATGGTGACTTTACAGCTCTTCGACAGTTATCACTTAACAGAGAAGAGCTGGATGGAGGTAGGGCGTGTGTCAAGGAGCTTCATCCTCAAGTTTGCACAGCAAGAGGAGGCTCCTCATCGCATTCAGAACACTCTCAAAAGATGACGACTCATCTCCTGATGGATCGTCCTCTTCCCAATGACAGCTTGTTCATCAATCAATTGGAGATGCTTTACTCGATGGATTTTTGATCCTTTTATCATGAATCATTCAATAATTTTAGTAATAATGCTCCATGAATCACGTTGACGAGAGTTTTGTCAATGATCCAGCGATTCTAGTGACTTAATCCTTCATTGACGTTCTACAAGAAAGTCACGATAATTAGATAAAAAATATGAGTTTTGGCTCTAGGAGGATTCAAATTGGTGCTAGTTGCTTACCTACATGAGAGAGATTAACATAAGTACTCTAATGTCCTTATCAAATGACGTCATCATGGTATATTGCTGTTATAAATAAGGGGTATTGTAGGTATTAAAATTATCAAAGCCTTTCTAGGGAAAGTGTGACATAGGTTTAGTTCCACATCGCTTATGCGCCAAAGTTTTGTGCGAATATATAGTAATATTACATTTGCAAGCAAGTCCTTTTTTCTCGTGTGTATGACCACTCCTTGCCCCATAGCCGGTTGGCCACTAGTGACATGGAAGGGGAGTGGCGCACATGTGCCCCCATTCGTCTTAGTCGCTCAAGCCCCTGCTCGCAACTCCTCCCTAATTATGCTTCCGACCCACTTGTAGGCCCAGCTGGCTGGTGAGTGCCCCCCATTTTGTTATATTTTTATTTTTATTTTTATTTCTTTTTGTTCATTTATTTGACACTTTAACATAAATATAAGTTTATTTATGATGAGTTAAGGCTAAAACTATATTATTTACTAATTATTAACTCATGATAATGAAGACTAATTAATGACAAAAGTAAATGATGAAAATAAGAAATAAATCATTGCCAAAGTTTAGTCTACCTCTTGGGCAACTAGAGATACTAGTGTGGTGGCTTAGTTTTGTTTGAATGTGCCACACCATGTCGAAAGTCACAGAAGTATTGTCTGAAAATGTTGCACCATTTGCCGGAGAGATCTATTGAAAGAGGGGCCGACCATACTATCACTATCGTCTAGGGGGAGAAGGGAAGAGCTGACCACTCGCTGGAGGCCTAGAGTGTAGTTGAGGGAGGAAGGAAGAAGCTTGCCGACTGCTAGAGATGTTGATCGCGCAAAAGATGGGAAGAACGAATTGTTGTATTCGTGACTACTATTAGCATTTTAAAGATAATTAATAATATCTATTTTACTAGATAATAATTGATTATTATCTTTATATCCTTGATGGTGATATGTGTGAGAACTTAAGTTCCTAGTATTGTGACGCTTCATAAGCCATTAGATGAGATATGCTTGGTCATGTGGCACATTGAGTGATGCACCAATTAGAAACTTAGGTTCTTGGTTTCATGGCACCACCTTAGGCGTTGGATCATCCTTTAAAGCCATGTGTGTGTTGAGTGGTGTTGGATTCATGAACTACGAATGGATCACTTTATGCATCTGGTATTGTGGCGATATGCTAGTCACAAGATCTGGCTAATTTGATGATGTGACTCACTATGTACCACTAGACTACATTGTGTCCACATGACTGTGCTGAAACAGACGAAAATATTTAGTCCCACATTGAAAGTTTGCCATCATTTAAGCTGAATATAAATCAAAGTTTTTCTCTCTCAATAGAGGTCCCTTCTCCTAAAATAAAATAATGCCCAAGACCATCTTGGGAGAAGGCAATAAGGTGGTCCGCCCTCGTGTGTGTAGGTGTGTATAGTTGCTCCTTGCCCCACGACCAGTTGGCCACCAAGATGTGGAAGGGGAGCAACATACACGTGCATGAAGTAAGGCCTTCATCACTTGAGCCCAACTTGTGTCTCCCTTGGTCTAGGTCTACCCACTTGACCGATGTCCCTCTTTTTGGTCAACTACTGAGTGCCAGCTTGCTAGTGGGGGAATAATTTTTAATATTTTATTATTTTCATTTTAATAATAAAAACTTACTCTAAGTATTCTAACTTCAAACTTTTAAAATTAACAATATCTCTTATATTTATGCTGCAAATTAAAAAAATAATCAAATAAGAAAACTAATTAAAATACATAATCTAGTTTTAACAATCTACATATAGGAAAAACTTCTTTGAGTACGCCACATAATGGCCAGAACATTAGGAAATAATTTGAAAATAAGTGATATCCAAAAACCATCTCTCATTAAAGGATTAAATTACTCATTTTGGAAACAAATGATAGAAATCTTTGTTCATGCCTTAGATTATCAAATATAGGAGGTTTTATTGGGTTATCCTTCATAAGTTAATTATGCTTTAGGTGATCAACAAAGGAAAACTCTCTACCTAAATGTAAGAAAAAAAATGTATTAATTTGCAAATTAGATCCACCGAAATTTGTTAGGACATTAAGTCAAACCAAAAAATTTAGGATAGATTGCAAGTTATTTAAAAAAGGTACAGCCCAAGTTAGAGCAATTAAGATTTATGAAATGATGTATATGTACCATTTTTTTCACTATGCATGAAAATGGGGCTAGTTATGAGATGTTTCATAGATTTATTGATACTCGAATCCACTAAAATAGATGTATATAAATTTTTTGATGTCCTTGACCTTTGTGGGGATTAAAAGTTATAATTATTGAGGAAACAAAGGATATCAAAAATAATTTCTTGATGATTTATCTAGATCATTATTGACAACCAAGATGGGACTAGGATAAGCTTTAGAAAATATATGAAAACGCAGGAAAAAAATAGTTTTCAAGAAATCGACACAAATAGATGATGAAGAGTATGTTTCAAAGAATGAAGAAGCCATAAGAAATAACCCAAATGACTAGAAGATTGAAACAATAATTTTTTAGGGGAGGGAATGAAAAACTTACTAGAAAGCTTCAAAATTTCCTATTACTAACATTGATAAATTGAAGAATAAGCTGGCCTAGTTTGATTGTAGGAAACTAGGTCATTTAAAGGCTTATCTTCTTAAGCTCAAATTCGACCAAAAGAAAAATAAAATAATGATGAAGATAATTGATAAGTTTTCATTATCATGAGTTAATAATTAGTAAATAATATAGTTTTAGCCTTAACTCATGATAAATAGACTTATATTTTTGTTAAAGTATGAAAAGTAGTTTTCAGTTGATTAATATGAATTTTTAGGTAGTTATGTGATTTTACATAAATTTGTATGATTTTTACAGTTTTGCTTTTGAGATAAATGAAGAAAAAGAAATAAAAAATAAAAATAAGACAAAATGAGGGGGACCTACCAGCCAAACGGGCCCGCAAGTGAGTTGGAAGCTCAGTTGAGGAGTAGCGGTGACCAAGGGCTTGAGCGGTTTGGACCGATAGGGGCATGTGTGTGCCACTCCCCTTCCATGTCACTGGTGGCCAGCTGGCTGTGGGACAAGGAGTGGTCGTACATGTGAGAGAAGGGACTTGCTTAGAGGTGTAACATTAGTATATATTCACCTGAAAAATCAGTGCATAATTAATGTGGGACTAAACCCACGTCACACCTTCCTCAGAAGGGGCGGGCAACCGGCACGGGTTTGAATCCTCCTAGAGTCAAAAGTCACATATTTTTATCTAAGTATCATGACTTTCTTGCAAATCACCAGTGAAGGACTAAGCAACGAGAATCACTAGACCATCGGTGAAAATCTCGCCAATGCAATTTGCGGAGCATTGCTACTAAAATTGTTGAACGATTCGTGATAAAAGCATCCCAAATCCATCAAGTAAATCATCTTTGATTGATCGACGAATAAGCTGTCGTCAGGAAGAAGATGATCCACCTGGAGACAAGTCGCCACCTCTTGAGAGCATACCAAATGTGATGAAGAGCCTCCTCTTGTTGTGCAGACCTGAGGATTAAGCTCCCTAACACGCGCCCCACCTCTATCTAGTTCCTCTCCGTCGGGTGACAGCCACCAAAGAGCTACAAAGTCACTATTTTTTCGCTCCGCCAGGTGATAGCCGCCGAAGATGATTCGACGACCCATTTCATTAATCGCTAGACTTTGCAAGGAGATCTAGAGATTGCCCATGTCATCTTTGTCCAAGGAGAGCCTTAGAGGCCGTTGACACTACACGATGATCTTCCCAAACGCTTAATATTTTAGTGCACTGTCGATGCATCACCATCGCGATACCAGAACTCTATTTTCCTACTTTCAACTTACTTTACGCTTCATTTAGTGATAATTTTTGTGTTTTTAATTTAGGAAAATATACTTTGTTCAATTATGACTCTTCTGACTTTTATAGATCTTAATTTAATTAATTAAATTGTTTGTAATCACTTACGTAAGAATCACCAAGCAGAACTCTATTTCCGCCCAATTCACATTCATTGAGTGCTGACATCATCTTGACGTCTACACCCTTATTTCTGTTTTTCGTGAATTTTAAATATATTTCCTTTTCATTTCCTAGTATAAAATTCATAGAAAATTGTAAATAATATTTGATTTTTAGCCTTTAACTCATGATAAATAGACTTATATTTGTATTAAAGTGTGAAAAGTTGTTTTTAGTTGATTAATGTGATTTTTTTTGCTAATTATGTGATTTTACATGAATTTATATGGTTTTTACAGTCTTGTTTTTGAGATAAATGAAGAAAAAGAAATAAAAAATATAAATAAGACAAAATGTGAGGGATCCGCCGACCAGATGAGCCTGCAAGCAAGTCGAAAGCTTAATCAGGGAGTAGCCACAAGTAGGGGCTCGAGCGACTTGGACTAGTAGGGGCACGTGTGTGTCACTCTCCTTCCACGTCACCGGTGGCCAGCCGGCTGTGGGGCAAGGAGTGGTCGTACATGCGAGAGAAGGGACTTGCTTAGAGGTATAACATTAGTATATATTTGCCTGAAAAATCAGCGCACAACCGATGTGAGACAAAACCTACGTCACACCTTCCTCAGAAGAGGTGGGCAACCGGCGTAGGTTTGAATCCTCCTAGAGTCAAAAGTCACATATTTTTATCTTAGTATGATGACTTTCTTGCAAATCGTTGGTGAAGGATTAAGCAATGAGAATCACTGGAGCATCAGCGAAAATCTTGTCAATGCAATTTGTGGTGCATTACTTATTAAATTGCTGAACGATTCGCGATAAAAGGATCGCAAATTTATTGAGTAAATCATCTCCGATTGATCGACAAATAAGCCATCATTGGGAAGAAGATGATCTGCCGAGATATGAGTCCCCACCTCTTGAGAGCATACCAAATGCGATGAAGAGCCTCCTCTTGCTATGCAAACCTAAGGATTAAGCTCCTTGACACATGCCCCACCTCTATCCAACTCCTCTCCGTCAGGTGACAACCGCTGGAAAGCTGCAAAGTCACCATTTTTCCGCTCCGCCGAGTGATAGCCGCCGAAGATGGTTCGATGACCCATTTCATTAATCTCTAGACTTTGCAAGGAGATCTAGAGATTGCTCATGTCATCTTTGTCCAAGGAGAGCCTTAGAGGCCGTGGACACTACACGACGATCCTCCCAAACACTTAGGATTCCGGTGCATTGCCAATGCATTGCCGTCGCGATGCTAGAACTCTATTTTCCTACTTTCAACTTACTTTATGCTTCATTTAGTGATAATTTTTATGTTTTTAATTTAAGAAAATATACTTTGTTCAATTACGATTCTTCCAAGTTTTATAGATCTTAATTTAATTAATTAAATCATCTGTAATCACTTACGTAAGAATCACCAAGTGGAACTCTATTTTCGCCCGATTTGCATTCGCTAGGTGCTGACATCATCTTGATGTCCACACCCTTATTTCTGTTTTTCGTGAATTTTAAATATATTTCCTTTTCATTTCCTAGTATAAAATTTATAAAAAATTGTAAATAATATGTGATTTTTAGCCTTAACTCATGATAAATAGACTTATATTTGTATTAAAGTGTGAAAAGTTGTTTTTAGTTGATTAATGTGATTTTTTTTCCTAATTATGTGATTTTACATGAATTTCTATGGTTTTTATAGTCTTGCTTTTGAGATAAATGAAGAAAAAGAAATAAAAAAAAAAAAAAAGACAAAATGTGAGGGACCTGCCAGCCAGACGGGCCTGCAAGCGGGTTGGAAGCTCAGTCAGGGAGTAGCCACAAGTAGGGGCTCGAGCGGCTTGGACCGGTAGGGGCACATGTGTGTCACTCCCATTCCACATCACTAGTGGCCAGCTGGCTGTGGGGCAAGGAGTGGTCGTACATGCAAGAGAAGAGACCTACTTAGAGGTGTAACATTAGTATATATTTGCCTGAAAAATCAGCGCACAACCGATGTGGGATTAAACCCGCATTACACCTTCCTCAGAAGGGGCGGGCAACCGGCGCAGGTTCGAATCCTCCCAGAGTCAAAAGTCACATATTTTTATCTAAGTATGATGACTTTCTTGCAGATCGTTGGTGAAAGATTTAGCAACGAGAATCACTGGATCATCGGCAAAAATCTCGTCAATATGATTTGTAGAGTATTGCTACTAAAATTGCTAAACGATTCGCGGTAAAAGGATCGCGAATCAATCAAGTAAATCATCTCTGATTGATTGACGAAGAAGCCATTGTCGGGAAGAGGATGATCTGCCGAGAGACGAGTCGCCACCTCTTGAGGACGTATTAGATGTGATGAAGAGCAACTTCTTGCTGCGCGGACCTGAGAATAAAGCTCCTTGACATGCACCCCACCTCCATCTAGCTCCTCTCCGTCGGGTGACAACTGCCAGAGAGCCGCAAAGTCGTCGTTTTTCCGCTTCGCCAGGTGAGAGTCGCCAGAGATGATTTGATGACCAATTTTATTGATCTCTAGATTTCGCAAGGAGATCTATAAATTGCCTACGTCATCTTTGTCCAAGGAGAGCCTTAGAGGCTATGGACACTACACGACGATCCTTTCAAACGCTCAAGATTTCAATGCATCACCGACGTATCACTGTCGCGACACCAGAACTTTGTTTTCCTACTTTCAACTTACTTTACGCTTCATTTAATGATAATTTTTGTATTTTTAATTTACCAAAAAATACTTTATTTAATTACAATTCTTCTTGCTTTTATAGATCTTAATTTGATTAATTAAATCATCTGTAATCACTTACATAAGAATTACTAGGTAGAACTTTATTTTCACTCGATTTGCATTTGTTGCATGCGGACGTTAGGATCCTTATTTCTTTTTTTCGTGAATTTTAAATATATTTCCTTTTCATTTCTTAGTATAAAATTCATAAAAAATCGTATTCATTGAGAAAAATTCTGAATAATTACCAGATATTAAATTACATCCCTATGATAGACCTAGAAAGTTATCGTTAATTTTTTAAAAGTTTGATTGAATTATAATTAATATATTTCTTCAGAAATACTTCTAAATATCTGGAAAATCATATTTTCTCATTTTAAAAATTTTAAATTTGTATGATTTACTATACAACGACTAAGTCACATCAATAATTTTTAAATAAAAATAGAACATGAACACAACAAATGGTTACTTTACATTTCATGAACCTGAGGTAAAACATTTCTCTAATGATGATGAGATGGTGTCCAAAACCCATATCTTGGACTAATGAATCTAAGTTGATGAGCCAATGCTCCCATAAGATCTCATAAGAACTCTAGAGTTAAGTGTGCTCGGGTGAGAGCAGTCCCAGAATGGGTGACCTCCCTGGGAAGTCCCTGGGTATGTGTGCATGCGTCGCCGCGAGACGCTCGCTGTGCATGTGTTGAAAGGCACCGCTACATTATTGTGCCGCCAGGCACGTGTTATGATTCCCTCCACCACCATGCCAAGATGCCCCCAGCTCTAAAGAACATGCCAAGAGGCACCCCTACCACCATGTTGAGAGGCATATGTGGCATCCATCTCACCATGCCAAATGCCCCCAACTCCAAAGAACATGCCAAGAGGCACCCCTGCCACCATGTTGAGAGGCATATGTGGCATCCATCTCACCATGCCAAGATGCCCCCAGTTCTGAAGAATGTGCCAAGAGGCACCCCTGCCACCATGCCGAGAGGCATATGTGGCATCCATCTCACCATGCCAAGATGCCCCCAGCTCTGAAGAACATGCCAAAAGACACCCCTGCCACCATGCTAAGAGGTGCTAGTGGCATCTATCTCCGAAGAATGTGCTTGAGAGGCACCAAAGTGTTTGGGTGTGTGAAGTATCGGGATGGGTGACCTCCCAAGAAGTTCAACCCAAGATAGTTATCAAAAAAAAAAAAAAGTTGATGAGCCAATGCTGTACATAGGGTGATTTCTTATAAGTGCAAGAAAATCTTGGACAACCAAGTACATTTGTGAATCTTATTGGCCTTTGGAGCCTTTCTAGCATTGATCTTGACAAAGCCACAAATGGATAAATAAGAATTTATAAACATTAAAATTATGTCAGAGCTTATAAAATGTGTCTTATCAACTATATTTAATGTCTTAGATCTTTGTCCAAGTATTATTGTTGTAGTAACATATTTATGAACTACTTTTTTTACATTTCTTCTAATGATATGTGATAAGTCTTCATTATCATGAGTTAATAATTAGTAAATAATATAGTTTTAGCCTTAACTCATGATAAATAGACTTATATTTATGTTAAAGTGTGAAAAGTAGTTTTCAATTGATTAACATGAATTTTTGGGTAATTATGTGATTTTATATAAATTTATATGATTTTTATAATGTTACTTTTGAGATAAATGAAGAAAAAGAAATAAAAATAAAAATAAAGCAAAATAGGGAGAGACTTGCTGACTAGCTAGACCCGCAAGTGAGTCAAAAGCGTAGTTGGGGAGGAATTGTGAGTAGGGGCTCAAGTGGCTAGGACCAATAGGGGTACGTGTGTGTCACTCCCCTTTCACGTCACTGGTGGCCAGCCAACTGTGGGACAAGGAGTGGTCATACACGTGCAAAAAAGGGACTTGATCGAAAATATAATATTACTATATATTTACTAGAAACTTCGGCGTAGAAGCGATGTGGGACTAAACTCACATCACACCTTCTCTTGAAAAGGCAAATAACTGGTGTGGGTTCGAATCCTACCAAAATCAAAACTCATATTTTTTTATCTCATTATTATTACTTTCTTACAGATTGTCGGTGAAGGATTAAGCAACCAGAATTGCTGGATCATTAGCGAAAAACTCGTCAACATGATTCGTGGAGCATTGTTACTAAAATTGCTAAATAATTTGCGATAAAAGGATCGTGAATCTATTGAGTAAAGTATCTCTAATTGATCGATGAACAAGCCATCATTAGGAAGAAGATGATCCATCAGGAGACAAGTTGCCACCTCTTGAGAGCGTACTAGATGTGATGAGGAGTTGCGTGGACTTGAGGATGAAGTTCCCTGACACGTGCCCCACCTCCATCTAGCTCCTCTTCGTTGGGTGACAACCACTGGAGAGTCGCAAAGTTGTCGTTTTTCCACTCTGCCAGGTGACGGCCACTAGAGACGATTCAATGACCGATTTCATTGATCTCTAGACTTTGCAAAGAGATCTAGAGATTGCCCACGTCGTCATTATCCAAGGAGAGCCTTCAAGGCTGTAGACACTACACGACAATTTTCTTGAATGCTCAAGATTCTAGTGGATTGTCGACACATCGCCACTGTAATATCAGAACTCTATTTTTCTGCTTTCAACTTACTTTTCACTTTATTTAGTGATAATTTGTGTGATTTAAATTTACCAAGATATACTTCATTCAATTATGATTCTTCTGACTTTTACAAATCTTAACTTGATCAATTAAATTATTTATAATTACTTACGTAAGAAATGCTAGGTGGAACTCTATTTTCACTTGATTCACATTTGAAGGGTGCTGATGTCATCCTAACGTCTGCACCCTTATTTTCCTTTTTCGCAAATTTTAAATATATTTCCTTTTCATTTTCTAGTATAAAATTCATAGAAAATAGTATTATTTGAGAACAATTCTGAACAATTACCAGATATTATATTACATCTCTGTGATCAACTTGAAAAATTATCATTATTTTTGAAAGTTTTATTGAATTATACTTGATATATTTTTTCAGAAATACTTCTAAATATCCAAAAAATTGTATTTTCTAGTTTTATAAATTTTAAATTTGTGTGATTTACTATACAACGACTTAGTCACATCAATATGTCAATATTAAACTTTTTAAATGAGGAATAACTTTTTTTTATGTGATAAGTAAGAAATAATTAATATATTTTTTGCATTAGTTCATACTAATGATATGTTTTTAATGAAAGATCAAGTGCACTTTAGACTAATTATATGAAATACATGCTTAATATATGATCTTATATACTTTTATGTTGTGTTTATGTTTTGAATATTCCTTGACTATACATTAATATGTATAGGGCTTCTACACTTTTTTCATTATAACATTATTACTTTTGTCTTCATGGTATTAGAGCTTTAGGATTTTTTATTGGCTGCTGCCTCCACAATGCTAGGTGCGATAGCCACCATTGGCCATGTAGCTGCTGCTGCTGCCACCATAGCCATTGTCACCACTGTACTAGGGTTTTCTATTAACTGCCACCTCCTTCATGACACTAGCCACCATAGCCACCACTGTCCTAATTGATAACCTGCTAGATTATTATCATCACAAGTAGATCAAATTCAATAATAGAGTATAAAGTATGCATGAAAATGACACAAATACATTAATTCTTATATGCAATACAATGTTAGGTGATCAGTGATTGCCCTCTATTTTTATCTTTAAAAATCTAGTATGAATTTAATTTCATAATTCTTTCTTTCACAATTATATAATTGGTTGTTAATATCAATGATTGTAGGGGCAAATGTGAAAAGTAGAAATGAATTGATATATTAAGCATAAGAGGGGGCGACATTTAGGGGGCTTTTCAATTTCCTTCCCCTTTCAAGCCTAGGTACAATTCTTGTCTTGAGCTGGCCATCTCATCCTTCTCGCTTTTTGGTGTCATCGGCAACCTCAATGGACCTGCTTCATCTCCTCTCCCTTCTCACCAGCGAGTGACAGTACCAATAAATTCGAGTCAAAAGTTGCTCAAGGTCTTCCCATGAGAAGCCTTGGAGCAACCAAGTTGTGAAGACCACCCTTGCCTGGTGCAGCAGACCAAGGTCTATCATGCTCTCCACCTACTTGTGGTGTCGTTTCTCCCCATGGACATCAAATTAAGAGGGAGTAGCTAGAAGTTTAGTTAAAAGTTTATTTCTGTTTTCATCTTACTTCTCGCATTGTAAGAGAATTCTGATTTCAGTTTAATGCAATTTTCATTTTCATGAGCCCTACACCTCTTTCTAGTTCAAAGAATTGATTCTATCAATTCATTGAAGGATCTGATTTAATCTATGGCTTTTGTGATTCAGGAAGGTTATTGGGCAACAGAAATCAGCATTGGCTGACTTCGTCCTCCTTGATGAAGCATATAGTGAACATCACTGTTGGAATTAATGAAGTACTAGTGTAGATGCTGTGATTTCAAATCCTTCCTAAGTTCGACCTAGTTTTCCACTAATTTTCTAAGAAAACTAACCTCTGAAAATCAGTTTATAAATGTAAGATTGATGATCTTAATAACAATGATTTTTGAACAATCACTCACCACCACCTTTGCAGAAACTGCTAGGGTTTTCTATTGACTGCCACCTCTATGATGCTGGCTGCCATAGCCACTGCCACTGTAGCCACCAAGTGCTGTGCGTCATCACACACAACAGGAAGTGCATTGCTGCATGCAGCAGCATGCCATCATACATCATCGCATACAGCAGCATGCCATCATGTTTCGTGTGTTGTTGCATGCAGCAGCATGTTGTGCGTCACATATGCAGCAGCATGCCATCATGTGTCATGTGTTGTTGCATGCAGCAGCACATTGTGCATTGTCATACACAGCAGCATGCAACCATGCATCGTGTGCAGCAGTGTGGAGTTCATACTCACATGACACACATGCCACACACGACCTTGCCTTTGCATGCAGTAGCCCGTAGGTGCCAAACGCACTAGTGCACATGCTAGTGTGCCAGCAGCATGCTAGTGCACCCACTAGGACTGGCCCAGCATGACCTCCGGCTGGTTGACATTCTTCTAGGCTCTTTTGTGTCTTAGGACCACCCTAGGGAGCCACCTGCCCTTTCCTGTGCTCTAGGATGTACCTTAGGGCCTATCTACCTTAGGGCATTGATAAGTTTTCATTATCATGAGTTAATAATTAGTAAATAATATAGTTTTAGTCTTAACTCATGATAAATAGACATATATTTATGTTAAAGTGTGAAAAGTGGTTTTCAGTTGATTTATGTGAATTTTTGAGTAGTTATGTGATTTTAAACGAATTTATATGATTTTTACAGTCTTACTTTTGAGATAAATGAAGAAAAATAAATTAAAAATTAAAAATAAGACAAAACGAGAGAGACCCGCCGGCCAACTGGGCCCGCAAGCAGGTTGGAAGCTCAATTAGGGAGTAGCTACGAGTAGGAGCTCGAGTGGCTTGGATTGATAGGGGCACGTGTGCGCCACTTTCCTTCCACGTCACCAATGGCCAGCCGGCTGTGGGGCAAGGAGTGGTCGTACACGTGAGAGAAGGGACATGCTTAGAGGTGTAACATCAGTATATATTCGCCCGAAAAATCGACGCACAACCAATGTGGGACTAAACCCGCATCACACCTTCCTCAGAAGGGGCGGGCAACCGGCACTGGTTCGAATCCTCTTAGAGCCAAAACTCATATTTTTTTATCTGATTATCATGACTTTCCTACAGATCACCAGGGAAGGATTAGGCAACAAGAATCGCTGGATCATCAGCGAAAATTTAGTCAACACAATTCGCAGAGCATTGTTACTAAAATTGTTGAACGATTCACGATAAATGGACCATGAATCCATCGAGTAAAGTATCTCCAATTGATCGATGAATAAGCCGTCATTGGGAAGAAGACGATCTACTAGGAGATGAGTTGCCACCTCCTGAGAGCATACCAAATGTGATGAAGAGCCTTCTCTTGCTGCGCAGACTTGAGGATAAAGCTCCCTAACAAGTGCCTCACCTCCATTCAGCTCCTCTCTGTCAGGTGACAGCTGCTAGAGAGCCACAAAGTCGTCTTTTTTCTGCTCCATTGGGTGATAACTATTGGAGACAATTTGACAACCCATTTCATTAATCTCTAGACTTCGCAAGGAGATCTAAAGATTGCCCACATCGTCTTTGTCTAAGGAAAACCTTCGAGGTCGTGCACACTACACGACTATCCTCCCGAATGCTCAAGATTACAGTGCATCGCCGACGCATCACTGTCGCGACACCAGAATTCTATTTTCCTACTTTCAACTTAATTTCCACTTCTTTTAATGATAATTTGTTGATTTTAAATTTACCAAGATATATTCCATTTCATTACAATTCTTTTGGCTTTTATAGATCTTAATTTGATCAATTAAATTGTCTGTAATCGCTTATGTAAGAATCACTAGGCGGAACTCTATTTCTGCTTGATTCGTGTTCATCAGGCGCTAACATCATCCTGACGTCTACACCTTTATTTCTTTTTTTCGTGAATTTTAAATATATTTCCTTTTCATTTCTCAGTATAAAACTCATAGAAAATAGTATTCTTTGAGGAAAATTCTGAATAATTACTAGATATTATATTACATCCTTGTGATCGACCTAAAAACTATCACTATTTTTTGGAAGTTTTATTGAATTATAATTGATATATTTGTTTATAAATACTTGTAAATATTTGAAAAATCATATTTTCTAGTTTTATAAATTTTAGATTTACGTGATTTAATATACAATGATTGAGTCACATCAAGCATCTTGGGTGTACATCTTTAGCGGTGGCTTGTTTGTGTGTCCGAGGACTCCCTTATATGTCACTTCTTCACCAACATGTTTGACAACTTGGGGAGTTCTGTGACATCTATGGGTTAGGGGATATTATTCATACAATGCGTAAAGCACATTTAGCTCTAATGGCAAGCGAAACCCATCTCCATCAGCTCAGGAGACACCAGCAGTCCAAGTTCAACTCGATCAACGTGCAAAGATGAAGGAGCCTAGCTTTCACTACATGGCCTAGCCCTTTGGAATGACGACATTCCACCTCCATGATGATGACGAGCTCGAGCTCACCTGTATCTTTCTTTGTACTTTCACGTTGACTTGTTGGGCCTCGCGTTTGTGTGTTAGCGGGCCCAATTCTCTGTGTGTTGTTGTTTGTGTCTCCCTTTCTTTAGGGTTTTATTGGGTCTCTCTTTTGAGGCCCAATTAAAACCCTAAGGGGGGGGAACCTATGTGTCTTTCCTTTGGGGCCTCTTTTGGGGCTTATTTGGGTCTTCATTTGAGGCCCACTTAAGCATTGTAAGAGGGCCCTCCTCTTTCTCCTTTTAGGGGAGCTTATTGGGTCTCTCTTTAAGAGGCCCAATAAACCCCTTTGTAGCCTTTTGTGGCTTATGGGCTTGAGGGCCTCAAGTGGGCCCACCTCCCTTAGCCCACTTGTGGGCCTCATATAAGGAGAGGTAGGACCCCCCCTCAAGAGAGCGTCGCATTTTTGAGAGAAATTATCATTTTGTGAGTACCTTCTTTGTGATCTAGGATAGGGAGGGAAGGAGGAAGAGGAAGGCTGTCGATACTCCCTTCGAGGACTTCTTTTTGTGACGCTGCTGCTTGAGAAGTCCTGCCACCGCCTGAGACCACTGCTGCCGCTGGCCATCTCATTGCCGCTCGGGAGCTCGCCACCATCACTAGATGAAACAGTCACGGTTATTGCTGCAGCCGCCGCTGCCTCTATTGGAACCCTGTCATACCATCGTGACGAAAGGGGCTTGCTTCACCTCGTTACAAGCCATCGTCGAGCACTCTGCTGAAGTCTCTCGACTCCTAGTTCGTCTGCCACCTCTTTCTTCGAAACTCCTCCATAAACTCACCGGAGCTGCCCTCCGCTGCTCTGCCTAGGCACTAGACATTCGCCCATGAACGCCTACCTGCTGCCAACGTCGAGAGAGACCCTGCAGCCGTGTCGACGAGCCAGAACCAGTCCCAGCTCCTCGCAGGCCCCACCGGAGTTTCTCGACACTCCACTACCGTCGCACCATTTCCAGTGCCGCTCCCTAGTATTGTCGGCCAGATCATCTCTGCTTTGCTCTACTTCCCGGTGCTGCCAGAGAGGCCGATACTTCCGGCAATGGTTGGGCTTCTGCCCCAACTACTGATGCTTGGCCTTTCCGCCGAAGCGCCGCCGACGCTCGACCTTCTCGTCGAAGTGCCGCTGACACTCAGCATTCCTGCCGAAGCGCTGCAGATGCTCAGCCTTCCCGTCGAAGCGCTGCCGCCACATGCGCCCCCCGTACCGGCTCCTGCATGCCCTAAGACTCTGTGCAACTTGCCTCCCACGCCCACTAGTGTGCCCTTCGGCCCACCAGCAGACCCATGCTCACTAGCGTGCCCTTCGGCCCACCAGCGGGCCCACGCCCAGGCCAATTGTGCCACACCCTAAGACGACGACTTCCATGACTCTCGACCAGGACTGACCATCGATGTTGAGCATTGCTCTCCACTAGATTTGTGCCTTCGTTGAATCTCTGCTTTGTCACGACCCGTTGGGCTATGCAGCCTCAAAGGTTAGCTCCGTACCCTTTCCTCTTAAGTTTAATTATCTCTCGAAGGGTTTTCTTGGCTCATCTCCTCCGCCATCAGGAGAACATAGACAAGATAGGATGGTTATCAGATCGTGACTTCCGACCCTACGCCAGATTCATCACTATTCATGAGCTGCAGCCCTAGGCTACCTCACGACAATTGTTCTACCGTCTGTCAGGGAATGGACTGAGAGGGCCTCATACTTACCATTGTCGAATGTTTCCCTAGTTGTCTTGGGTTGATCATGCATATTGGTACGCCTACTTGTACTTAGGTTATGTGGTCAAACCTAGAGTCTAAGGTCCAAACCTTCTTATCAGATCAGTCTAACTGCCCCATCTCAAGACTCGAGTTTCATTGATCAGGTACAGGGGGTTTTCGCCCCGTCCTGCATCAAATTGGTATCAGAGCCAAGTTAGGTTACCACTACATCTTTCTAAATGTGGCTTTGCATCTTTCTTATTTAATAGATATTTTAATGCTGCATGATCAGTATAAATAATAATTTTAGCCCCCAAAATATATGATCTAAACCTTTCTAAGGAAAATACTATAGCTAACAACTCTTTTTCAGTCGTGGTATAATTTAATTGAGCATCGGATATAGTTTTACTAGCATATGAAATTACTATGGGTTTTGACTCTTTTGTTTGTCCTAGAACGGCCCCCACTGCATAATTCGATGCATCACACATTATTTCAAAGGAAAGGGACTAATCAGGAACTTGTAAAATGGGTGCCTCAGTAAGTAATCTTTTTATTTCAGAAAAAGATTCAAAACATTTCTCATCAAAATTAAAAGGCACATCTTTAGATAATAGCATGGTGAGAGGTTTAGAAATTTTTGAAAAATCTTGAATAAATTTTCTGTAATAACCTGCATGACCCAAAAAAGATCTAATCTGTTTTACTGAATTCGGAGGTTTCATTTTAGATATAATATCGATTTTTGCTCTATCCACCTCTAAACCCTTTTCACTCACAATATGACCCAACACAACTCCCTCTTTAACCATAAAATGTGATTTCTCTCAACTCAAAACTAATTTTTTCTCTATGCATTTCTCAAGTACATGCTGTAAATGATTTAAGCATTCATCAAATGATTCACCAAAAACAGAAAAATCATCCATAAAAATTTCTATGCATTTTCCAATCATATCAGAAAAAATAGACAGCATACATCTTTGAAATGTGGCTGGAGCATTACATAGACCAAAAGGCATGCGTTTAAAAGCAAAAGTACCAAATGGACAAGTGAAAGTTTTTTTTTCTTGATCTAAAGGGTTTATATAAATTTGATTATAACCAGAGTATCCATCTAGAAAACAAAAAAAGTTTTTTCCAGCTAATTTTTCTAGAATTTGATCAGTAAATGGTAGGGGAAAATGATCTTTTCTAGTAACTGAATTTAACTTTCTATAATCAATGCAAACTCTCCAACCGATAGTTAGTCTTGTTTGTATTTCATCCCCATTTTCGTTTTTTATAACCGTGATCCCTGATTTTTTTGGCACTACTTGTGTAGGACTAACCCATTTGCTATCTGAAATAGGGTAAATAATATCAGCAGCCAGCCACTTTAAAATTTCTTTTTTTACAATTTCCATAATGTTAGGATTTAATCTTCGTTGTGGTTTCCTGCTAGTTCTAGCCCCCTCCTCTAGATATATACTATGCATGCATACTCTCATATCAATGCCCCTTAGATCGTCCATTTTCCAGCCCATAGCCTTCTTATTTTTTCGAAGTACATCTAATAATTCTTCTTCTTGTTCATTACTCAAATCAGCTGCAATAATAACAGGAAATGAATTATTTTCTTCCAAAAACATATATTTTAAACTAGAGGGAAGAGGTTTCAACTCTAAATTCAGATGATCTTCCTCTTTCTTTTCTTCTAAATTTATATTCTCTATTTCCTCTAATTCTTCTAGCACACAGTCATCAATAACATCTGGATCATCAAAATCATCTAGAAGATCTATGGTATGACAATCATATACTTGGGATTTCTTAAGATCATTTGATACCTCAAAAATTTTAATTTTTACTGATTGATCTCCACATGAAATTTTCGCAATACCTGTGGGAAAATCAATATTCATCTTTGCTGTATGCAAAAATGGTCTCCCTAGGATGATTGGTGTATCATAAAACTGTCCATTAAAATCCATTTCCAGCACTACAAAATCAGTTGGAAATTTACACCCTTTAACTGTCACTATCACATTTTCTAAAATACCTTTAGGATGTTTTATGGATCTATCAGCAAATTGTAAGGTAACAGTAGAAGGTTTAAGATCAGAAATATTAAATTTATCACAAATACTTGCAGGTAATAAATTAATACTAGCACCGGTGTCAAGTAATGCATTCTAAAAAATGAATCCACCAATATCACACGAAATTAAAGGGGCACCTATATCTCTCAATTTAAATGGTAATTGATTTAATAATAATGCACTAGCATGCATAGATAATTTTTCTACTCTAGGTGCCCTTTTTGGTGTACACATTTCTTTCAAAACTCTAGCATATTCAAGAATATGTTCAATGGCAGTGAGTAAAGGAAGACTAATTTGCACATCTTGTAAAATTTTCTTTATTTCTTCATTGTGTTCCTTTTTCTTTCTTTGTCTAGGCTCTAGAGCTTTAGGAAATGGAATGGTTGTCCTCTCTTTCGAAATTTCTTTGGTAGAATCTATAAAATCCTCTTCTACTCCTATTTGATTTTGTTTTGGGTTGTCCACGTTTTCTTTTTCTTCTAATGTTTGGGGATAAGGATCAGGTAAGATCTTACCACTCCTTAATGCATTCACTGTCCTAACATTTTCATTTCGTGGGTTTTTTCCTAGATTCATGCTACTAGACTCCCCATGCTGAAATCCTATTGTTGGGCGGTTCCCTAGATTTTCTATGGGCCTCTATAATTTGTTTCTGGTGCAGCATCATTTGGTTCATTGTTTGTTGCATCATTTAGCTCATTTGCTGCATCATTTCCATAGCATCAGGTTGGATTTGAGAGGACTGATTTTTCTGAAATTTGTTTTCTTGTTTTAGACGAAATTTAGAGTTTGAATTGGGTCTAAGTGCTTCTGGATTTTGAATATTATTTGGGTCTCTCCATGAAAAATTATTCCTCCAATTAGGATTATAAGAATTTGAAAAATGTTCCCTATTTCTATTAAAACCGTGAGCTACTTGCACTTGTTCTTACATAGGGTGAAATGATTGATCTAAATTATAACATTGAAATTCAGAATAATCATTTTCACTATACATAGGACATGTACTATTCGAATTAAGTTGAGGGTTAAAAGGCTTTCTAATATTGTCAATAAGTAAATCAATTTTTTATAATCTTTGATTAATCTGATTAACCTCATTTCTAAATTTAGAATCATCATCATGATGCAATTCATAAATTCCTCTCTTCTTATCCCTGTCATATAATTCAAAAGAGGCTTGATCTCTAGAATTTTCACTTAAATTCTCATAAAGATTGTAAATTTCATCAGGAGTTTTCTCCATAAAAGCTCCTCCACATATAAAATCAACCATATTTCTATGTTGTTCTAATAATCCATCATAAAAAATTATATTGAGCTGCCACTTGGGTACAGCATGATGAGGACACTTTCTAAGTAAATCTTTGAATTTTTCCCATGTCTCATGCAAAGTTTCTCCTAGTCTTTGAGAAAAACTCCATATATGTTTTCTCATATTTTGAGTTTTTCCTAAGGGATAAAGTTTTCGAAGAAAGGCCTGTTCTATATCTTTCCAGCTAGTTAATTCTCTATCTAATGTGGATAGCCAATGACTAGCTTTGTCCCTAAGTGTATGAGAGAATAATTTCATCTGAATAATTTCTGATGTAACTTGAGGGAGATTAACTAAATCACAGATCATATGAAATTTTTCTAAGTGCTGGTGAGGTTCCTCTAAAGGTAATCCATGAAAATTAGGGAGCATTTGAAAAATTCCTGGATTTATTTCAAATTTAACAGTGGGTGCTAATAGGACTCTAATATTAGATGCTCTTTGAAATGAATCAGGGATATAATGATTTTTCATGGCCATAGGATTGTTCTCAATTTGACCTCTACTTCCTTCAGGATCCATCAAAATTAATTTTTCTTTTGGATTTTTATTTTTAAATGAAATAATGAAAGGATTTTCTAGCCTTGGATGCAAGGATCTTCTACCATGCATAAAAATCAATAAATTCCAGGGAAAAAGTTAGTAACTGTTACCCTCCTTTAGGATGCTCCAGTCCTTGCCGTGCTTCTTTTCGTTCCCTTTTTCTAATAAAAATCGGCAAAAAGAAAATAAAACAAGAGTAAAGTTTTTTTTCTGTACTCTAAGAGAAAAATAGAAAAATACTAAATATTATGCAATACATCCCCGACAACGGCGCCAAAATTTGACGTGACTTAGTCGTTGTATGTTAAATCACGCAAATATAAAATTTATAAAACTAGAAAATATGAATTTTTCAGATATTTAGAAGTATTTCAAAATAAATATATCAATTATAATTCATTAAAAATTTCAAAAATACTGATAATTTTCCAGGTCGATCACAGGGATGTAATATAATATCTGGTAATTATTCAGAATTTTTCTCAATGAATACGATTTTCTTACGAATTTTATACTAGGAAATAAAAAGGAAATATATTTAAAATTCACGAAAAAAAAGGAAATAAGGGTGCGGGCGTCAAGATGACGTCAGCGCTCGGCAAACGCGAATCAGGCGGAAACAGAGTTCCGCCCGGCGATTCTTACGTAAGCGATTACAGACGACTTAAGTAATCAAATTAAGATCTGTAAAAGCCAGAAGAATCGTAATTTAACGAAGTATAGTTTGGTAAATTAAAATCACACAAAGTATCACTAAATAAAGCGTAAATTAAATTGAAAGCAGGAAAACAGAGTTCCGGCATCGCGACGGTGATGCGTCGGCAATGCACCGGAATCTTGAGCGTTCGGGAGGATTGTCGTGTAGTGTCCACAGCCTCGAAGACTCTCCTTGGACAAAGACGACGTGGGCAATCTCTAGATCTTCTCGCGAAGTCTAGAGATCAATGAAGTGGGTCGTCGAATCATCTCCGGCGGCTGTCACCCAGCAGAGCGGAAAAACGGCGACTTTGCGGCTCTTCGGCGGCTGTCACCCGACGGAGAGGCGCTGGATGGAGGTGGGGCGCATGTTAGGGAGCTTCATCCTCAGGTCCACGCAGCAAGAGGAGGCTCTTCATCGCATCTGGTACGCTCTTAGGAGGTGGCGACTGGTCTCCCGATGGATCGTCCTTTTCCTGACAGCGGCTTGTTCGTCGATCAATTGGAGATGGTTTACTCGATGGATTCGCAATCCTTTTATCGCGAATCGTTCAGCAATTTTAGTAGCAATGCTCTGCGAATCGCGTTGACGAGATTTTTGCCGATGATCCAGCGATTCTCGTTGCTTAATCCTTCACCAGCGATCTGCAGGAAAGTCACGATAATGAGATAAAAATATATGACTTTTGACTTTGGGAGGATTCGAACCCGCGCCAGTCGCTCGCCTCTTCTGAGGAAGGTGTGATGGGGGTTTAGTCCCACATCGGTTGTACGCTGATTTTTCGGGCGAATATATAGTAATGTTAGCTCTGTGAGCAAAGTCCCTTCTCTTGCGTGTATGACCACTCCTTGCCCCACAGCCGGCTGGCCACCGGTGACGTGGAAGGAGAGTGGCGTACGCGTGCCCTGTCGATCCCCAAGCCAAGCTACTCGAGCCCCTGCTCGCGGCTTACTCCCCGACTGTGCTTCCGACCCGCTTGTAGGCCCGGCTGGTCGGCGGGTCCCCCCATTTTTGCAATATTTTTATTTTTATTTCTTGTTCTTCATTTATCTCAAAAGTAAGACTGTAAAAATCGTATAAAATCACATAATTACCCAAAAATTCACGTTAATCAATTGAAAACCAAAAATCATTCTTTAATACAAATATAAGTCTATTTATCATGAGTTAAGGTTAAAATTATATTATTTACTAATTATTAGCTCATGATAATGAAGACTTATCACCACCTAACCTCGGTCTCCTGAGGATGCTCACCGAGCTTCCATACCACTAGTCGACCATTCATATAGGATTGTATTGGCATCTAGGCACCCATAGGACCTAGCCATGATAGAGACATGCTCAGCCAAAGCTCGAGGAGGTTCACCATTGTCACAGAACTCACGTGAGGCCTCAGATCCCATTACTCCTAGAGTAGCTAGAGTGGACACGAGTCCACCATCTTCGTCGAGATTGAGAAATTCAGTACCAGACCCCTCCTAACCATAGGAGACTTTGAGCCATAGGTTGGCTAGAGAGGCATTAGGGTGGCCCCAACCGCCCGCGGCTACAAGCCACCGAGCTGAGAAGGAATCCACACTCTACTATCCATCGAAGAATACTAAGGGTCATGCCAGAGGTGGCCGATGGCAACCTTCGCCCTAGTACCCTTCGAGGGATGGAGTGCGCCCCCTCCTAGATGATGTCATGTGTAGTATGACCCAAGCTATTGAGCGTCTAGAGCGAGCTACCTTTGTAGCTGCAGCTCATGACCCACCACCACCAGCTCCACCACTGGTCGCATATCCGGTTGCACCACCGACTACACCACCTATTACACAGACATATTAGGAGCATCGCGAGCCCCGTCGGCCTATGAGCCCCTATACTGATCCATATGATCACTAGTACCTCGATCACGATCATCATCGAGGGAATCTTTGTTGTCGCAATGCACTACATCACGACGATGGCCATGATCGATTGGGCAGTCATTGGCCACAGGATACTTATGATTGCTGCAAGCCGGTCTGCCCTACTCGTAGGGACAATCTCCCACATCCGTCACCACCACCACCCCGATCCCACTATGAGGACTATCGACTCCACGGATGCAACTAGCAACACGACAAGCGAGACCTTCTGAGTTATAGAGCTGACCCTTTGACGTGACTCAGTCGTTGTATGTTAAATCACGCAAATATAAAATTTATAAAACTAGAAAATACGAATTTTCGGATATTTAGAAGTATTTCAAAATAAATAGATCAATTATAATTCAATACAAATCCCAAAAATAGTGGTAATTTTTCAGGTCGATCACAGGGATGTAATATAATATCTGGTAATTATTCAGAATTTTTCTCAATGAGTACGATTTTCTTACGAATTTTATACTATGAAATAAAAAGGAAATATATTTAAAATTCACAAAAAAAGAGAGGAAATAAGGGTGCGGACGTCAGGATGACGTCAGCGCCCGGCGAACGCGAATCAGGCGGAAAAAGAGTTCCGCCCGGCGATTCTTACGTAGGCGATTACAGACGACTCAATTAATCAAATTAAGATCTGTAAAAGCCAGAAGAATCGTAATTGAACGAAGTATAGTTTTGTAAATAAAAATCAACAAAGTATCACTAAATGAAGCGTAAATTAAATTGAAAGCAGGAAAACAGAGTTCCGGCGTCGCGACGGCGATGCGTCGACGATGCACCGGAATCCTGAGCGTTCGGGAGGATCCTCGTGCAGTGTCCACGGCCTCGAAGGCTCTACTTGGACAAAGACGACTTGGGCAATCTCTAGATAAAGCAGGAAAACAGAGTTCCGGCGTCGCGACGGCGACGCGTCGGTGATGCACCGGAATCCTGAGCGTTTGGCAGGGTCGTCGTGCAGTGTCCACGGCCTCGAAGGCTCTCCTTGGACAAAGACGACGTGGGCAATCTCTAGATCTTCTCGCGAAGTCTAGAGACCAATGAAGTGGGTCGTCGAATCGTCTCCGGCGGCTGTCACCCGGCGGAGCGGAAAAACGGCGACTTTGCGGCTCTCCGGCGGCTGTCACTCGACGGAGAGGGGCTGGATGGAGGTGAGGCGCGTGTTAGGGAGCTTCATCCTCAGGTCCGCGCAGCAAGAGAAGGCTCTTCATCGCATCTGGTACGCTCTCAGGAGGTGGCGACTGGTCTCCCGGCGGATCGTCCTCTTCCCGACGACGGCTTGTTCGTCGATCAATCGGAGATGATTTACTCGATGGATTGCGATCCTTTTATCGCGAATCGTTCAGAAATTTTAGTAGCACTGCTCCGCGAATCGCGTTGACGAGATTTTCGCCGATGATCCAGCGATTCCGGTTGCTTAATCCTTCACCGGCGATCTGCAGGAAAGTCGCGATAATCAGTTAAAAATATATGAATTTTGACTCTGGGAGGATTCGAACCTGCGGCGGTCGCCCCCCCTGAAGGTTTAGTCCCACATCGGTTGTACGCGGATTATTCGGGCAAATATATAGTAAAGTTAGCTTTGTAGGCAAAGTCCTCTCGCGTGTACGACCACTCCTTGCCCCACAGCCGGCTGACCACCGGTGACGTGGAAGGGGAGTGGCGCACACGTGCCCCTATCGATCCAAGCAAGCCGCTCGAGCCCCTGCTCGCGGCTACTCCCCGATTGCGCTTCCGACCCGCTTGCGGGCCCGGCTGGCCGGCGGGTCCCCCCATTTTGCAATATTTTTATTTTTATTTCTTGTTCTTCATTTATCTCAAAACTAAGACTATAAAAATCGTATAAAATCACATAATTACCCAAAAATTCACGTTAATCAACTGAAAACCACTTTTCATGCTTTAACACAAATATAAGTCTATTTATCATGAGTTAAGGCTAAAACTATATTATTTACTAATTATTAACTCATGATAATGAAGACTTATCACCCTTCCCGACGAGAGGAGCTCGATTGGCAAGTAGAGCATCAACCACGAGATTGCGATGATTACTATTACGACTACCAACATGCTTTGGACTTTCACCGAGCACCCCAGGACGCCCACCAAGATCGTTATTACGATTAAGGGCATTACCCAAGTCCTCTCCACTGTGACTTTAGTGGTGACCATAGGGTCGATCGATTGGATGATCGGGATAGGCAATGTGAGGAACACAAGGCTTGCATACTGAAAAGTGTGCACACTAATGTGGCAATCTTCGATGGCTCCCGTGAGCCCAAGGACTTCATAGATTGGGAGTCTAGTATGAACTCTTTCTGGTGGTACCACATAGTAGAGCATATGGAGAAACCTACTAAGGACATAGTTCATTCCCCCTCGGACCACCATGAAGATTGTGTCCATGCAATCTGCATAGACACCGACAACAACACTAACGTGTACTAGCGTAAGGAACGGACAAACTACACTTGCGACATTAGTAGGGTCTACACCACCCTTGCGTCTGTCACCAGCCGACTCATCTGACCGTGCTACAACTGTGTCCCAAGCCCATATCACTTGTTCTCAATGTAAGGGTAAGGGGCACCGGATGACCCAATGCCCATCTTCGAATCTCCTCATAGAGATTGAAGAATTGGGTAGTGGTTCACATGAGGATGATGTTCTTATAGGCGATGATGTCTACATTGTTGACGAGGGTTTGGTTGAAGAGTGTGATGACACTCCTGAATTGATTGGCTATATCCAAATTCAACCAGCCACCATACCAATAGTCGAGGCTGCCTCTCTCATTGCCTCATTGATGAGCATGTCATCAAGAGGACTGGTCAGCATCGTTGTCCAACGTCCATCTCGAGACGTGGTTCCTGCACCACAATCAGACACCACAGTAGCTAGAGAGATCACCCCGACATTGAGGACAACTATGCCCACATCTTTGCCTACGACAGATGATTCCCTTCACACGTCAATCTTCTACACCTATGTGAAGATCAACAAACACACATGGAAGGTGATCGTGGACAGCGGTAGTTGCGTCAATGCTGTGTCAGACTAGGTCTTGCAGATGGTAGGGTTGAGTACTATCAGCCATCCAGCCCCTTATGATATATCATGGGTAGATGACGTGACTCAGTCGTTGTATATTAAATCACGCAAATATAAAATTTATAAAACTAGAAAATATGAATTTTCGGATATTTAGAAGTATTTCAAAATAAATATATCAATTATAATTCAATACAAATCCCAAAAATAGTGGTAATTTTCCAGGTCGATCACAGGGATGTAATATAATATCTGGTAATTATTCAGAATTTTTCTCAATGAGTACGATTTTCTTACGAATTTTATACTAGGAAATAAAAAGGAAATATATTTAAAATTCACAAAAAAAAGAGAAAATAAAGGTGCAGACGTCAAGATGACGTCAGCGCCCGGCGAACGCGAATCAGGCGGAAACAGAGTTCCGCCCGGCGATTCTTACGTAGGCGATTACAGACGACTCAATTAATCAAATTAAGATCTGTAAAAGCCGGAAGAATCATAGTTGAACGAAGTATAGTTTGGTAAATAAAAATCAACAAAGTATCACTAAATGAAGCGTAAATTAAATTGAAAGCAGGAAAACAGAGTTCCGGCGTCGCGACGGCGATGCGTCGGCGATGCATCGGAATCCTGAGCGTTCGGGAGGATCGTCGTGCAGTGTCCACGGCCTCGAAGGCTCTCCTTGGACAAAGACGACGTGGGCAATCTCTAGATAAAGCAGGAAAACAGAGTTCCGGCGTCGCGACGGCGACGCGTCGGCGATGCACCGGAATCCTGAGCGTTCGGGAGGATCCTCGTGCAGTGTCCACGGCCTCGAAGGCTCTCCTTGGACAAAGACGACTTGGGCAATCTCTAGATAAAGCAGGAAAACAGAGTTCCGGCGTCGCGACGGCGACGCGTCGGCGATGCACCGGAATCCTGAGCGTTCGGGAGGGTCGTCGTGTAGTGTCCACGGCCTCGAAGGCTCTCCTTGGACAAAGACGATGTGGGCAATCTCTAGATCTTCTCGCGAAGTCTAGAGACCAATGAAGTGGGTCGTCGAATCGTCTCCGGCGGCTGTCACCCGGCGGAGCGGAAAAACGGCGACTTTGCGGCTCTCCGGCAGCTGTCACTCGACGGAGAGGGGCTGGATGGAGGTGAGGCGCGTGTTAGGGAGCTTCATCCTCAGGTCCGCGCAGCAAGAGGAGGCTCTTCATCGCATCTGGTACGCTCTCAGGAGGTGGCGACTGGTCTTCCGGCGGATCGTCCTCTTCCCGACGACGGCTTGTTCGTCGATCAATCGGAGATGATTTACTCGATGGATTGCGATCCTTTTATCGCGAATCGTTCAGAAATTTTAGTAGCAATGCTCCGCGAATCGCGTTGACGAGATTTTCGCCGATGATCCAGCGATTCTGGTTGCTTAATCCTTCACCGGCGATCTGCAGGAAAGTCGTGATAATCAGTTAAAAATATATGAATTTTGACTTTGGGAGGATTCGAACCCGCGGCGGTCGCCCGCCCCTGAACAAGGTGTGACGCGGGTTTAGTCCCACATCGGTTGTGCGCGGATTATTTGGGCGAATATATAGTAAAGTTAGCTTTCTAGGCAAAGTCCTCTCGCGTGTACGACCACTCCTTGCCCCACAGCCGGCTGACCACCGGTGACATGGAAGGGGAGTGGTGCACACGTGCCCCTATCGATCCAAGCAAGCCGCTCGAGCCCCTGCTCGCGGCTACTCCCCGACTGCGCTTCCGACCCGCTTGCGGGCCCGGCTGGCCGGCGGGTCTCCCCATTTTGCAATATTTTTATTTTTATTTCTTGTTCTTCGTTTATCTCAAAACTAAGACTGTAAAAATCGTATAAAATCACATAATTACCCAAAAATTCACGTTAATCAACTGAAAACCACTTTTCATGCTTTAACACAAATATAAGTCTATTTATCATGAGTTAAGGCTAAAACTATATTATTTACTAATTATTAACTCATGATAATGAAGACTTATCAGTAGACGCCACCACACTACCCATTTGTCGACAGTGCTAGGTGCCACTTAGGGTATGAGCACTCTTGGATGGTCTATCTCGAGATCATAAGGACTTCCTTGTGGTCAACGGATGTCTGTTCTTTAGGAATAGATTGTGCGTTCCATGCACATCCCTCTGTGACTTTCTCACTTGGGAATGTCATGCAAGAGGTCTATCCAGCCATTTTGGTTGCAATAAGGCCATTGCAGCAGTCGAGCACCAGTTCTACTGGCCGACCCTCAAGCACGATGTAGGGAACATTGTCACTTAGTGTCGAGTGTGCGCACTCGCCAAACATGTAAAGAAGAATACTGAACTCTACACACCACTTTTAGTGCCGACCCACCCATGGGACGACATCAGCATGGACTTCATTTTGAGACCCCTATGCACTGCACGACGACATGACTCGATCATGGTGGTCGTCGATAGGTTTTCAAAGATGACACATTTTGTGTCATGTTTGAAAACCTCCGACGCCTCCAAGGTTGCTAGCCTCTACTTTAGAGAGATTGTGCACCTTCATAGACTACCCAAGTCCATAATCTCAAACTATGATGTACGGTTTACTAGCCACTTCTGGAGGACTCTCTAGAGCTTACATGGGACAAAGCTCAAGTTCTCCACTGCTTACCACTCACAAACTGATGACTAGACCAAGGTCATCAATCGTAGCTTAGGAAATCTACTTCGGTCATTAGTCAGTGAGAGCTTGACCACTTGGGATCTGATCATACCATGCGCCGAGTTTATCTATAACTCCTCGACCAACCGTACCACTGGCATGAGCCCCTTTGAGATTGCACACGGCTTAGCACCCTACAAGCCCCTAGATCTAGTACCCCTAGACCCTCATGTTAGAGTTTTCGAGGATGGTGTCACATTCGCCCAACATGTTAGTTAGTTGCATCAGGACATCTATGATAGGATATAGAGTCAGAATATATTGTACAAGCAGGCTGCCGATATATATCATTGACCTTGGATCTTCTAGGTGGGAGACCAGGTTATGGTGAGGATGAGGCCCGAGTGTTATGCTCCTAGCTCTGCTACAAAGCTTCACGCTCGTAGTGCTGGCCTATTTCATGTTCTTTCTCAGATAGGCAAGAACGCCTATGTCATTGACATCCCTCCTTCATGAGGGATTAGGTCCACATTCAACATGGTGAATTTGGCGTTGCACCAAGCCCCACCTCTTTCATCTGACGTCGAGCCCTCATCTATCGGCCCCTTCTCTGAGAGAGAGTTTGCCATGGAGTCCACTCCCCCCATTTTACCACTTGATTGGCATGAGCAAGTCGAGGAGATTCTTTAAGAGGTAATTGACTTTATAAGGGACGAAGTTTCGCGAGGATTACTATTACGTTGGTAGGGTTGCTCGTTGGAGGACAATGCTTGGATTTTAGAGGCAGACTTGGAGCAACTACAACTAGACCTACTAGAGCTCCTGTCTTCCCCACTTGCCAACTTGTCAAAGTCGAGTTCTTTTGACCCTAGGAGGATTGATGGCAAGTGGGACCTATCTCCATCAGCTTAGGAGACACTAGCAATCCAAGTTCAACCCGATCGATGCATGAAGATAAAGGAGCCTAGCTTTCACTACACGACCTAGTCCTTTGGGATGACGACATTTCACCTCTGCGATGACGACGAGCTCGAGCTCACCTGTATCTTTCTTTGTACTTTCACATTGACTTGTTGGGCCTTACATTTGTGTGTTAGTGGGCCCAATTCTATGTTTGTGTTGTTGTTTGTGTCTCACTTTCTTTAGGATTTTGTTGGGTCTCTCTTTTGAGGCCCAATTAAAATCCTAAGGGGGGAGGACCTATGTGTCTTTCCTTTGGGGCTTATTTGAGTCTTCATTTGAGGCCCACTTAAGCACCATAAGAGGGCCCTCCTCTTTCTCCTTTTAGGGGAGCTTATTGGGTCTCTCTTTAAGAAGCCCAATAAACCCCTTTGTAGCCTTTTGTGACTAATGGGCTTGAGGGCCTCAAGTGGGCCCACCTCCCCTTAGCCCACTTGTGGGCGCCATATAAGGGGAGGTAGGACCCCCCCTCAAGAGAGTGCCATATTTTTGAGAGAAATTATCATTTTGTGAGTACCTTCTATGTGATCCAAGATAGGGAGGGAAGGAGGAAGAGGAAAGCTGTTGATACCTCCTTTGAGGACTTCTTTCCTCTGTGACATTGCTGCTCGAGAAGTCCTGCTGCCACTTGAGACCACTGCCGCAGTCGGCCATCTCATTGCCACCTGGGAGCTCGCCGCCATCACTAGATGAAATGGTCCCAATTGCTGCTGCAGTTGCTGCCACCTCTACTGAAACCCCCTCATGCTGTCGTGACAAAAGGGGCTTGCTTCTCCTTGCTACGAGCCGTCGTTGAGCACTTTGCCGGAGTCTCTCAACTCTTGGTTCATCTGCCACCTCTTCCTCTAGAACTCCACCATAAACTTGCCAGAGCCACTAACGTGACTTAGTCGTTGTATATTAAATCACACAAATATAAATTTATAAAACTAGAAAATATGAATTTTTAGATATTTAGAAGTATTTCTAAATAAATATATCAATTATAATTCAATAAAAATTCCAAAAATAGCGAAAATTTTCTAGGTCAATCAGAGGGATGTAATATAATATCTGGTAATTATTCAGAATTTTTCTCAATGAATACGATTTTCTATGAATTGTATACTAGGAAATAAAAAGGAAATATATTTAAAATTCATGAAAAAGGGAAATAAGGGCGCAGACGTCAGGATGATGTTAGCACCTAGCGAGCGCGAATTGGGCAGAAACAAAGTTTCACCTGGTGATTCTTACGTAAGCGATTATAGATGATTTAATTGATCAAATTAAGATATGTAAAAGTCGGAAGAATCGTAATAGAACAAAGTATATTTTGGTAAATTAAAAATATAAAAATTATCACTAAATGAAGCGTAAAGTAAATTGAAAGCAGGAAAATAGAGTTCTGGAGTCACGACGGTGATGCGTTGGTGATGCACTAGAATCCTAAGTGTTCGAGAGGATTATTGTACAGTGTCCACGGCCTCGAAGGCTCTCCTTGGACAAAGACGACGTGGGCAATCTCTAGATCTTCTTGCAAAGTCTAGAAATCAATGAAGTGGGTTGTCGAATCGTCTCCAGTGGCTATCACCCGGCAGAGTGGAAAAATGGCGACTTTGCAGCTCTGCGGCGGCTATCACCCGACGGAGAGGAGCTGGATGGAGGTGGGGCACATGTCAAGGAGCTTCATTCTCAGGTCCGCACAGTAAAAGGAGGCTCTTCATTGCATCCAATATGCTCTCAAGAGGTGGCGACTTATCTCCCAGCAGATCGTCCTCTTCATCGATCAATCGGAGATGATTTACTCAATGGATTCACAATCCTTTTACTGTAAATCGTTCAGCAATTTTAGTAGCAATGCTCCACGAATCGCATTGATAAGATTTTTGCTGATGATCCAGCAATTCTCGTTGCTTAATCTTTCACTGGTGATATGCAGGAAAGTCGTGATAATCAGATAAAAATATATGAATTTTGACTCTAGGAGGATTTGAACCCACGCTAGTCACCCACCTATGAGGAAGGTGTGACGCAGGTTTAGTCACACATCGATTGTGCGCCGATTTTTTGGGCAAATATATAATAATGTTAGCTTTGTAAGCAAAGTCCCTTCTCTCATGTGTACGACCACTCCTTGCCCTACAGCCGGCTGGCCACCAATGATGTGGAAGGGGAGTGGCACACACGTGCCCCTATTGGTCCAAGCTAAGCCGCTCGAGCCCTTACTCGCGGCTACTCCCCAACTGCACTTCCGACCTACTTGCGGGCCCGGCTAGCTGGCGGGTCCCCTATTTTGCAATATTTTTATTTTTATTTCTTATTTTTCATTTATCTCAAAAGTAAGACTATAAAAATTGTATAAAATCACATAATTACCCAAAAATTCACGTTAATCAACTGAAAACCACAAATCATTCATTAACACAAATATAAGTCTATTTGTCATGAGTTAAGGCTAAAACTATATTATTTACTAATTATTAACTCATGATAATGAAGACTTATCAGCCACCCTCCGCCGCTTCGCCTAGTCGCTGGCCGTTTGTCGACAAACGCCTACCTACCACTAACATCGAGAGAGACCCTGCAGCCATGCTAATGAGCCAAAACCAGTCCCAGCTCCTCGCAAGCCCCACTGGAGTTTCCTGACACTCCGCCGCCGTCGCGCTATTTTTGGCGCCGCTCCTTGGTATTGTCAGCCAAATCGTCTCCACTTTGCTCTGTTTCCCGGCGCCACCAAAGAGGCCGATCCTTTCGGCAATGGTTGGGCTTTTGCCCCAACCACCGACACTCGGCCTTTCTGCCGAAGCACCGCTGACGTGACTCAGTCGTTGTATGTTAAATCACGCAAATATAAAATTTATAAAACTAGAAAACACGAATTTTCGGATATTTAGAAGTATTTCAAAAGAAATATATCAATTATAATTCAATAAAAATCCCAAAAATAGTGGTAATTTTCCAGGTCGATCACAGGGATGTAATATAATATCTGGTAATTATTCAGAATTTTTCTCAATGAATACGATTTTCTTACGAATTTTATACTAGGAAATAAAAAAGGAAATATATTTAAAATTCACAAAAAAAAAGGAAATAAGGGTGCGGGCGTCAGGATGACGTCAGCGCCCGGCGAACGCGAATCAGGCAGAAACAGAGTTCCGCCCGGCGATTCTTACGTAAGCGATTACAGATGACTTAATTAATCAAATTAATATCTGTAAGAGCCGGAAGAATCTTAATTTAACGAAGTAAGTTTGGTAAATTAAAATCACAAAAAGTATCACTAAATAAAGCATAAATTAAATTGAAAGCAGGAAAATAGAGTTCCGGCGTCGCGACGGCGATGCGTCGGCGATGCACCGGAATCTTGAGCGTTCGGGAGGATCGTCGTGCAGTGTCCACGGCCTCGAAGGCTCTCCTTGGACAAAGACGATGTGGGCAATCTCTAGATCTTCTCGCGAAGTCTAGAGATCAATGAAGTGGGTCGTCGAATCGTCTCCGGCAGCTGTCACCCGGCGGAGCGGAAAAACGGCGACTTTGCGGCTCTCTGGCGGCTGTCACCCGTCGGAGAGGAGCTGGATGGAGGTGGGGCGCGTGTTAGGGAGCTTCATCCTCAGGTCCGCGCAGCAAGAGGAGGCTCTTCATCGCATCTTGTACGCTCTCAGGAGGTGGCGACTGGTCTCCCGGCGGATCGTCCTCTTCCCGACGACGGCTTTTTCGTCGATCAATCGGAGATGATTTACTCGATGGATTCGCGATCCTTTTAACGCGAATCGTTCAGCAATTTTAGTAGCAATGCTCTGCGAATCGCGTTGACGAGATTTTCGCCGATGATCCAGCGATTCTCGTTGCTTAATCCTTCACCGGCGATCTGCAGGAAAGTCGCGATAATCAAATAAAAATATATGAATTTTGACTCTAGGAGGATTTGAACCCGTGCCGGTCGCCCCCGCCTCTTTTGAGGAAGGTGTGGGTTTAGTCCCACATCGGTTGTACGCCGAGTTTTCGGGCGAATATATAGTAATGTTAGCTTTGTGAGCAAAGTCCCTTCTCTCGCGTGTACGACCACTCCTTGCCCCACAGCTGGCTGGCCACCGGTGACGTGGGAGGGGAGTGGCGTACGCGTGCCTGTCGGGTCCCTAAGCCAAGCCGCTCGAGTCCCTGCTCGCGGCTTACTCCCTGACTGTGCTTCCGACCCGCTTGAGGGCTTGGCTGGCCGGCGGGTCCCCCCATTTTTGCAATATTTTATTTTTATTTCTTGTTCTTCATTTATCTCAAAAGTAAGACTGTAAAAATCGTATAAAATCACATAATTACCCAAAAATTCACGTTAATCAATTGAAAACCAAAAATCATTCTTTAACACAAATATAAGTCTATTTATCATGAGTTAAGGCTAAAACTATATTATTTACTAATTATTAACTCATGATAATGAAGACTTATCAACCACCGACGCTCGACCTTCCTGCTAAAACACCGCAGACGCTCGGCCTTCCCGCCAAAGTGCTGCCGCCGTGTGCCAACTCCTGTGTGCCCTAAGACTCTACGTGATTTGCCTCCTACGCCTGCTAGTGTGCCCTTCGGCCCACCAGCGGACCCACGCTCAGTAGCGTGCCCTTCGGCCCACCAGCAGGCCCACGCCCATGCCGATTGTGCCACACCCTAAGATGATGACTTCCGTGACTCTTGACCAGGACCGACTATCAATGCTGAGCATCGCTCTCCACTAGATTTCTGCCTTCGTCAAATCTCTGCTCTGTCACGACCCGCCAAGCTATGCAACCCCGAAGGTTAGCTTTGTACCCTTTCCTCTTGAGTTTAATTATCTCTCGAAGGGTTTTCTTGGTTCGTCTCCTCCGCCATCAAGAGAATGTTGACAAGATAAGACGGTTATCAGATCGTGACTTCCGACACTGTGCCAGATTCGCCACTATTTGTGAGCTGCAGCCCTAGGCTACCTCACGATGACTGTTCCGCTGTCTATCTGGATGTGGACCAAGAGGGCCTCACGCTTACCATCGTCAAGTGTTTCTCCGGGTTGTCCTAGGTTGATCATGCATATTGGTATGCCTACCTATACTTAGGTTATGTGGTCAGACCTAGAGTCTAGGGTCCAAACCTTCTTATCAAATCGATCTAACTGCCCCATCTTAGGACTCAAGTTTTATTGATTAGGTACAGGGGTTTCTCCCCCCATCCTACATCAGGCTGCATCATCAAGGGTTGTAATGATTGTCACTCACCGTTTATCGGGTGTTGAGAATTGTTGACAATAGAGCTATATGGTTTGTGTTTATTTTTCAAGACATGATCAACTACCTCTCCTTACGGAGGATCCACCAATAAAGCTTGAGACACTTTAGAAGTGAAACTGTGATGATCAACATTTATTAGGCTCTTTGTGGGCCTCCCTCAAGCCTCATGTGCATGATATCGTGTATGACTTTGACAAATGTTGATAGGTGTGGGATCATCTTGGATCGATCCATGCCAATAATCTCACCTGCTAGTATGATATCTAGGCCAAGTTCTATGGGATGTAGAAGGGGCAGTGTTCATTGGTGGAGTACTTTCAAGCATTTGTTTAGGCAAGTGGAAACTTGCTTCATTGATGTCACTATCCACTGATCTTGCAGTAATGCAAGGCCATCATGATCCCTCCAAAGTCATCAACTTTCTATAGGGTCTTCTAGTAGAATTTGATAATGCATAAAGCTAATTCTTGTTAGAGCCGGAAGTTCTTTCTCTTGTTGAGGTTTTTCACCATCTCTCTTGAGGACCTATTACTTCAGCAGCTTCCTCTCTGTTACTTGAGTTTGTTGTCCTTGCCACCTCTTCTACTACTCCTTTTGATAGTAGTCGCTCTAGTGGTTCTAGAGATCAGGGACGTGATGGAGGTTGCCATGTGGCAAATCTAATTGCCATTTTGAGTATTTTTATTGTGGTTAGAAGGGCCACACTCGGGATTGCTGCTATGCTGTTCATGGGTATTTTCAGACTCATATTGTTGGATCGGATGAGATTATTGCGCATCCACCAACTTGACCATCAGCTCCATATCCACCCCCTTGATTTCAGCACTGAATGACAACTGCCTTAAATAGGGAGAATTGTGTAGAACAATTAGTACCAATGAAATAGAAAGGTTTGACTCAAAGCACTAGTGGTGCTGGACTCTTTCTTGGTTGTTAGTAGCTGTCAAGACTCATCTGCATGTCTACATGTTAGAATGGTAGGTATCACTGACTTGCTTTTTTCTTTATCAATAGACCTATTTGCACCAGGCAGCTTCCCATGGCAGCATCGCATGAGGACTGGGGGGTTGGTGATAAGTCTTCATTATCATGAGTTAATAATTAGTAAATAATATAATTTTAGCCTTAACTCATGATAAATAGACTTATATTTGTGTTAAAGCATGAAAAGTGGTTTTCAGTTGATGAACGTGAATTTTTGGGTAATTATGTGATTTTATACGATTTTTACAGTCTTAGTTTTGAGATAAATGAAGAACAAGAAATAAAAATAAAAATATTGCAAAATGGGGAGATACGTCGGCCAGCCGGGCCCGCAAGCGGGTCGGAAGCGCAGTCGGGGAGTAGCCGCGAGCAGGGGCTCGAGTGGCTTGCTTGGATCGATAGGGGCACGTGTGTGCCACTCCCCTTCCACGTCACCGGTGGTCAGCCGGCTGTGGGGCAAGGAGTGGTCGTACACGCGAGAGGACTTTGCCAAGAAAGCTAACTTTACTATATATTCGCCCCAATAATCCACGCACAACCGATGTGGGACTAAATTCACCTTGTAAGGCACCGGCGACCGCCGCGGGTTCGAATCCTCCCAGAGTCAAAATTCATATATTTTTAACTGATTATCGCGACTTTCCTGCAGATCGCCGGTGAAGGATTAAGCAACCGGAATCGCTGGATCATCGGCGAAAATCTCGTCAACGCGATTCGCGGAGCATTGCTACTAAAATTTCTGAACGATTCGCGATAAAAGGATCGCAATCCATCAAGTAAATCATCTCCGATTGATCGACGAACAAGCCGTCGTCGGGAAGAGGACGATCCGCCGGGAGACCAGTCGCCACCTCCTGAGAGCGTACCAGATGCGATGAAGAGCCTCCTCTTGCTGCGCGGACCTGAGGATGAAGCTCCCTAACACGCGCCTCACCTCCATCCAGCCCCTCTCCGCCGGGTGACAGCCGCCGGAGAGCCGCAAAGTCGCCGTTTTTCCGCTCCGCCGGGTGACAGCCGCCGGAGACGATTCGACGACCCACTTCATTGGTCTCTAGACTTCGCGAGAAGATCTAGAGATTGCCCAAGTCGTCTTTGTCCAAGGAGAGCCTTCGAGGCCGTGGACACTGCACGACGACCCTCCCGAACGCTCAGGATTCCGGTGCATCGCCGACGCGTCGCCGTCGCGACGCCGGAACTCTGCTTTCCTGCTTTATCTAGAGATTGCCCACGTCGTCTTTGTCCAAGGAGAGCCTTCGAGGCCGTGGACACTGCACGACGACCCTCCCGAACGCTCAGGATTCCGGTGCATCACCGACGCATCGCCGTCGCGACGCCGGAACTCTGTTTTCCTGCTTTATCTAGAGATTTCCCACGTCGTCTTTGTCCAAGGAGAGCCTTCGAGGCTGTGGACACTGCACGACAATCCTCCCGAACGCTCAGGATTCCGGTGCATCGCCGACGCATCGCCGTCGCGACGCCGGAACTCTGTTTTCCTGCTTTCAATTTAATTTACGCTTCATTTAGTGATACTTTGTTGATTTTTATTTACCAAACTATACTTCGTTCAACTACGGTTCTTCCGGCTTTTACAGATCTTAATTTGATTAATTGAGTCGTCTGTAATCGCCTACGTAAGAATCGCCGGGCGGAACTCTGTTTCCGCCTGATTCGCGTTCGCCGGGCGCTGACGTCATCCTGACGTCCGCACCCTTATTTCCTCTTTTTTTGTGAATTTTAAATATATTTCCTTTTTATTTCCTAGTATAAAATTTGTAAGAAAATCGTACTCATTGAGAAAAATTCTGAATAATTACCAGATATTATATTACATCCCTGTAATCGACCTGGAAAATTACTGCTATTTTTGGGATTTGTATTGAATTATAATTGATATATTTATTTAGAAATACTTCTAAATATCCGAAAATTCGTACTTTCTAGTTTTATAAATTTTATATTTGCGTGATTTAATATACAACGACTGAGTCACGTCAGTTGGTGACCAGAAGTGGCAGCTTCACCTGGTCCTTTGGCATGCCGATTGGCCTTGTTGAAAGGATAGCCAGAAGGTGAGTTGAGGTTTTTTGTTAAAAATGTTGGTTTTCTGATGCATCATTTTCACTATCTTTTGTTGTTAATTCTTAAGAGGACTGAGAAGAATCAAAATAATTAGCAATGGATGATTTCCTAATTGATGATTTTTGAGTTTGGTACCTATAATTGCGTGTTGAGAAAGTGAGACCACGTAGTTATGGAAACACAATGTCATTCGCTAGAGAAGACATATTTTCTCCACAGAAGAGTCATTGAGAGAAAATATTATGTATGTAATTTTACGTTGACATCTTGAAATCATTTCTCAAAATTTGACTTGGTAAGCCCCTATTTTATGAACTCTATCCTATTATATCCCAGTGCACATCTACTATTAGGTCCCACAATGCATTACAACTTTTCTAGGACCAACCAGCCAAGAAAATGGGTAGTTTAGATGAAGACCAGCCAAGTGCAAGAGATAGAAGAGAGAGACAAAGAGAGTTGGAGACTACGTAAAAGGTCTTGAAAAACTTTTCTAACTCTTTTAAAATTTTACAAAGAGATTAAAAATAATTAAAATTTACAAAAAAATTTAAAATTCTAATGTATACAAGTAAATTTGTCAAAGCTGATAATTTTAAAATTAAATGACTTCAATATAATGTGAACCATCTCACTCAATTTTTTTAAGGCTCAATGATAATTATAAATTGGTAGTTGCATCTATGTATTAATATCTTACCTATAGATGCTAATCAATAGGTAGAGAATACAATTATACATATGTTACTGACTCATTATGACATTCATAATGTTTTATCATTTAAGTCCAAATATATATTATTTTATTATTTTATTTATATTATGAGAGTAAACCCACTTGACTTTTATAAAGTCAAGTAGTGATTCTCTCACATTTTTTTGATAATTATTAGATTGTAAAAACTTAAGTGAGCTCTTATTATAAGTTGAAATAATAGAAGAAGTCCAAGTCTTCAGTTCAAGGGAAAGCTCAAGTCTTATGGAGAGGGCTTGCCTAATATCTTTATGGGCCTAAGAGAGGGCATCATTTTGACCTAGCTTATTTGGACTTAAAAAGGCTATCAAGAGATGAGATCAAGGCCACCCGTCTTAGGACACCTTAAGATGAGATTAAGAGAAGGATTAGAATACCACTCTCATAGAGAAGGATTAGAATACCACCAAGAGAGTCAATTATTAATCATAACCATCCATTAGAGGGGCCTAACTCTCAAGAGGATTAACGCATCTCACTTAAAAGGTGCTTTTTGACTCTCTCTCTAGTAGTGGCTAGCCGAAGGAAATAGGAGGAAAATCAGGGTCTAGTCAATGACATTCTCATGCCCAAGATCATTGTGAAGAAGAGATTACCTTGAGTGCATCAAGATCATCACAGATTAAACATTGGTTGGAAGGTTTGTGCAAGATCTAGATTTGTTACGTCCTTGTAATCCTCTCCATGGATTAACTCTTAGTTCGAACTAATTTTACCATTTATTCTATCATTTCATTACATTAGATTTATTTTCTCTCCTTTGTCACATTTTTCATAACTCTTGTCTTCACTCTTTTACATTTAATTCTGCCCTTCACAATCTCAAGTATATGTATATGTATATAAGAAATAATATAAGTAGAATTCTTACTCTCATTACCCATGCTCCCTAAAGATCAACCCTTAATTATCCTAAATAGAAGAGTGAAGTTTTATAAATATTATTTACATGAACTTGGTTGCATCATGATGATCTATTTAACCTCTAATTCAAGTTCATCACTCAACTAAGTTGATAAAGAGACATTTGTTTACATGCATTTTTCTCATTGGGTTTATAAACATACTCATTTGTTTAGGTGCACTTGATTACTTTGAGCATGATAAGTAGATTGTAATCATGCTATCATAGTATAATGCTCATCCCATTAAAATGAAAATATCAATTAATTATCTTTACCCATCATAGTGTCTAAATATCTTAGTTATAAGCTGTTCCTTAAACTTTGCTATTAGCTCATTAGGTTGCAGTTTCATTTCAAATGAATGTTTACCTCAATTAGATAATTGAAGTGTTAATATACCAATCATGAAGTCTACTTCACTCTTAAATACTTTTTTCTATTGAATAGATCTGAGTAAAATAATTTGAACAAGCTTCAAGCATGGATACAAAACATTGGGAGAGGGAGAGTAAAATGCTAGTGATCATATGTGAGTGACGTGACTCAGTCGTTGTATGTTAAATCACGCAAATATAAAATTTATAAAACTAGAAAATACGAATTTTCAGATATTTAGAAGTATTTCAAAATAAATATATCAATTATAACTCAATAAAAATTCCAAAAATAGCGGTAATTTTCCAGGTCGATTACAGGGATGTAATATAATATCTGGTAATTATTCAGAATTTTTCTCAATGAATACGATTTTCTTACGAATTTTATACTAAGAAATAAAAAGGAAATATATTTAAAATTCACGAAAAAAAAAGGAAATAAGGGTGCGGGCGTCAGGATGACGTCAGCGCCCGGCGAACGCGAATCAGGCGGAAACAGAGTTCTGCCCGTCGATTCTTACGTAAGCGATTACAGACGATTTAATTAATCAAATTGAGATCTGTAAAAGCCGGAAGAATCGTAATTTAACGAAGTATAGTTTGGTAAATTAAAATCACACAAAGTATCACTAAATAAAGCGTAAATTAAATTGAAAGCAGGAAAATAGAGTTCCAGCGTCGCGGCGGCGATGCGTCGGCGATGCACCGGAATCCTGAGCGTTTGGGAGGATCGTCGTGCAGTGTCCACAGCCTCGAAGGCTCTCCTTGGACAAAGACGACGTGGGCAATCTCTAGATCTTCTCGCGAAGTCTAGAGATCAATGAAGTGGGTCGTCGAATCGTCTCCAGCGGCTGTCACCCGACGGAGCGGAAAAAACGGCGACTTTGCGGCTCTCCGGCGGCTGTCACCCGAGGGAGAGGAGCTGGATGGAGGTGGGGCGTGTGTTAGGGAGCTTCATCCTCAGGTCTGTGCAGCAAGAGGAGGCTCTTCATCGCATCTGGTACGCTCTCAGGAGGTGGCGACGTCTCCCGGTGGATCGTCCTCTTCCCGACGACGGCTTGTTCGTCGATCAATCAGAGATGATTTACTCGATGGATTCGCGATCCTTTTATCGCGAATCGTTCAGCAATTTTAGTAGCAATGCTTTGCGAATCACGTTGACGAGATTTTCGCCGATGATCCAGCGATTCTCGTTGCTTAATCCTTCACCGGCGATCTGCAAGAAAGTCGCAATAATCAGATAAAAATATATAAATTTTGACTCTAGGAGGATTTGAACCCGTGCCGGTCGCCCCCGCCTCTTTTGAGGAAGGTGTGGGTTTAGTCCCACATCGGTTGTACGCCGAGTTTTCGGGCGAATATATAGTAATGTTAGCTTTGTGAGCAAAGTCCCTTCTTTCGCATGTACGACCACTCCTTGTGCCACAGCCGGCTGGCCACCGGTGACATGGAAGGGGAGTGGCGTACGCGTGCCTGTCGGTCCCAAAGCCAAGCCGCTCGAGCCCCTACTCACGGCTTACTCCCCGACTATGCTTCCGACCCGCTCGCGGGCACGGCGGGTCCCCTCATTTTTGCAATATTTTTATTTTTATTTCTTGTTCTTTATTTATCTCAAAAGTAAGACCGTAAAAATCGTATAAAATCACATAATTACCCAAAAATTCACGTTAATCAATTGAAAACCAAAAATCATTCTTTAACACAAATATAAGTCTATTTATCATGAGTTAAGGCTAAAACTATATTATTTACTAATTATTAACTCATGATAATGAAGACTTATCAGTGAGCAAATACGGAGACAATACTAGGAGAGGGGAAGAGAGAGAGCGTAGCAATGTTGCTAATGTATGGTGTTCAAATGGATGTAGAGAAAAAAGGAGGATGGAGAGAGGACGTATATTAACTACTTGGTACTGTGTGCACACGAATCTAGAGACCCAACACAGAGATAAACATATAGATAGAAAGAGAAGGGATATCGGATGTTCTCATAGAGAAGAGATTGCCTCAAATTACAAATGTAGTGTCCTACCAGAACTTCAAGACACTAAGATACATTTATGTCACTAAATATGATTTTTCTTCTATTATTGGTTTCTTAAAAGAGGTCTTCAAGTTACTTGCCACCATGGACTGCAGTTTCCAGAATCAGGGCACTGGATTTTATGACATGGTCATCATTGGCCTGTGGGACTGTGGGCTTTACTAGATGGGACAGTGCGTGTCAGCTTCTGAACCTACCAAGGACTGTGTACAATTAACTGAGTCACACATCAACGATTTCCAACCACAGAGACCAACCAAGCAAGAGAGGAGGAGAGTGAAAGAGATAGCGAGCAAGCAACAGGAGGGCAGGGAGAGAGAAAGAGTGTGAGAAACTGAGCAAGAGAGAGGGGGACAGAGTGAGCAAGTGAGAGAGGAAATGTATTGAAACCGGTGTGTAGTCCACTTGCAAATATGTGACTTGACTTTGTTGACATGGGTTTAGAACCAGTATTGCTTGGATCCTAGGCAAATGTATTGACATCTATTGCAAACAAACAACCTGTAGTGTAATTAAAACCACACCCATGGGGGCATGTTTTATTGACTTGTTTTCTCTAACCCTCCCCCTCTATTATGTACACAATTGAGTATACGAAACAAATTATTTATGCTATTCCATGTCAAAATGCTTTCACCATTGGATGTTCAATCACCGTTATAATTTGACTCAATATTTGATTGATTTGTTGTTCATGTGTGTTAGCTGTGTCATCAATTCCAGAACTTGGTTTATCAGTTCTTTAACAAAAAGGTCAACATATATAACACAAAATCAATGAAAAAGTTGATTTCGGCCCCTTATGGTAAAATAAAATGGTTGAATATTCTTTGTGAAGTATGGAAATTATACAATAATAATTCAGTTCCCAATAATTAATTTGGGTAAATGTAGGGTGTGAACATTTATTAAGTAAATGCTACCATTTTACATCATCATGAGGCTTGGTTAATTATGTGTACCCACCCTCAAAGCATGTCAAAGAGAAAATAGTAAATAAATACTCAATTGATGTACCAGACTTAGTATAATATGTTGTAATGTAAGCTGCATAAATATATAGAGAGATGAGGGAGTGAGGGAGGGAGAGAAGGAGAGAGAGAGAGAGAGAGAGAGAGAGAGCTACAAATCGACATAGACAAATAGAGAGAATATTTTCATTGGGTTCACTCATATTGACAGTTTGAAAAGTATATTATAAGAATAAAATTATCTATAAATACAAGGTGAGACATGAGAGACAAAGATAGAGAGGGTGGGAGGGAGGGAAGGAAAAGGCTCTCAATGAGTTAATTTTGCCTCACAATAAATTTCTTTTACCCCTCTTATTTGAAGAAGATTTTGTACAAGATTACAAAAAAAATGATTCTTTTTGTTTCAACTATATGCATGATCAAGAAGACAGATGATAGAATCATACAGTAAAGAAATAAGAAACTTTTTTAATTGAGTGAAATCCAAAGTGCTATCATCGCAAGTGCCAACTCCACAATGTGTTTGAGGAGCAACCCACTAAAAATAACTGATCTTAAGGAAATGATCTAGCAAAATAGTGTTGAAACAATACTGATCTTTATGTCAACAATAGATACATCCAATGGGGACAAGCCAAAAAGTTTATCGAAGAGAAAACAACACATCAGTAAGCACACTATATTTACCTCCAAAATCCTACCTCGAATGGGGAAACTAGGACAGAATAAATCAGTACTTCTATAATCAAGAGCACCTCTTTAATAATGCAGAAATTCCTCTTTGACTCTACATGTGCACATCTTAACTCATCTCAACCTACAGATATATCACTGTGTCACTCATATTTACTTCAAATATCAACATGAAATTCCAAGCCAGAAAAGAAATGCTATCACTATTGAACAATGTTAAAGGCATCATAACTGAGCTGCATAGGCCCTAGCCTTGTCACCTAGCCACCTCTGTTTTGGTCGGCAAGTCTGCAAGGAAAGCAAAGAATGCTTCAGTCTCCTTAATTTTCATGATCATGTCGTCCTTGCCTCTAGGAGCAGAGATCTCCAGCAATGTAAAAATATGACAGCATGTCGAATTTAACATAGGCATGATCTTTCCTTCTAAATTCCTTGTGATCTCGGAAGGTAATGTGATGGCAATGTGTTTACACTTTTCAGAGAAGGCTAATCACACCTAGCTGGAAAGATTGCCACATATACCCTGAAGGTTCTCTAAGACCGTGACTCAGCCTATAAAGCCATTCAAATCTCTCACCTTCTTGAATGACTCTGCAAAAGCTTTCTTGCTGTGGGACTCCACCAATGCCATTCACTATAGTGAACCTTCTGTCAAGGAAGAGGTACAACACAACAGCTTAGATGGATCTTTTTGTTGTGAAGACTGAATGGTTCCCTTTGGGCTTATCCACAAAAATCTGGTTGGGTCATCTTGTGGAATCATCATGTAGACTTAGGATCATTTACATTGAATGGGGTTGGTGGAGTCTCCTAGCAAGAAGCATTCACATAGTTGTTCAAGAAGTTGAGAGATTTCAAAGATTCAGATTTGAATAGGCTGAGTTAGGGTGTTTAGGAATATACATTATATCTATTGCAATATTTCTATCTAATTATGACTTGATCCAAAAATTCAATTAGGATCTATAGCCATATCTTGTTAGAAAGTGATGTGATGTGACTTAGTCATTGAATAGTAAATCACACAATTTTAAAATTTATAAAATTAAAAAATACAAACTTTTAGATATTTAAAAATATTTCTGAACAAATATATCAATTATAATTCAATATAACTTCTAAAAATAGTGATAATTTTTCAAGTTGATCATATGGATGTAATATAATATCAGGTAATCATTCATAATGTTTCTCAAGGAATACTATTTTCTATGAAGTTTACACTAGAAAAGGAAAATAAAATATATTTAAAATTTACGAAAAAGAAAAATAAGGGTGTAGACATTAGGATGACGTTCGTGCCTGGCAAACACGAATTGGACGGAAATATAGTTTTGTCCGGTGATTCTTATATAAGCAATTACAAACAACTTAATTGATCAAATTAAGATTTGTAAGAAGAATCGTAATTGAATGAAGTATAGCTTGGTAAATTTAAAATCAATAAATTATCACTAAATAAAGTAAAAATTAAGTTAAAAGTAGAAAAACAAAGTTCCGACATTGCTGTGACAATACGTTAGTGATGCATCAAAATCTTAAGCGTTTGGGAGGATCATCATGTAGTCTCTATAATCTTGAAGGCTCTCCTTGGACAAGGATGATGTGGGCAATCTCTAAATCTCCTTACAAAATTTAGAGATCAATGAAATGGGTTGTCAAATCGTCTTCGGTGGCAATCACCTAGTGGAGTAGAAAATCAATGACTTTGCAGCTCTCCGATGGCTATCACCTGACAAAGAGGAGCTGGATGAAGGTGGGACGTGTGTTAGAGAGCTTCATCTTGAAGTCCACGTAGCAAGAGGAGGCTCCTCATTGCATCCGATATGCTTTCAAGAGGTGGTGACTCATCTCTTGGCAGATCGTTGATAAGTCTTCATTATCATGAGTTAATAATTAGTAAATAATATAGTTTTAGGCTTAACTCATGATAAATAAACTTATATTTGTGTTAAAGAATGATTTTTGGTTTTTAATTGATTAATGTGAATTTTTGGGTAATTATGTGATTTTATACGATTTTTACAGTCTTACTTTTGAGATAAATAAAGAACAAGAAATAAAAATAAAAATATTACAAAAATGGGGGGACCTGCCGGCCAGTCGTGCCGGCAAGTGGGTCGGAAGCGCAGTCGAGGAGTAAGCCACGAGTAGGAGCTCGAGCGGCTTGGCTTGGGGACCGACAGGGCACGCGTACGCCACTCCCCTTCCACGTCACCAGTGGCCAGCCAGCTGTGGGGCAAGGAGTGGTCATACACGCGAGAGAAGGGACTTTGCTTAGAAACCTAACATTACTATATATTCACCCCAAAAATCAGCTACAACCGATGTGGGACTAAACCGCCGTCACACCTTCCTCAGAAGAGGCGGGCGACCGGCGCGGGTTCGAATCCTTCTAGAGTCAAAATTCATATATTTTTATTTGATTATCGTGACTTTCCTGCAGATCGCCAGTGAAGGATTAAGCAACGAGAATCTTTGGATCATCGGCGAAAACCTCGTCAATGCGATTTGCGGAGCATTGCTACTAAAATTGCTGAACGATTCGCGATAAAAGGATCGTGAATCCATTGAGTAAATCATCTCTGATTGATCGACAAACAAGCCGTCGTCGAGAAGAGGACGATCCACCGGGAGACCAGACGCCACCTCTTGAGAGCGTACCAGATGCGATGAAGAGCCTCCTCTTGCTGCGCAGACCTGAGGATGAAGCTCCCTAACACACGCCCCACCTCTATCTAGCTCCTCTCCGTCGGGTGACAGCCGCCAGAGAGCTGCAAAGTCGCCATTTTTCCGCTCCGCCGGGTGACAGCCGCTGGAGACGATTCGACGACCCACTTCATTGATCTCTAGACTTCGCGAGAAGATCTAGAGATTGCCCACGTCGTCTTTGTCCAAGGAGAGCCTTCAAGGCCGTGGACACTACACGACGATCCTCCCGAACGCTCAAGATTCCGGTGCATTGCCGACGCATCGCCATCGTGACGCCGGAACTCTATTTTCCTACTTTCAGTTTAATTTACGCTTTATTTAGTGATACTTTGTGTGATTTTAATTTACCAAACTATACTTCGTTCAATTACGATTCTTTCGGCTTTTACAGATCTTAATTTGATTAATTAAGTCGTCTATAATTGCTTACGTAAGAATCGCCGGGCGGAACTCTGTTTCTACCTGATTCGCGTTCGCCGGACACTGACGTCATCATGACGTCCGCACCCTTATTTCTTTTTTTTCGTGAATTTTAAATATATTTTCTTTTTATTTCCTAGTATAAAATTTGTAAGAAAATCGTATTCATTGAGAAAATTTTTGAATAATTACCAGATATTATATTACATCCCTGTGATTGACTTGGAAAATTACCGCTATTTTTGGAATTTTTATTGAATTATAATTGATATATTTATTTAGAAATACTTCTAAATATCTGAAAATTCATATTTTCTAGTTTTATAAATTTTATATTTACATGATTTAATATACAACAACTAAGTCACGTCAATCGTATGGACGAGATTTTTGTCAATGATCCAATAATTCTGGTGGCTTAATCTTTCACCAACAATTTGTAGGAAAGTCGTAATAATCAGATAAAGAATATAAGTTTTAGCTCTAAAAAGATTCAAACCTGCACTAGTTGTCCCCCTACATAAGAGAGATTGACATATGTACTCTAATGCTCGTATCAAATGACCTCATCATGGTACAACTTTGTTACGAAAAAGAGATATTTTAGGTATTCAAAATATCAAATCTTTTTTGGGAAAGGTGTGATGTGGTTTTAGTCCTATATCACTTGTGCACCAAAGTTTTGGGCAAATATATATTAATATTACATTTGGAATCAAGTCCCTTTCTTGCACATGTACGACCACTCCTTACCCTGCAATTGGCTTGCCACAAGTGACATGGAAGGGAAGTGGCATACATGTGCCCCTATCACTCTTAGTCGCTCAAGCCCCTACTCCTAGCTACTCCCCAATTGTACTTCCAACCCACTTGTAGGCTCAACTGGCCAGTAAGTCCTCGTTTTTTTATTTTATTTTTATTTTTATTTCTTTTTATTCATTTATTTGAAAAGTAAGACTGTAAAAATCAAATAAATTTGTATAAAATCATATAACTACCCAAAAATTTATGTTAATTAATTGAAAACCACTTTTCACACTTTAACACAAATATAAGACTATTTATCATGAATTAAGGCTAAAACTATATTATTTACTAATTATTAACTAATGATAATGAAGACTTATCATGGCGTAAACCTCATTCTTAGTTTAAATTAAGTTGAGTACTCTATATAATTTTTCATGTGCCTTGATAAGTCTTCACTATCATTAGTTAATAATTAGTAAATAATATAGTTTTAGTCTTAACTCATGATAAATAGACTTATATTTGTGTTAAAGTGTGAAAAGTGGTTTTCAATTGATTAATGTGAATTTTTGGGTATTTATGTGATTTTACACAAGTTTATATGATTTTTACAATCTTACTTTTGAGATAAATAAAGAAAAAGAAATAAAAAATAAAAATAAGATAAAATGAGGGAGACCCACTAGCCAGTCAGGCCTACCAGTGGGTTGAAAGCTCAATCAGAGAGTAGCTGCGAGCAGGGGCTCGAGCGGCTTGGACCAATAGGGGCATGTGTATGCCACTCCCCTTCCACATCACTGGTGGCCAGCCAACTATGGGGCAAGGAGTGGTCGTACACGCAAGAGAAAGGACTTGCTTAGAAATCAAACATTAGTATATATTCACTCGAAAACTCAGTGTGCAACCGATGTGGGACTAAACCTTTGTCACCTTCTCCAAAAAGGGCAGGCAACCGGCACAGGTTCAAATCCTCCCAAAGTCAAAAGTCATATATTTTTATTTGATTATCACAACTTTCCTATATATCATTGGTGAAGGATTAAGCAATGAGAATCACTGGATCATCGGCAAAAATCTCTTCAATGCAATTCGCGGAGCATTACTACTAAAATTGTTGAACGATTCGCGATAAAAGGATCACGAATCCATCGAGTAAATCATCTCTAATTGATTGACGAACAAGCCATTATCGAGAAGAGAACAATCCACCGAGAGACGAGTCCCCACCTCCTGAGAGTGTACTAGATGCGATGAAGAGCCTCCTCTTACTACGCAAACCTGAGGATGAAGCTCCTTGACACGCACCTCACCTCCATCTAGCTCCTCTCCATCGAGTGACAACCGCTGGAGAGCTGCAAAGTCGTTATTTTTTTACTCTACCAGGTGACAGCTGCTGGAGACGATTTGACAACCCATTTCATTAATCTCTAGACTTCGCAAGAAGATCTAGAGATTGCCCACGTCGTCTTTGTCCAAGAAGAGCCTTCGAGGCCATGGACACTGCACAACGATCCTCCCGAACACTCAAGATTCTAGTGCATCACTGATGCATCGTTGTTGCGATGCTAGAACTCTATTTTCCTGCTTTCAACTTACTTTACACTTCATTTAGTGATAATTTGTGTGATTTTAATTTATCAAAATATACTTTGTTCAATTACGATACTTTCAACTTTTACAGATCTTAATTTGATTGATTAAATCATTTGTAATAACTTACGTAAAAATCACTAGACAGAACTCTATTTCTGCCTAATTCTCGTTCATCAGGTGCTGACATCATCCTGATGTCCGCACCCTTATTTTCCTTTTTTGTAAATTTTAAATATACTTCTTTTTCATTTCTTAGTATAAAATTCATAAAAAATCATATTCATTGAGAAAAATTCTAAATAATTACCAGATATTATATTACACCCTATGATCAACCTAGAAAGTTATTGCTATTTTTTGGAAGTTTAATTAAATTATAATTAATATATTTGTTTAGAAATACTTCTAAATATCTAAAAAATCATATTTTCTAATTTTATAAATTTTATATTTGTGTGATTTAATATACAATGATTGAGGCACGTCATGCCTATATGATAGAATGTAGTGCATAAATCGAACTAGGAATGTAGGGCATATTGTGGCTTTACTACACCCTCCCCCGTCATTACACTACCATTGAACTAGTAAACGATGAAATTGATAAACAAGATTTAGAGGTTAAACATATCATCATGATGCAACCAAGTTCATCCAAATAATATTTATAAAACCTCATTGTTCTATTTAAGATAAGTAAGGGTCGACCCTCAGGGAGTGTGGGTAATGAGAGTAAGAATGTTACTTATTTTATTTCTTATATATATATTGATATACTTGAGATTATGAAAAATAAAATTAAATTTAAAAAAGGTGAAGATAAAAAAAATAGAAAGTGTGGCAAAGGGGAGAGAATGGATCTAACATAATAGAATGATAGAATAAATGATAAAACTAGTTCCAACTAAGAGTTAATTTATCAATGGAGAGGATTACAAGGACATCTTAAATCAAGATTTTGCACAAACCTCATTGTGCACCAATCTTAGGCCAAGTGATGCTTGATCTGTAATAATCTTGATGCGCTCTAAGTAATCTCTTTTACACGATGATCTTGGGCACAAGAATGTCATTGACTAGGCCCTAATTTCTCTCCTATTTCCTTTGGCTTGCTACTATTAGAGAGAGAGCCAAAAAGCACCCCCCAAGAGGGGGGCCAGATGCCTTAATCCTCTCAAGAATTAGGCCCCTCTAATAGATGATTATGATTAATAATTGACTCTCTTGGTGGACGGCCCGAATTCTTTTATGAGAGTAGTGTTCTAAACCTTCTCTTAATCTCATCTTAAGGCACCTTAAGATGGGCGGCCTAGATCTCATCTTTTGATAGCCCATTTAAGTCCAAATGAGTTAGGCCAAGGTGATGCTCTCTCTTGGGCCCATAAACATATTAGACCGTTCTTTTGATAAGACTTGAGCTTTTCCTTGGGCTGAAGGCTTAGGCTTCTTCGATCACTTTCAACTCATAATCACCTAAGTCCTTACAATCAAATAATTATCAAGAAAATATGAGAGAATCACTAGTTGACTTCATAAAAGTCAAGTGGGGTTAGTGACGTGACTTACTCATTATATAGTAAATCATACAATTTTAAAATTTGTAAAACTAGAAAATACTAATTTTTAGATATTTAGAAGTATTTCTGAACAATTATATCAATTATAATTCAATAAAACTTTCAAAACTAGTGGTAATTTTTCAGGTCAATCACAGAGATGTAATATAATATTGGGTAATTTTTTAGAATTTTTTTCAAATAGTAAGATTTTTTTATGAACTTTATATTAAGAAATGAAAATAAAATATATTTAAAATTCACAAAAAAGAGAAATAAGGGTACGGACGTCAAAATGGCATTAGTGTTCAATGAATGCAAATCACGTGGAAACAAAGTTCCACCTAGTGATTCTTACATAAGCAATTACAGATAATTTAATTGATAAAATAAAGATCTATAAAAGTTAAAAAAATATAATTGAAAGAAGTATATCTTGATAAATTTAAATCACACAAATTAACACTAAATGAAACAAAAATTAAGTTAAAAGTAGGAAAATAGAGTTTAGACATCGCGGTAGCGATACATTGGCAATGTACCAAAATCTTGAGCATGGGCAATGCACTAAAGTTTAGAAGGATTGTTGTGTAGTGTCTATGGCCTCGAAAGTTCTCCTTGGACAAGGATGACATGGGCAATCTCTAGATCTCCTTTCAAAGTCTAAAAGGTAATGAAATGGGTCATGAAATGATCTTTAGTGGCTGTCACTTGGTGGAGTAAAAAAATGGTGACTTTATAGCTCTCCGATGGCTATCACCTGATAGAAGGGAACTAGATGGAGGTGCAGTGCATGTTAAAGAGCTTCATCCTTAGGTTTGAACAATAAGAGGAGGCTCTTCATCACATCTGATACACTCTTAGGAGATGGTGACTCATCTCCTGGTGGATGGTCTTCCTCTTGATAATGACTTGTTCGTCGATCAATCAGAGATGATTTACTCGATGGATTTACAATCCTTTTATCGTGAACTGTTCAACAATTTTAGTAACAATGCTCCACTAATCACGTTGATGAAATTTTCACCAATGATCTAGCAATTTTGTTGACTTAATCTTTCACTGATGATCAGAAGAAAAGTCACGATAATCAGATAAAAATACAAGTTTTGGCTAAATATATAGTAATATCACATTTGCAAGCAATGAGTCCCTTTCTCCTTTGTGTATGACCACTCCTTACCCCACAACTAGCTAGTCACTAGTGACATAGAAAGGGAGTGGCACACATATGCCTCCATCGGTCTTTGCTGCTTGAGCCCCTACTTGTAATTCCCCGCAACTACGCTTCCAACCCACTTGCAGGCCCGGTTGGCCAATGGATCCCCCCCTTTTACCATATTTGTATTTCAAATTTTTTTTCTTCATTTATCTCAAAAATAAGACTCGTGGCTTAGAAAGACATCACCTCAACCTCGTTTTTAATTTTTCACCTCATCTTACACTCCTCTTACACTTTTTCGAAAAAAACAAATATAGAAACAAGTATTGTGAAATTCTAAGAAAAATAGAGCTTAAAAAAAATCAAATAGAATGAAATAAAAACCATGGGTTGACTTCCATGTAGCGTTGGATTTAATGTCTTCAGCTGGACAACTCTTAGATCATATAAGATGATCTATGGCCATCAAAATATATTTGCATCTTAAGGTAAGTTTCATAATATTCTTTTTCAGATTTAGCATAAATTCATATACTTCATATATATACCTTGACATACTTTCAGCCAAAAAAATGGAAATTAACAAATTTTTCTCAAAAATAATATTTCCATTTTGAAAAGAATCTTTCCTCATTTCTATCTTGTTTTGTAAGGCTCTCATTCATTAATAAATATTTTCTATTAATAGACCATAAAATGTGATCAAGCCATATAATTTTCAAATTAGCTTTTATCCAATCTAGAATCTTTTCATCTAAATTGATACCTCTAATTCTTCTTCTCACCCATTTCTTAATATATTTTTTTATGTGCATAATCTTCCCCTACTCTATTTTATCTTCCATACATATTTGTTCAATTTGCGAGGAGTAAAATATTTCAAGCTTAGAAAAAGTTCTAATGGGCTGTGGGTTTTGAAGGATGGAAGTATTGTCTTCTTTAATCTCATATCTAATGAATTCAATAAAATTGAAATTTTCTCATACAAAATTATCTCTATATTCATATTCATTTTTTTCATTTCTCCCCATTAGTTGAAACAACTCTTTTTCTAACTTTTTGTTTCTCAACTTATCAAATTCTTCATCTTCCTAAGAGCTATCTTCTAATATCAGTATATGATATACATCATCATCCTCACTATCAACATCCATGGCCACAAAATTATAATTATATTTATTAATTTCATCTCCTACATCTCCTATATTAATTAATTTTTCCTCACCTGAAATATGTTTTTCTTCATGTCTATCCTTACTCTCTTCTACTAAAATTTAAATGATTCTTCCATAATCAGCTATTATTTCTTCATCTAAGAGCTCTTTCTCCTCATCATCCTCACTATATTCATTCATCAATTGTGAGTAATAAATAATTTTATTTAAATTTTTTGCTACTATATTTTCAGCCTTAATATTCTCATTTACTTTTAATGGCTCATCAATTTCTTCTAATAATTAGAAATAAGGATCAAGTAAAATATTCTCACTCAATGTATTTACTGTATTAATATTTTCATTTCGTGGGTTTTTTCTTAAATTTATCCAACTAAGTTCTCTTTGCTGAAATCCTACTATTTGACAATTTCTTGAATTTTCTATAGGTTGATTAGGTGGTTGTCCCTCTTCTCTCTTATTCTCAAAAGCCTCTATAATTTGTTTCTGGTGCAACATCATTTGATTCATAGTTTCTTATATCGTTTAGCTCATTTGTTACATCATTTCCATGGCATCAGGTTGGATTTGAGAGGGCTAATTTTTCTGAAATCTATGTTCTTATTTTAGATGAAATTCAAAATTTGAATTATATCTAAGTCTTCTAGATTTTTAATATTATTTGGGTTTCTCCACGATAAATTATTCCCCTAATTAAGATTATAAGAATTAGAAAAATATTCTCTATTTTTACTGAAATCATGGGTTACTTGTACTTACTTTTGCCTAGGATGAAATGATTAACCTAAATTATAATATTGAAACTCAAAATTATTATTTTCACCATACATATGACATGCACTATATGCATTCAATTGAAGGTTAGGATGCTTTCTAATATTCTCAATAAGTAAATCAAGTTTTTCTAATATTTGATTAATCTGATTAACCTCATTTCTTAAATTAGAATCATCATCGTAATGTAATTCATAAATTTCTCTCTCCTTATCCTTGTCATATAACTCAAAGGAGGCTTGATCTCTAAAATTTTTATTTAAATTCTCATAAACTGTAAATCTCATCAAGGGTTTTCTCTATAAAAGCTCCTCTACATATAGAATCATCTATATTTCTATATTATTCTAATAATCTGTTATAAAAAATTCTATTGAGCTGGCACTTGGATATAAAATATGAGAAGGATACTTTCTAAGTAAATCTTTGAATTTTTCCCTTCTCTCATGTAAAATTTTTCTTAGTCTTTGAGAAAAACCCATATATATTTTCTCATATTTTGAGTTTTTTTAAGAGATAAATTTTTGAAGAAAGACTTGTTCTATGTCTTTCCAGCTAATTAATTCTCTATCTAATGTGGATAGCCAATCACTAGCTTTGTCCTTAAGTATATGAGGAAATAATTTCATCTTAATAATTTTCGGTATAACTTGAGGGAGATTAACTAAATCATAGACCACATGAAATTTTTATAAATAATGATGAGGTTTCTCTAAAGGCAATTCATAAAAGTTAGAGAGTATTTGAGAAATTCTTAAATTTATTTCAAATTTAATAGTAGGTGCTAATGGGACTCTAATATTGAATGCTCTTTGAAATGAATCAGGGATATAATGATTTATCATGGCCATAAGATTGTTCTTAGTTTGACCTATACTTCCTTTAGGATCTATCAAAATTATTTTTTCTTTCAGATTTTTAGTTTTGAATAAAATAATGAAAGGATTTTCTAGCTTTAGATGCAAGGATCTTCTACCATACATAAAAAATTAATAAATTCGAGGAAAAAGTTTAGTAATTGTTACCCTCCTTTAGTATGTTCTAGTCTTTGCCTTGCTTCTTTTCGTTACTTTTTAAAAAAAAAATTCAATGAAAAGAAAATAAAACAAGAGTTTTTTTTTTGTCTACTCAAAGAGAAAGTAAAAAAATACTAAATATTCTGTAATACATCTCCAACAATGGCACCAAAATTTTACATGACTTAGTCGTTGTATAGTAAATCACACAAATTTAGAATTTAGAAAACTAGAAAATACGAATTTTTGAATATTTAGAAGTATTTTTAAACAAATATATCAATTATAATTTAATACAACTTTAAAAAATATTGATAATTTTTCAAGTCAATCATAGGGATGTAATATAATATCAGGTAATTATTTAGATTTTTTTTCAAAGAATACTATCTTTTATGAATTTTATATTAAGAAATAAAAATAAAATATATTTAAAATTCATGAAAAAGGAAAATAAGGGTGTATATGTTAGGATGTCATCAGCGCCTAGTGAATGCGAATAGGGCGAAAATAGAGTTCCACCTAATGATTCTTTTGTAAGTGATTACAAACAATTTAATTAATCACATTAAGATCTATAAAAGTCAGAAGAATCATAATTGAATGAAGTATAGCTTGATAAATTTAAATCATACAAATTATTACTAAATAAAGTAGAAATTAAGTTGAAAGTAGGAAAACATATTCTAGTATCATGGCGGCAATGCGTCGGCAATGCATTGAAATCTTGAGCATTCAAGAGGATCATCGTGTGGTGTCCATGGCCTCGAAGGCTTTTTTTGGACAAAGACGATGTGAGCAATCTCTAGATCTCCTTGCGAAGTTTAGAGGTCAATGAAATAGGTTGTCAAATTGTATTTGGTGGCTATCACCTGATGGAGTAGAAAAATGATAACTTTTTGACTCTCCGACAGCTATCACCTAACAAAGAGGAGTTAGATGGAGTTGGGGCACATGTTAAAGAGCTTCATCCTCAAGTCCATGCAATAAGAGGAGGCTCTTCACCACATCTAGTATGTTCTCAAGAGGTGGTGACCCATCTCTTGGTGGATTATCTTCTTTCTGACGATGACTTGTTCTTTGATCAATTGAAGATGTTTTACTCGATGGATTTGTGATCCTTTTATCGTGAATCGTTCAACAATTTTAATAACAATATTTCACAAATCACATTAATGAGATTTTCGCCGATGATCTAGTGATTTTGATGACTTAATCCTTTACCGGTGATCTATAGAAAAGTCGTGATAATTAGATAAAAAATATGAGTTTTGGCTCCAAGAGGATTCGAACCCACACCGGCTGCCCACTTACATGAGAGAGATTGAAATAAGTACCCTAATGTCCTTATCAAATGATGTCATTATGGTATATTATTGTTATAAATAAGGGGTATTATAAGTATTAAAATCATCGATGTGTTTCTAGGGAAGGTGTGATACGGATTTAATCTCACATCACTTGTGTAACAAAGTTTCAAGCGAATATATAGTAATATTACATTTACAAGCAAGTCACTTTCTTCCATGTGTATGACCAGTCCTTGCCCCATAGTTAATTGGCCATCGGTGATGTGAAAGGGAAGTGGCACACATGTGCCCCATTAGTCTTAGCCGCTTGAGCCCTTGCTTGTGGATCCTCCCTAATTGCGCTTCCGACCAGCTTGTGGACCTGGCTGGCCAGCAGATACCACCAATTTAGTTTTATTTTTATTTTAATTTAATTGTTTTTATTTATCTAAAAAATAAGAGTATAAAAACTATATAAATTCATAGAAAATCACATAATTAGCCAAAAATTCACGTTAATCAACTAAAAACTACTTTTCACACTTTAACATAAATATAAATCTAATTATCATTAGTTAAGGCTAAAACTATATTATTTACTAATTATTAACTCATGATAATAAAGACTTATCAATAAACAAGGGGTATTTGAGGCACAAAAATTATAAAAATATTCTAAAGAATGTGTGATCGTCGTTTAGTCCACATCAATTATATGCTGAATTTTGAGACAAATATATAGTAATATGAGATTTAGGAATCAATGAGTCTATTTCCTACATGTGTATGACCACTTCTTACCCCACGCCCAACTAACCACCAATGACATGGAATGGGAGTGATGCAAACGTGCCCCTTATTAGTCCCTCCTTAGTTGCTCGAGCCTCTACTTGCGACTCTACCCAACTATGCTTCCAACCCACTTGTGGGCTTAGTTGGCTTGCAGGTCACCCCTTTTTTGTCTCTTATTTTATTTTATTTTATTTTTCTTTATTTATCTCAAAAATAAGATTACAAAAATTATATAAATTTACATAAAATCACATAATTAGCCAAAAATTCACATTAACTAATTAAAATCTATTTTTCACAATTTAACACAAAATTAAGTCTATTTATCATAATTTAAAGCTAAATCTATATTATTAATTAATTATTAACTCATAATAATGAAAACTTATCAATGTAGGACTAAAAGTTCTCATTTGTTTTAGGATAGTGGTTTAGAGCATAGTATGATTCAGCAATGTTTAATGGGCCATGTTACTAGATATGGAAGATCTAATGGTGAGCAAATCACCACAATACTAGAAACATAAAGCGATTTATTGGTGGTGCACAAATCCTATGCCACTCAGTACACACATGAAGCACCACAATACTAGAGACTTAAGTTCCTGGTCAGTATTGGTTTGTGGCCGGTTAATAATGTGATGCCTAGTGCACCATGTGACCAATCATATCTGATCTAATGGTACACAAAGTGTCAAAATATCAAAAACTTAAGTTCTAGCAAATACGACTATTAGGGATATAAAGAATATATTTGATTATTATCTAGTTAAATATACTTTATTGATCATCTTTAAAATCCTAATGACAATTGCGAATACATTATCTATTCTTCCCTTTTTTTGCATGATCAACACCTCTAGCAATCGGCAAGCTCATTCCTTCCTCTCTCAACTACACTCAAGACCTTTGGTGAGTTGTCAACTCTTCCCTTCTCCCCCTAGATGACAGTGATAGTCAACCCCATTTTTCGACAAATCTTTCTAAGAAGTAGTGCAATGTTTCTATGGTACTTCTGTTACTTCTGATGTGGTGTAGCATGTCTAGACAAAACCAAGCTGTCACACTAGTGTCTCAAGTTTAAAGGAATTCTTCTACTCAAAGGATTTTTTTGATTTTTGTAAGTCTGAAGACATTCTTCAACATTTAACAGTCTGATATATTCTATAGTAGAATGGTGTTGCAAAATGGATGAATCAGACCATAATTGAAAAAGTATGGTGTCTACTCTCCCACACTATATTGTCAAAAAAGTTTTGGGCTGAGGCTGCCCAAATGGCAGTATACTTGATCAATAGATCCCCTTCTATAGCCATTAGAAGGACAATTTAGGAGGTTTGGAGTAGAGAACCTATGGAATACTCTCTACATCTTCGTATGTCTAGCCTACACCCCAATTGACAATGGCAAGCTTGAACCATGATCAATCAAATGCATCTTTCTTGGTTTTAAGCTGCGAGTAAAAGGGTTCAAGGTTTACAATCTAGAGAATTTGACAACTATCTTTAGTAGAGATGTCATATTCGATGAAACTACTGTGAAGAGATCACCATCATCCTCGATTATAAATTCATCCGATCAATTGTCAAACTCACCAATTTTCTCAATTCCGAATTACTCCATAGCAAGAGATAGATCCTGTAGAGAAATTCATCCACCAACTAGGTATGCTCAAGTAGACTGCACTATTTATGTATTATCTGTTGTAAAGGATGTCGACAGCTCAAGTGAACCAAGCTCATATAATGAAGCCATTCACTCAAGTGATTCAGTAAATTGGACTCTAGCTATGTGAGAAGAAATTGAGTCATTTCAAAAAAATCATATGTGGGATTTAGTGCAGCTCCCACCAACGAAGAGACCTATTTGCTGCAAGTGGGTTCTCAAGCAGAAGGAAGGCATATTAGGAGTTGAAGACTCATGATTCAAGGCTCGGCTCATCACAACGGGATTTAGTCAAATCCTTAGGATTGACTACATAGAGGTACTTTCTCCTGTAGTCAAGCATAGCTCTATTCATACTATACTTGGTCTTGTTGTCCACCAGGACTATGAGCTTGAGCAAATAGATGTGAAGATAGCTTTCCTTCATGGAGAACTTGAGGAAGAAATCTACATGGAAAAGTCAGAAGGATTTCTTGAGAATGATCGAAGAGATCTCATATGCAAACTCAAGAAATCTCTCTATGGATTATAACAATCTTTACTAGTACAAAAGATTTGATTCATACACTACTACTCTCGGATTTTCCTAAAGTAAGTATGGCTGCTGCAATTACTTCAAGAAGGTGGAGAACTCATTTAGATATTTGTTACTATATCTTGATGACATTTTGATTGCAACAAAGAATATTGAATTCATCAACAAAATTAAATTTCAACTCAGTTGAGAATTTGAGATGAAAGATCTTGGGGCAGTTAAAAAAAAATTGGGCATGGAAATCAGTAGCGATCGAACAAGTTGTATAATATCCTTGAACCAAAAGGGGTACATTGTGAAAATTCTCTACAGATTTTATATGGAGAAGGTAAAACCAGTTACCACTCCTCTTGCCACCCATTTTAAACTTTCTTCTTTAATTCTGCAAATGTAATCGAAAAGAGAATATATGTCTAAAGTCCCCTATTCATCAGCAGTTGGATCACTCTGTATGCGATGATCTACATGCGCTCTGATATCTCACAAGCAGTTCAATGGATTCTTAGACACCTACGTAGAACTTCTGATGTGTGCTTGGATTTTAGAAAATCAATCTTCAAAGTCTCTGGCTATGTAGATTTTGATTATGCAGTAGATCTCAATAAGAGGAGATCTCTTATAGGTTATATTTTCACTTTAGATGAATGTGCAATTTTGTGGAAGGCGACTCTACAATCAATTATGGCATTATCTACCACTAAAGCTGAATATATTGCCATCATAGAGGCAGTAAAGGAGGCCATCTAATTGAAAGTTCTTTTCAATGAAATCTACTCAAAATAGTTTTTGGTTAATCTGCTCTGTGATAGTTAGAGTGCCATCCATCTCTCAAAAGATCAATTGTTCCACGAAAGAACAAAAAACATAGATGTACATTATCACTTTGTACAAGATGTGTTCTTGAAAGGAGATATCTCTATTATGAAGATTAGTATGCATGACAACCCAGCAGACATGATGATAAAGCCTCTTCTGTTAGGAAACTTTCAATATTGTCTAAATTTGACTGGATTATTCGCTGAATGAATCAAGGTGGAGATTTGTTAATGGTGCTTCTTTTCAGTGTGATAATGCTCTCCATAAAGAGTGTTTCATCAACCATTGCTATTTCTTTAACAACAATAGTTCTTTAACCGTTCCCTCTATTTTGTAATGGTCATTAGTGTGGAGTTTTATGTACTTTATGTTCCTATTTTTCTTCTCTTTTTGCTCCTACTTTATCTCTTGAGTAATGTGGGTGAAGAGATTTCTTACCTACTTGTTCCTCACTGCCAAAGTGAGGACCTTATGATATTTGCAACAAGATCGAAAATGCCATGGGTTATTGACAGACATTGACGACTTTGTGGTTGTTCCTAGATCAATGGTCATCTGTAGCCCTCAGAATGGCTCTCTAAAGAGAAGAGGAAGAGGAAGGGAGAGAGATGGGCCATCTCTATTGTTGCTTATGCTGCATTCCCATTTTTCTGCGTTCCCTTCATTTACTTATGGTTCACCAGAAAATATCTTCACACAATATAATTTTTCAGTTCAAATAGTTGACACTATTATTCGGTTGGTTATTAATGTGTTTAACTAAGAGTTTAGTTAAATATGAGTACATGTTTGTTTCCATCATTTTGTACCAATAGGAGGGGGACTACTTCCATTCAAGGCACAATGTAATGTACATTTTGACTTTGAGTGAACACTCATCTGAATTGCATGTTCGTGCAGCCATGCTTCAAAACAACATGCCTATTAATCTTCTTGTCAAATCTCCCTTGCTTCTTCCCACAACCATTAAAGAAGTTTCAAGGAATTAAGATCCTCGAATACTCAGTGGGGAAATGATGTGATGAATACTAATGTTTCACGTCCCAACAATCCTAGGTATGGTTTTCTTAACGCAGAACTGGGCATTTGCAAACACACATCCTTGACGGAGTTATTGACAAGCCGACAATGAGACATCAAACTCAATCTACTTATTGAGGAATCTTGAGTGTGTCCAGCCGACCGATTGGGTCATTTAGATAATCTTCTTGGTTTCTCGCCATTTTGGAAGAGTGCAAAGAAGATTGTGTCAACCCCTTTCACTGTAGTGGATCTCACGTCAAGATAGCAGCTCCACTTGATTTGGAGAACCGTCTTGGGAACTAGAGGATCCACTATCTCTTTTGTTAAGTTAGCGTGCAGATAATTGTAATGGGAGGCATATATGGCTGTCGGCCTGAGTGTTGGTCAATGGAGTTTCACCATCATGCGACGACTTAACTTCAGTACGCTTCAGACAAACAGATCTGCCTGCAACTTTGTTAGAAAGGAGCACACCTGTGTTGGAGACAATCATGGAGAGAAATCCCTCCATCAAGATCTTCTTGGCTACCGTTTCTGCTAAACAGTTGTGCTTTCTTTTTCTTATGTTTCTTTTTTTTACTTAGAAGTAATCTCCGCCATTGATTGATCCTATTATAATAGCACAGATGATGCCGAGTAGGTAACATGTAGTAACGGCCCTTTAAGTTATGACTACTATATCTGTCGTTATAGTTGTTAGATGTACACCTATAAGAGATGGGTGTGTCTCAATATCATTTATCTACACTCTTTGAATCATTTCTATGTAATAAGATTCTTTCTCAAGAGTTTGCTCATCATTCTCATGTTTCTTGCCTTGAATCTGAGTGATTCAGATTCTACATTTGGTATCAGAGCGTGAAGTTCTGTTCCTAGGATCGACAAGGAGATGCCGAAGTGCGGAGTGATTTCTACTCAAGATTTTGTTGTTATAAGAATTCTAAAAGGGATGGGAGAGCCTTCCTTGGTTGGTACGTTCCCTGTCCTCAATCGAAACAACTACCAAGTATGGGCATCAAGGATGCATCTTCATCTCGATGGCTTGGAGCTTTGGGAGATTGTCAAAGCCGAGAATGCACCAAGAAAGAAGGATCGTCAAGTGATGTTGATCATGTTTAGCACGATCTTAGATGAGATCACGTGGGAACTTGTTGTGGAGAAGACAGCCAAGCAAACTTGGGATTTCTTGAAGACCAAGAATGGTGGCATGTCTCATCTCCGCATGGCAAGAATTCAATCACTGAAGAGAGATTTTGAGTTTCTCTCCATGGATGAGGATGAATTAGTCTTTGGACTATTTCGGCAAGGTCTCCAAAGTGGTGGTTGAAATGAGAAGCTGAGGAGAAAAAATCCCGAATGATGAGATTGTCTTCAAGCTTCTCAGATCTGTCTTAGGTAAGTTTGGTGCTATAACCTCTTTGATTGATCAATTTCAAGATTTTGATTCACTTACCCTAGATGAGGTGATTGGATCTTTAAAGGTTCATGAGGATAAGTTGAAGGATTGATCAACTAAGAGAGGAGAAAAGGCTCTTTTAGCTAGAGCTTTTGGAAAGTTCAAAAAGAAAGAAGATGACAACTCAAGAGGAAGAGGCACAGGTTGCGGTAGAAGTCAAGGAAGAAGTAGTCATCGTAATGAAAATGGTGGTGAAGAGGATGAAAAGCCTAGAGATAAGTCAAAAGTTACTTGCTACAAATGTAAGAAGCTCAGGCATTATGTGAATGAATGTTATCAGTCCAAGAAATATCAGCTGAAGAAAGACAAGTCCGAGAAGGTAAATATAGTAGAGAAGGACGAAAAGAGACTTCACTTCTCATGATAGTTGAAGAAGACAATAAAGAGATTCTTCTTCAAGGAATCTCTTAGACAGATTTGAACAATGGCTTATGGTATTTAGATACGGGCGCCAGTAGTCACATGAGAGTAATGTGAGATTTGGTGGTGGATTTAGAATTTTAGTGGAAGGAAGAGATAAAATCTATTGAATTCTAATGATGACAAGTCAATGACTCTCACAAATGTTCTCTATACACCAAAGTTGAGAGACAATATACTCAGTCTTGGGAATTTAGATGAACAAGGCTGCAGAATTCTGCTGGAGAATGGTATTTTGACTATTCATGATTAGAGGGGCTAGTTACTGACAAAAGTAAAGAGAAATTCTGGGAGACTTTACTTGATGAATCTTAATATTGTGGAGAATTGTCTTCAGATCAATGAGGATTTAACATGGACATGACATAGGAGATATGGACATCTGAACTTTCAGGTTGTGAAACTACTCTTTACTCAAGAAATGGTCAAAGGATTGCCAAAGATGGAGAAGATGAAGTCTGTCAGGATTGTGTAAATTCAAAGTAGGCCAGAGTGTCATTTCCATCCTCATTCTCATTCAGAGCCTCAAGAGCTCTTGAATTGATATATGGTGATCTATGTTGGACTATAGATTCAGAATCACTTGGAGGAAGTAAGTATTTCTTACTTTTAGTTGATGATTTTTCAAAAATGATGTGGGTGGCTATGCTGAAAACGAAACTAGAAGCTTTTGATGCTTTCAGAAGATTCAAGGCCATGGCTGAGGCTGAGAAGAGTATAAAAATTGGATGTTTAAGGACAGATCAAGGAGGTGAATTTAATTTGAAAGAATTCATAGATTTTACTACTTTTGAATACATCAAGAGACAACTGGCTACTCCCTATACTCCTCAACAAAATAGAGTAGTAGAGAGACCAATAGAACCATATTGGATATGGTAAGATGTATGCTAAGTATAAGACTCTTTCATATAATTTTTTTGGTGTAGTCCATATAGCTGTTTATCTTTTAAACAGAGCTCCCACGAAGAATCTATATGGAAAATCTTCATATGAGGCCTGGACTAGAAGCAAGCCTCAAGTAGAGCATTTGAGGATTTTCGGATTCATTGTTCATGTAAAGTCACTTGGAAGAAAGCTTAAGAAACTTGAAGATTGAAGAAGGCCTATGATTTTAATAGGCTACAAAAAAAGGCTCGAAAGGGAATAGAGTTTATGATTCGAATATTGGCAGCATTCATCTTTCTAGAGATGTGGTCTTCGAAGAAGATAGCAAGTGGGAGTGGGAAGGTACTAGAGGAGAAAAGAAGTCTGGTATGTTTAACTCACAACTTTTCTCTGATTTCAGCATTGATCAAGTCAATGATATTGATGATTTTGATCAATCACATAGAGTTGAAGGTCATCAAGATTATGTAGAAGTGATAGAGAATCAAGAATATGATGAATCTAATTCATCATCCTTTGAGATAAGTGACAGTATGAAGTAAAAAAATCTGAATCAGATTTATGCCGAGACACATCAAGTTGATGCAGCTAAGGATTTTTGTCATTTTTCCGAAGAAGAACCATCTTCTGTGAAAGAAGCACTAAGTTAATCAGTGCGGAAGAAAGTAATGGAAGAGGAGCTAAACTCGATTGATAAAAATAGGACATGGAAGCTGGTCCCACCTCCCAAAAATTTCAAGCCCATTTGGCTTAAATGCGTCTTCAAGGTAAAGAAGAATCTGAATGGTGAAATACTGGTATAAAGCTTGTTTAGTGTAAAAGGTTATGCTCAGAGAGCATGGAATTGATTTTTATGAGGTTTTTGCACCAATGACCAAAATAGAATCAATTAGAACCTTATTTACTCTGTGTGCTCATTTCGGATGGTTGGTACATCACTTAGATGTAAAAGCAGCATTTTTAAATAGTGAGATTGAAGAAGAGATCTATGTCATGCAACCAGAAGGTTTCAAGAAGAAAGGAAAGGAGGAGATGGTTTATAAATTAAAGAAGGCTCTCTATGGCCTTAATCAAGCTCCGAGAGCTTGGAATTCAAAACTTGACAAGAGCTTATCTTCATTGGGTCTCATCGAAAGTGCACATGAGCCAGCGGTTTATTACAAGCACTCAAGATTTCCACATTATAGTTGGTGGATATGTGGATGATTTGCTTATAATCGGAAATTCTGGTGAAAGAATTGAAGAATTTAAGAAAGAAATGAAGAAATTATTTGATATGACTGATCTTGGTCTTCTCAGCTCATATCTTGGAATTCAAGTGGCACAAGTTAGAGGTGAAATTATCCTAACCTAGAGATCTTTTTCATTAAAAATTCTCAAAGAATTTGATTTGTTGAATTGTAATCCTACAAAGACACTGCTTGAAGTAAGACCCAATCTCAAACATCCTGAGAACGAAAAAGCTGATAAATTTTCAGCATATATAAAGATTATTGGTTCTCTAAGGTATCTCACTCATACATGTTCAGTGTTCAGTGTTGGTTTTTCAACTGTTTTATGAAAAATCCGACAGCTGAGCATATTAAAGCAGCTAAATGTGTGCTTAGATACATAAAGGGCACACTTGACTTTAGATTGAGGTATACGAAGAGTGAACAATTTCTTTTAACTAGTAATAGTGACTATGTAGGTGATTATGACGATTAGAAGAGCACATCAAGAATTATTTATTTCCTAGGAGATAATGTGATTTCTTGGGTTTCACAGAAGCAAAGAATCGTCACTCTCTCATGATGCGAAGTAGAATACGTAGCACTTACTGCAACTGCGTGTCAAGTTATCTGGTTGGCAGGTCTTCTTGAAGAATTGACCAAGTTGAAGCTTAAACTGGTTAAACTCTTGGTAGATAATAAATCAGCCATCGATCTGGCTAAGAATCTGATATTTTACAGAAGATCGAAGATTATCGATGTGCACTTTCATATATTAGATCCTGTATTGAAGATTTAAAGGTGGAGATTGAACATGTTGGAACAAAAGATCAGCGGGCAGACATTCTTACAAAGTCATTCGGAAGGGTGAAGTTCACTGAGTTGCGTGAGAAGCTTGGGGTATGCGATGTCGGAATTTATCTCCAAGCATGAGGAGGTGAATATTAGAGGCAATCATGGAGAGAAATCCTTCCATCAAGATTTTTCTGTCTACCGTTTCCGCTGAACAGCTATGCTTTCTTTTTCTTTCATTTCTTTGTTTTGCTTAGATGTAATCTCCGCCGTTGATTGATCCTATTATAATAGCACAGATGATGCCGAGTAGGATAACATTTAGTAATGGCCTTTTAGGTTGTTATCACTGTAGCTGTCGTTACAGCTGTTTGATGTATGCTTATAAGAGACGGGTGTGTCTCAATATCATTTATCTGGACTCTTTGAATCATTTCTCCTCAATAAGATTCTTTCTCAAAGTTTTGCTCATCCTTCTCGTATTTCTTGCCTTGAATCTGAGTGATTCAGATTCTACAACAGGTAGGCGCGGGTGTATATAGATCAAATATATGTAATGAAAGAGAAAGGCGGACTTCGTGCTTCCGACCTTGTGCGTGGGAACGGAGACCAGAGACGAAGACTGTTGGGAAGTCGTTTTCTACTCAAATAGTTTTTCACATTTGAAGAAGTGCGAGCCATTGTGATAAGCAAGCGATCACCCACCAGCCGCGGGTGGAAGACCTCGTGGGGGCAGTACTTTCGTCCGGTTGCGCAGGTTATTTGCTTTTATATTCACAGACCGTTTAGAAAAGGAATCGGACGTTCCATAATTTATAGAAAGAATATGTGACAGACTCTAACGTGAAGGTTCCCCTGATGGACCACGCCTAATAATGAAGACGGTAGCCGTTCACTGGGCATCCGGCCTCCAGAATGGGAGGTTAACAAGGATTATTTTACGCTATCCGTAAGCTTGAGGGATCCCATGTCCGATTCTTCCAGCGATGATGTCATCAAATTTCGTTTCTTCAGAGAGGTGCAAATATCTGCTGGCAGAGGGAGGGAGGGGGAGAGACGGAGAGAGAGAGAGAGAGAGTTGGGTTGTTGGATAAATAGAGAGAAGTACAGGCAGAGGCATCTTGCAAATGGTAGATTCTACTATCATTGTTTATTTTCCTTGTGAATGAAACCGGACCGCGACTTCGAGCCCCGCAGTGTCGAGAGAATCAAATCGTTGACCGTAATTCCGGAAAAGGGTACAAACATTCTTGACGGCACCATGGAAGACATCTGTCTAAGCTACCACCGAGTCTCCAATTCTTTCACTTTTCAACTACAATTAGTTACAAACGAAGTTTACAACGTCTACATCACGTCATCAATCTTTCTTTTATCAGCCTTCCCAAGCAAATCTCACCTACACTGTTCGGCCCTCTGACCTGACTCGCGGTTGTCAATGTTTAATTAGATCGTGCGACAAGTCGAAAGTATTTTCAACGTATCAGGCGCATGTATCAAGAAAGATCGGAACATATGATTTTCCGTAGTTGCTCGTGCTTTGGAGGTCTGGTCCAGAGGCAAGCAATTCTATTCACCAAGACATACAGCCTCATGGCACCTCACAGCCCCCTTCTAACCCGGTTCCTTCACACCATTTCCGTCCCTGCACTCCCCTGTCTATCCACTCGCCAACTACGTGCACCCGTTTATCAACCATCCATAACCGCTTTGACCAGCGATATGCTGGATTTTTTCTTTTAATTTTATTGTTACTGTTGGCAAGTGCCATTGTGAAAAGCTTATGTACACGTGGAAGATTACAAGTATATTCAAGCCTTGTCCTGAAGTGTTGATCTACGTTATTTAATGTCTGGTGGCGGAGGATTATTGAAGAATCAAAACCGTAAACGGAGTGGGTGAATTAGAGCAACTGTCGGGGTAGTGCGGCCCTTCACAAAGGCGAGAAGGGGGGTTTGTCGCCACTTAGACCCATTTCCACATAGGATGAAGTAAATGGCTCCACCACTCAACGACACCAAACCGAGATAGCGAGAGATCGGATATTCTCAAAGAGAAGGGATTGCCTCGAATCACAAGGGCAGTCTCATATCAGAACTTTCGACACTCGAGACGCATTTTAGTCCATTAAAGGCGACTGTTCTTCTAATATCGGGTTCTTAAAAGAGGTCTCCCCAATCTACTGGCCGCCGTGGACTAAAGTGATCAGAGTCGGTGTACTGGATTATATGACAAGGTCGTCGTTCGCGCGTGGGAGTGTGGACATTACTGGATGGGACAGTGTGTGTCGGCTTGTGAACCTACCGAGGACCGTTTATGAATAATTTTCTCTGAATCGTTCGGCGTAAGAAGACCCGAATTGGGGCCGTCGAGAAATGCATGTCGACACTGGCTGAAGAGAGATTTGCGCTGTCCTACTACCGTGCGATGTGGGCGAACATAGACACATTTTTTTTAGACTGAACGAATGTGAAGGCGTGTAAGCATATGGTTTACATCGTCATTATGTTCATAATTGATTCAATTTTACAGGTATTCCCACCGCTCTCTGTCGCTCTCTATCTCTCTCTCTCTCTCTCTCTCTGTTTCTGTCTTATGTCTGTATTCAGACCATGTTCTGCTGTGTTTTTGTGTGGCACACACTTTCTTTCTAGTCTCTCTCTTTCGCAACCTGGCGCGCATGTATCCTATTTCTCGGGCACGCACGGGTTCTGGTCAACCTATTCCCGGAGTAGCTTTGTCTCTCTCTAAAAATTCAAGACCTTTCCGCGACCGGTTACTTTCCGAGATCGCGAGGAAGTCGGAAGGAAGCAACGCCCATAGTTTAAAACTGATACGCCCCCATGTGTTCGCGCCGCCGGGGATCTTCCGCCCTGGCGGCGGGAACGACGCGTCCTATAAACAGAGACTTGAGAGTTATTTTTTTTCTGTGAACTTGCCGACCAAAATGACGGCGGCTATGTGACGAGGCTGGGGTCTACACAGCTCCGTGGCGGAAAGGACTCGCGAGGGTTGTGGAGCGGGATCACGGTCAGGGGAAAATGGGGACAGCTGGCAAGAGATCGAAGAGAGTAGGATGGGATGATGGGGACAAAGGGTCAAAGGGAAAAGAAAAACGAAGCATCCTTCCGAGACCTCTTCAAATGCCCTTATTATACTTACGATCTGGATGTTGTAACCCAATCAATGATACTAGGGTCGGCCTGTAATAAATACTGCACGTGCCCTGACTGATTAACAATCTTGAATGCATGTTTGAAGAGTCGTACGACTTATTTACTAAATTATGTCATCTCTACGGTCTTATCACTTGAAATATGCGGTCTTAATGGTGAATAATGCGCAACGATAGCGCGCCGTTTTGGCATAGATGACTTCAAATACAGTTTTTGCTGAAATACTAACCCTCGTGCGTGACTTTGTAGTAGTTCTCAACGGTAAACCATTTGATCAAACGTATGTGAACACAATATTTTATTCTTATGCTGGGAATCATTGGACTAGATGTATGCATTTCACCGAGAACAAACTCGGCCCTAGAGAACGGCGAACCTGACGTTCGCCGTCCCCTTAAGACCCAGACGTGTCCTCACCGTCAGGCGTGGCCTGTCATGTTCGATAAACATCGCCGCCAGCTAGCACAAGAAGAGAAAGAAGATGGTGAGAGAGATAATCCAACACTGCGATTCCCCCACACCGAACCTTTCAACTTTGTACGGCAACTACCCCCACTCCTCGCTCACCCGACTTCACCGACTGAGTCGCTGATGTATTTGTGAAATTCCAACTCGCCGTTCTGCTAAGATAACCTCACCAGCGGACTTTTGCCTACAGAAAATGGTTTTCCTGATGAGGCTCTCATTGCTGGTGTGCCTGATTGCGCAAACAAATCGGGACACTGTCGATAATGGTTTGGAGGTATCATGCTAAGAGCCTTTCGAGATGAATCACTTTTCTCGTTTGGGTGCACAAAGTAGAAATTACCTATAACACTCTCCCACTCAACACACACACACACGCGCACACACACACACACATACGCATACACTCACACACGCGCGCATACACATACATACACACACACGCGCACACACGCACACACACACGCACACACACACACACGCACACACGCACACACACACACACGCACACACACACACACACGCACACACACACACAGAGACACACACACGCACACGCACGCACACACACACACAGACAGACACGCACACATGCACACACACTGTCCGTCTTCGTGCATGCAATTCGTGAAAGTGTACGATTTAATTTAGATTCCATAGTTCTCCAGGGATGGAAAGAATGTGTCTTGTACTTTCTTAAGCTCATGGGGGGAGTTTGGGATGAGCTATCCTTACTAGGGCAAGGGGGTAACAAGCTTCTTGTTCCCTTCGTGCGAAGTATCCTTCCTCTACAGTTATTGTCATGCAGGGTTCTGCACTTCTGTAACTCTCTCTCGTTCCGTATCTCCGATGTTTATTGTTGGCTGGTGAAGTCCCTTAGCTCATCTTATGTGAAGATTGGTCGAATTGTCAACCCCTCCTCATCTCCACTTCCTTTGTAAATGACAGAACTGCTATATTCGAGATGGGTGTGTTGAAATTAATCTCAATTTGGATAATTACACATGAATTATATATTATAAGGTTATCATTGAATTAATCTCATTTAAGTGATTCATAGAGG